AAAGATGGTTTCGGAGGGAGGACGGGGGGTTGGGGTGGGGTGGTTTCGAAGCGATACAACGACTATCGTGCAATACACAGGCTTCCACCTGACCGCCTCCGGACCGGTGGCCAAGGGCATCCGTACATCCGCTTGTGCGCTAAGTGTCCCTCTGCTAAGCCCACATCCCCAATGCCCCGTTCGGACAGTTCCCATCCACTCAACCCGCCACTCCCCCCAACTGCACACAGACAGACAGACATGCACATCGTGCTCGTACGCCAAACCGCCACTTTTCTCCCCCGGCTCACTTCGTGAAAACCCTAAACCACACAGAGACACAGACACACAAACACACACAGCGAGTCGCGGAGTTACACACAGACAGACACACGACTGCCATTTCCAACATCGGGGCGCAGATCATTAACACGCCAATACACACACACATACCCATCCCGTGTGCCATACATCTCCGATAGCTATATATTCGCTATGTCGCCTGGGAGTGCCCGACATACTGACAGACAACCCAGCCGCCGCCGCCACCGCCGCCGACCTGGCGACACGACTGGACTGCCACGCGCCGTGTCTGCTGCGCCTGCTGAGGCTGTGCGCGGCGTACGGCCTGCTCGTGGAGGTACGACAGCCGCTGAGTGGTGGCGGCGCTGACGGCACCGCCGCCGACGCGGCCGCCAGTCTTCGTTCCGCTGACGGCGGCAGTAGCGGTACTCGGGAGGCGTGTACCGCGTTCTACCTTACTGACACGGGCGTCATGTTGCAGGTATTTGTTTGGGAGCGGGGTTTGGAGCATAATTCTATTAGGAGTGAGCTAGATGTGCGAATGTTGGGTTGGCGGGTTAGGGTTGGCGGGTTAGGGTGGGCGGGTGGGGTGGGGTGGGGTGGGTTGAGTTGGAGTGGGGTGTGGTGGGGTGGGTGGGGGGGTGTTGTGGAATTACTCTTAATTACGGCCTCCTCCTCCTCCGGATTGAATCTGTTCTCTACTGTCATTGTCACTGTCACTGTCCGCTTTTCTTAATTTTCACGCGCCCCCCCTGTTAAGCGTTTCCTCACCTCCCTCCTCACCTTCAACCTTGCCTTACCCCTCACTTTCCCCCTTGCCGTACCCTTGCCGTACACTCGCGTCGCTCGTGGTTCATTTTTTACCCCCTCGTCGTCGTTACATTCCGGCCGACGAATACCTCCCCATCTCAGGAGTCGCACCCCGCTCAGATGAAATGGCTGGCTCTCATGTTGGGACTGCCGGGGCATTACGTAAGCCGGGGATACTTGTACGACAATGTGAAACAAGGTGCGAGCAGTCGTACACTACAAATTGCGCACATCCCCCTCTCTCCCCCCGTCAGCCCTTTTCCCCAACACCCACCTTGCCGTGCCGTGCATCCGCGCTCACAATCAGGCACATCTTAGGCGGTCAGCTTTGCCTCCTTTGGGTTTTAGTTTTAGGGTTTTAGTGGTTTTAGGGTTATAGGATTGCTTTATTATGCAACCCGGCTTCTTCTCTAGTCCCCAGGGCTTTGCAGTATTGCGGCACCCCCCCCCTCCAGCCCTACAAGGGGCCCGGTGCCCCCCGACTCGATAGCCCCCCACACACCTTACCCACCTTACATCTCCGAACTGCCCACCCTAAGCCCCACCTCACGCCACGCCACGCCACGTGGGCGGCCGTTCCCCCTTCCGCGTGTATCAGGCCGCATGGGTTTCGAGGCCGCTTTCGGCAGCGACTGGTACTCGTACGTGGCCCAGCACCCCCTGGAGTCCACTGCCTTCGACAAGGCCATGACCGCCACCTCCGCCGCGGCAGCGCAGTCCGTGGCTCTGGGCTACGACTTCTCACGGTGAGGCGTGTATGTATGTATGTATGCATGCATGTATGCATGTATGTGTTCGTAGGGTAACACGTTCCGTTATTGGGGTGTGGACTCGTAGGGGTTGGTTGCATACCTGGAGCCAAAGTTCGCCGTTCCTCTTTCTGATTGGTTGGTCGTTAGACTGGTCGTTGGACTGGTCGTTGAATTGGTCGTTGAATTGGTTTGCTGGTTGGGCCCCAGGGGTGAGTGGGTGAGTTCAGGTGCCGGAGTCGTCGGCGGGCGGGTAACGGTGGTGCGTGGAGGTAAACGAACAGACATATATATACACACACACTCCGTCGCTCGCAGGCACGGCACGGTGATGGATGTGGGAGGCGGCCAGGGGATGTTGATGACCGCTATCCTGCACCACCACCCAGGTGAGTGAGTCCGTGGGTGGAGGGGGAGTGGTTCTGCGGGAGAGGGAGAGGGAGAGGGAGGGGGAGAGGGAGGGGGAGGGGGGAGGGGGAGGGGGGAGGGGGGAGGGGGAAAAGACGAACCACAAGCGGCCGATGTGCAGGAAGTGCAGAACTGGCCAGTTAGCGGTTGGGGGGAGGGGGAGGGGACCCGGCCAGCCCACGGGCAGGAGGGAGACAAGGAGGGAGACAGCGAGGGAGGGAGGCCTCTTAAAGGGGACCGGTTTGGGGACGTTCCTGGACATTATACCGACTAGGAATTGGGGTTGGGGCTGGCGGGTTATCGGCGGAGCGTGTGGTGGTAATGGTGGTGGTGGTGGTGCTGATGGTACTGGTACTGGTAATGGTAATGGATGCATGAAAAGAAGATACAACGAAGCTTGGATGCCCGCAATGTACAGATCGTACGGATTGAGGACGCGCCAAGGCAGTACCGATACCACCAAGGGGGTATCCGGCAATAAAGCAACGAAACGCACAAGATGCGCACATGAAACGGCATAAGTATATTTCCTCTGGCGATAAATAGAATGTACGATCACCATGTTAAAACAGTTCCCTCCCCTCCCCCCTCTGCCCGCTCCGTACCCCGGAGGGCCCCCCCACACACACCTGGTCAGGTGTGCGTGCGGGTTATGTGCTGGAACTGCCCGACGTGGTGGCGCGGGCGAGAAGTATGGGGCAGAGGGGGCTCGAGCGGCTGCAGTACATCGAGGTACGGCCCCTCAAAACCCCCCTCAAACCCCCCCTGGTTCGTCTTTTCCCACCTCAAAACCCCCGACTTCTTCCCCCACCCCTGCCCCGTTCTCTGGCAGGGTGACTTCTTTCAGCCATTTCCCATCGCCGCGAACTGCCTGGTAATGCGCCTGGTGCTTCACGACTGGCCTGATGAGGAGGCCGCCGCCGTACTGCGCCACGCCCGCGCCGCCCTGGTCCGGGGGGTCCCCGGCTGCCGGCTGGTGGTGGTGGAGGCGGTGCTGCCCGAGCTGGTGGGTCCGGGGGAGGTGGACGCGGCCACCTTACAGCAGCTGGAGTTCGACATGGGCATGATGGTGGGTGCAACGTCCGTGGACGTCCGGGGCTGCCGCAGGAGGGGCCCATACGCGTGTCGGTGTGTGTGTATGTATGTGTGTGTATGTATGTGCCTCCTGTGCGGGGAACGTATGTGTGTGCGCGTGGTGGAAGATATTAAAAGACCAAGGTGCATGTGTACGATATGTGTGTACGGCATGCGCGTTACGGCATCTACGTTACGTTATGAGTTTGAAACCCATGCGGCTTTCAAAAGCGCGGTGCCACGCGGCTTGAGGCACATGTAGTACGACTTTGTGGGGGCGTCTGAACTCGTGGGGACATGAGTCGTCCGGGGACGCGCAAAACCCTAAGTCCCCAAACCCCCCAATTCTTTGCAACACCTGAACCCTCCTAAAACCCTAAAACCCGCCTTCCCAAAGGTAGAAAAATTGAAAAGGCCCTCCCCAAACCTTGTGCGTATTGTGTTCCCTCTTCCCCCCACCTTCCAATCCACCCGCCACCCAACTCCTCCCAACTCCTCCCAAACCCCCCAAACCCCCCAAACCCCCCAAACCCCCCAAACCCCCCAAACCCCCCAAACCCCCCAAACCCCCCAAACCCCAGTTGATGACTACGGGCCGCGAGCGCACCCTGGGTGAGTGGAAGGCCCTATTCGCCTCGGCAGGTTTCCGACTGGATCAGCTGCTGAAACCCGAGGGATCGAAATTGCCAATCATGGTGCTGGAGGTGCTGGAGGTGCTGGAAAGCGGGCCGCAGGACCCAAAGCAGCAGTAGCAGCAGCAGCAGCCGGTGGCGGCGCCGGCAGCGGCGATACTGCCGGCGGCGCCGCCGCTTGAGACGTCCGCCGCAGAATGCAAGGGGTGTGCATGTGCCGGCGGGGCTGGATTAGGCGGTACGGAGTGTTAGATGCAGCTAGGGGGGGGGCAGCTCTCCCGCCTCGGGGGGCTTCGAGGCGGAAGGAGCGCGTAATAAGAGGAAGGGACAAGCCTTCTTTCGGGGTGGGGGAGGGGGTCGTGGCGGAGGGCAGCGATATCGTGGGCGCTGTGTGTGTTGGGGGGTGGGGGGTGGGGGGGAGAAAGAAAGCACGCGACACGAACACACACTTTGCCGTTTGCCGTGGCAGGGGTCTGCAAACGTTGCAAGGTTGCTTTCGGTGCAGGTGACTTGACAGTGCCGTGTGGCCACGTTTAGCCGTTAGGTAGGCTACAATTAACGTCTTGCCCATGTACGTATCCTGTACGGGCACGAGATAGGTAGGGGTAGGTAGGGGTAGGTAGGGGTAGGTAGGTGATGGCACAGAGAGTGTGTCGGAGTGCGGGCGCTCCGTGAGCTTTGGTGCGCATTTGGTGCAATTCTGAAACAGGAGGAGTTAAATCTTGGAGCGTCATGGATTAATATGGCTTGATTGATGTGGTTTAAGTTTTAAGGAGGCAGTGGTGCAGCTTTTACTCCGACTGTAAAGTGCAAGAGCAGTAACATATCTCTGCAAATTTTGATGGTTAAAGGGGTTCAAGTGGCCATTCCTGAGATTTTTCCGTTTACGTCGTCGTACGGGTCGTACATCGGATGGCTACATGTTCGCTGGTGTATCGCATCTGGTGTCTTTTGGAGACAACCTAGACTGGTTGTGATTAAGAATAAATATTGCACCTACTGAGCTGGGCGGGGAGGAATATTGACAATATAAATGGTTACGCGGCGAAGTGATTGTCGTTGCTTGTACAGCGCTTCTGATTTCGGCAGACGCTTGAGTGTACGCATCGTAAATGCAGGGCTTGTGTAACGCTCAAGACAGCATGACCATCGTCTGAAATGACCGCACTTTTGTTAACTGCGGTTAACTGCGGTTAGCCCCGGTTAGAGTTTGCCGTACATGTTTATGATTGTTACCGCGGATGCAAACGCCCTGACAAGATACGCTTTACAAAGTGACAAACGGAACGACGCTGTATCACCTTATCTTGTCGACCGAAGACCGAGCTACAAAGACTCGAAAACGCTGCCAGGATAGCCGCAACATGTATGACTTCTGCTTTACACCGATCTATTCATTCTTTCTTGCCCTTGCTGGACTATATGCTTTCTTTGCACATGGTAGCAAGGCATCCCTAGGAGGAGCTGTAGGCTCTGCTGTGGTGCTCGGCATTCTTTCATATTTTTCTCTGCAACACTATACAAAGAGGAAGGCTGTTTGCAAGCCCACCGTTTTCTTCAGCCTTGGTGAGAATAGCACGTCCCGTTCCGACCTTGCATAATTCTAGAAAACTGACACAAGAAATTTACTATTACCAGTGATTGCTGCCGGACTCACATACATGATGTTCAAACGATTTGAGAGGACACACTCTGCGTTTGCAGCTGTGATTGCTGCTATCAGGTATGAAAGCATTATATTGTTAAAGAGTCTAGTTACGCCACTGCGTTGTTTATATTGTTGATGTTATGATTTGACGCAGTGGCGTTATGGTGTTATTCTACGCCTGGAGCTTGAGCCCGTTTGGACCGAAGCCGCATACCGGAAAGGCACATTGACGTTGCAGGATGTCCTCAGCAGACCTTCGCTTCGTCGAATGAAGTTGAAGATGTTAAGCGGAGGAATGGAGAAGGAAGACGGAGGTTATGGGGATTATGAACTCATTATTAACATCTCGTTGTAACTGACATCTGCAACTGAAGTTGACAACCTGCAACCTCTGCATGCCACGCCGCAACAGGACAACTTTGCGCTCTTACTACAGACATCTGATTGGATTTACTGATATATAGCGTGATCAGTGTATGTTCACGAGGTTCCAGTGGTGTAAAGACTCTTGCACATATGATATACAAGGAGCAGCGCTTCATTCGCAGCTCAGGTACCCAAATTACATTTGAGAAACATACTTTCGTTGGTCGCGTCGTCCAGAACCGCAGGCGACATGACTGTACTTCCCAAATGCTACACGCTACAAAACCAAAGGAGTATTGCGTTATTGTGGTAAGCCAAACGTGCAATCCATGAAATCTCTTCCCTCTAGCATTCGTTTACCAGTGCCGCAGCACCATTTTCCAACCCCGGGGGGGCCCAGCCAGAGGCCGATCGCACACAGCCGTCGCAACCCTACCACTACGCGCTCTGCCCCTTTGGGCACCCATTTTGCACAGCACCTGCAGTCGCATTCGAGCCTTGCGCGGCTCATTCTTCAACCCGCTCGCTACCTTACTTGCCGTACACACCTCAGGACGAACACAACCGGGTGGTCGGTGCTGAGCCACGAGATGTAACTGTGCGCAACCGGCTACTTGGTCGCGGTTCTTACGTGTTCGTCACAAACGACCTTGGCGAGCTCCTAGTTTCAAAGCGAAGCATGAAGAAGGTGGGGTAGCACTGTCCCTCACATTGCCTATGAGTACTAGTATCAGGCAACATCGTATGTTAAACAACAACTTAGGACATCGGAGTACAGTACAACGGAGTACAGCAGAGTACAGCGCGGAGATTCCAGCGCCTTATAACCAAGGTCGAAACGTGCTGCTCGGGCTAACGTGATCGCGCCGCTTGAGTCGCGGCGTGAAGTCGGTGTTGAACAACACAGCCGTGCCGTGACTACCCGCTCGTACCACAGCTCAGCAAAACCGAAATGGCATATATAGATATGCCTATATGCAGACGCTACCGAAAATAGCGCCTCTCGCCCCATCCGGAACAACCCCGCGTGGTGGCAGCTCACTTGCGAATACAATGAATGATCAGACACAGGTTTGGGGAGTGTGTGGCGATGATTGTGGGTAACTGGGTTCAGCAAGCCCCTCGAGCCATTTGCAAGGACGTCCTTGAGGCTCCAACTTGTGCGCGAGGCTTCTGCGTCCATGCGCCTGACGCTATATCTGTATCTGTACCTTGCAAACCCACTCTTATGCCGACCCGCATGTAAGGCCCACAAAAGCCCGTACGACAGTCACAACATAAAAAGGGCTTGTTCTCGACCTAGGTAATGCGATTACGGTCGCAGCTGCCGGTGTATGGTTTTGCTATGAAGCAGGCATTAGCAAGACCGTCAACAAACCTGGAGAAGGCCCTCACGACTGTAAACTTGTTAGACGTTGTTAGCGTTAAGCAGGTCACACACTCCCTTCTTCTGCACGCAGGATGTCTATCCGGGCCACTGGGACGTGGTCATAGCGGGAGTAGTACAGGCGGGAGAGGAGTACGAGGATACGGCAGCTCGGTGGGTACTGCATAGTACGGCCAGCAGTACCGAATAGGCACTAAATTTATCTGTCCTCGTGAATCCTCTCCATAAATACCCGCCACCCCAGCACGGGTCAAAGGACCCCGGTATGCCGGGCCCCACATCCCTACATTCCCGCCATACACGAGGTCGGCTGCCGCCTGGGCGCACCTGCCGGACCGCTGCAGGGAGCTGTCCGAGGAAATCGGCGTCAGTGAGGAGGGTGCTCGCGCGGGTCTACGACGGCTTTTCGTGTTTCCGTACCGGGATGCCACCTGCCACGTGTGGGGTTGCGCCTTCACTTTCAACCATTCCGGTGGGGAGCTGCGGCTGCAGGAGGACGAGGTGGACTGGGCCGGTTTTCGGAGCTGGGAGCAGGTGAGCCCTGCCGCAATCCGTACAATGAAGGGCGACGTCTGGGTCCTGGGGTGAGGGTGGAGGGCCCGGGCGTGTATCGTCCTGAGTAGGGGCTGGGGCGGAGGTCGCCATTGTTTTGGTGCTACTGCTGCTGCTGCTGCTACTGCTACTGCTGCTGCTGCTGGTTTACAAAGTCAGGGGGTTGTTTCCTGAAGGCGCTATCATGGTGTTGGGCGTTGTTGACCTAACACGGCGTTTGCTTCCGCACACTTGCTTCCGCACGCTTGCTTCCGCACGCTTGCTTCCGCACAAGTGTTATGAGAGTGATACCTACCCACGCGGCGGGCTGTGTGTGCCCATGTATGGAGTGGGGGTACTCTTCGACACGTTGTTACCTTCGGAATGGCATTGCAATGGGTTCGAATGAGATCACAGGAAAGTTGTTGTTGCTTCTGCTGCTCTTGCTGCTGCTGGGTGCTACCACTGCTGCTGCTGCTGCTGTTGCTGCTGTTGTCCTGCTGTCCTTCGCAGGTGGGTCAGATGCTTCAGAAGGAGCAGTTCACCCCCGTGGGCCGACACATCTTAGAGCTGTACAGAGGACCTCGGGAGGGACCGCAAGGGGGCCCCCAGAAGTAGGGACTCTGGCGTATTGGGGAGTATCAGGAAGTGCAGGAGCTTCAAGTAGTGTGGGGGCTGAGGGGAATTTGGGCAGATGAAGGTGCCTGGAGGTTGTGGCGGGAAAGCGACGATCGTGGCAAGGCGTTGGGAGGGAAGGCTTGTGGGTGTTGCGCTTTGGCATTGGTCGTTTGCAGTGTAGAGAGATGCGAGAAAAGCTTTGGGACTGTAAAAGATGTGATTCCTCCCCATCTCTCGGGCCTCTAGCTATGACCCGCTGACCTGCTTAGTTGTTTTACTGGAACAAGTTATTTTCCTTCGGTAGCCTCTCCTACAGCAGCGCGAATAAAAACGTGCGTTGCATCGTTGGAAGCGCGCCTACCGTATATGCTTACTGTGTTTTGGGGTGATGGATTCAACCCCTCATGCGCCTCACTCACCTCTGAGACGAGACTCCGAGACGAGAAACAGAGAGCCCGCCAGGGGTAGTGTTGCCATACTGCCAGGACGCGTCTTCACAGACAAGACGCATTCATAAGGGCATATGCCGCTTCTTACAAGCTTGTATATGTCCCAGGTCCCGACACCGGCACGAAGTAATCGAGGATTGCCCGGTGCTGGTGTCCAAGGCCCGTTCTTTTCCCCATGTCCGGACACCAGCCGGCAAGTCTTACAACGGAAAGAGATCGATACGGGATCACGTCACGAGAGAGACACATGCAGGGCATGCACGTTACAAGGCTGGCTAGCACATGCAGCGTTCCACAAGGCGACCAGGCGTGCAGGGGTACTTTGGTTCCTGACATGCCAACAAATTATGTACGACACTCGCAATCTCCGCCACGTCATTATGATGAGCTCGCATATGGATGGATGGTGCATTGCAAACAAATGCACCCCTTCCAGTTCCTACTGGGCTCTACCCAGCAAGGCCCCTTGTGGCCAAGAAAAGTAGAAGAAAAACATCTATTTTTACAAAGCATGGCAGGTATGACCTGTGTGTCACCCCAACGTCCAAAAAAGGCAACAGCACACACGCGAACGTCGGTTTCTACATAACAGCAATGGATTATCAACATTTTATTTAGAAACAAACTGGTCAGCACTTACAGATGTCCGTCCACCGTGTGAGTTCGAAGCCCTTCCGGCGCAACTGACGTTGCCATCCGTACAGACAACAAGAACGATCTGGAGCTTTTTCCGCACGGAAAAGTAAGCTTGCCGGTGTGGTCACAAGGCCTGTAGCAGTGGTGAGGCATGCTCATGGACAACATGCACATTATGGACAGCAGAGGAAGCCGAGCCCGGTGGTCCAAATAAAAACTCGTCCAAGCAAAAGCAGTACATGACGCCACATCTTACACGCTGTCCAAGTGTCCGAGATCATGAAGAGGTGTGTGACTCTTGAAAAGCATCACTATGTTGGGCAAGACCGGTCATACATCCCTGCAACCCATCAGCATTCTCGGCCAAGGAGGCCGATATTTCTTATCTTATTGTCGGTCCAAGCCGGTTGAAAGCCGAGCACCTGATGTGGTGAGGTAGTAACAAAACCGTCCAATGAATCCCCTCGCATGCGTGCGTAAATCGCGAAGATGTTGAAGAATGTTTAAACAGCAACACATGCAAATTTTCCCAACGTCTGCCGATTTTCCCATGTGTCGTACTGGTTTGTGGTGGTGGCACTGTAGGATAGGATACTGTGTCTAGAAACATTTTCTTTCTGTTAACGCCATCCATAATGCCGTCACGCACAGGAACAGGCAACCCCAAAAGCGCCTTGGGTGATTAGGATCCCATCGATCATCGTGATCAGATGCCATTGCTGCACACGGATGCGGGGCTCATAGGGAGGGGTAAGGGCACAGCACGGGCACATATATATATATAGGTATCATGACACGTCACAGCACAGCTTGATACAGAAAAAGCGCGCACTCGGCATCCACAGTACCGGAATCAGTAATCAAAATTACGTCCCAAAAGAAAGGACAGAGTGCGCAACCAAGTGCTCTTTAGAGGTTCAAAAGCAAAAGCATAGTAATAGCAATAAGGAAAGCGACTCACAGCGTCAGTTCTCATTTGCGCATGAGAGCCACAAAAGTATTTGTCCCCAACCATCCGTCGATTCGATCCATAACGAAAATGTTAGGCCGGTACTACCAACGCGCGGGAGATTATTTTTATGTATGTGTTTCTGCATGCACTAGGCCGAGCCAAGCCCGAGCAAACCCTACAGAGAAACGAATCAAAGCCTATTTAGGCAACAGCCCATTTTGTACACATCCACTCGGGCAAGCCTTCCTTGCGAGGTCACGCAATATACATGATGGACGATGTTATGACCACAGGTCGCAACGCGTTGCAGTTTGAAACTTTAAATAATAGCGTCACGTACAAATTACCAACCGAAAATAACTACCTACCAAGCTTATCCGTCCTACCACCGATGAATCCCGTACGAACAATTTCAGGCTCTTCCGCACGTGCACATATCTATATGCCTGCACCGCTGAGTCACACATCCCGTCGCATTTTACGAATTTCGTTACTCGGATGGCCTTAAGTGGATTGACCCATCACGCACTCTTTCGAGATGGAGTCAGGCACTTAACCGCCGCCCAGTCGCGAGCAGCTGCAGCTTGCGGTGTCAAGAGGGGCCCTATGAGGTGCAGACATGCAAACGGACTCACACAAGTAAAACACTACCTGCCGGGGCTTCCCCATGCACCCAATCACAATGCACCGGGCCCTGCACCGCTGGGCTATGCGTCGTACAACGAAAACGGCCACATGCTCTTGGCAACACACAGATGGATGTACATACATACGTACCCCCATGCGAACCGGGGCAGACCAAATCCGCAGCTGCTGACTTCTGGAGTCCCGGAGTTCCGGAAAGAAAAGGTCTAACACACACATACACACATACACACACACGCACACACACACACACACACACACACACACACAAACGCACGCACACGCACACGACCGTATGGCTATGCGGCTTGACTGCCCACCTATAGCCGCCTACGAGAACAATCGCACCCACCCCCAACGGCGCCGCACGCTGCTATGGGGCCATGCCGTACATCTCCCCAGTGCGAGCACGTCATCAAGACCTTAGCTCGGGTCCAACACGGATCCGAACAGAGCGCTTTCCTCGAGGGGTTCTTGCAATGCAACCCCCCATCCCACAGCCGGTTGTGACCCAGTGCAATAACAAAATCACCCAAGCCCATAGCGACAGTCACACAGACTGTGAAACAACCCGACCCTGCGATATCGAAGCATGCAGCGTTTTCCAAGCTGCGCTATCCCTGCTGGGGACATGTATGTGTGTGTACGGAATACGGCACAGGGACGGTATGGGAAACTGTGTACAAACGAAAACCTGCAGCGTCGGGCGGCCCGCGTGCCGCGCAAACGCAAGTCCCTCAAGCAAGGATTGGCCGACCCCTGGGTCGGCCCGTGCCGCCGCCGGCCGCCGACAGCAGTTCGGCAAAGAAGTTGCCGACAGTGGAGCTCCGGCGCGGGGCCACCTCAGATCGGCTTCTCCCCCGGGTGCTCCACCCGTCAAGCGGCGTACCGGAGGACGAGGACGCAGGGGTCGCCTCGAGCGACAGCGGCAGGGCCGCCGGCTGCGGCTGCGGCGGCTGCGGCGGCTGCGGCGGCGGCAGCGGCGGGTTAACGCTCGTGGTTAACTTCCTGCTACCTGCACGGAAACTGCCGCCGCCGCCACCGCCGCCACCGCTGGAGGAGAGACGGCCACCTGAGGAAGCTCCCGCGCCCGCCGCCGCGGGCGTGGCCGCCGCCGCTGCCGCCGCTGCCGCCGCTGCCGCGGCGACGGTGGCAGCGGTCAGCGGGAACGGCAGCGGGAGTGACCGGGGCAGCGAAGGCATCTGCGCAAGAGTAGCAGTAGCAGTAGCAGTAGCATCGACGCCCTGCGCAGTTGCGCCACCCCCTCCAAATGGTCCGACGAAGGGGGATCGTGGGGAGGTCGGGCTGGCGGCAGCAGCGGCCGCAGCAGCGGCGGCTGTAGACCCGTTTCCGAAAGCAGCCGACCGCATCACCCTCAGCGAAGGTGTCCCGGACAATGAGGAGGAGGAGGGCGGCGCAGACGGTGGCGCCGGGGACGGGGGTCTTGGCACCTGCGCCTGGAGCGGAGACGGCAAGGGCTGTTGCAGCTGTAGCTGGGAAGTCGAGTTCCAACGGTACCTGGGACCTTCTGGCTGTTGCAGCGGTTGCAGCTGCTGTAGTTGGCCCCTCTTTCCAGCCGCCTCGCTTCCACTGGAGACGGCCGCCCCGGCCGCCCCCGTCGCCGCTGACGCCGACGCCGCCGGTGCATCCTCCTCCTCCTCCTCCGACACCGTCAGATGCATCATAGTAACGCTACGGCCGCGCATGGAGAACGAGTCCCGTGGCGAGTCAAATCGCCCGCTGCCATTGAAGCTGAGGCGCGCGCTGCCGCCCCCGCTGCCACGCGGTGTGGATACGGTGCTGCCGGCGGCTGCACCCACTGGCGCGGCCTTCAACTTGTGTAGTGCCCGCAGTAGCTGATCCACGCGGCTGGTACTGGTGGTTTCCGCGGGACTGCCGCCACCGCCACAGCCGCTCACGGAGGAGGCAGCGGTGCTGCTGCGGCGCATGAACAAACTGAAGGGGGACGAAGCGGAGCCGGGATTGGGGCCGCCGCCGCTGCCGGCGGCGGCGGCGGCACCGGTGATGGAGGTCCGACCACCGAAGCTGCCTTCCCCACACTCGCTGCCAGGACCGCTTCGGCGGTGGCGGTAGCGGTGAGGGGTTTCTGACTGGTAAGCCCGGGAGCCGTCCAGGGTGCTCCCGCTGTCACCCAAGAGGTTAGTTGGGGAGGTGATGATGCGTCGCTGCTGGCCGCCGCTTTGAGCATCGCCGTCACCGTCACCGTCGCCGCCGTCGCCATCTTCGGTTCCGTTGCCGTACTCACCGCCGCCGCCGCCACCGCTGTAGGCGATCCAAGATTCCTGGGTGTCAATCAATCCTCCTCCTCCTCCTCCTCCCCCGCCGCCGCTGCCGCCAGATGGCGCTAGCAACTGCAGCTGCGGCGCCGGCGGCTGGCTGGCGTGCGGAATCGGACATGGCTCAGACTGAAAGGGTAATCTCTCCATAGCATTGTCGTCTTGCGCCCCAGCGGCCGTCTCTTGCCTTGACTCCGGGCCCTTGGTGGTAAGGCCAGCCGCAGCCGCAGCCGCAGCTCCGATTGCGGGACGTGGCCTGGGCCTTACGCCGGGTGAGCGGAAGGGGTTCCTGCCGGTACTAAGGCTGCGAGACAACGTGCGAGTGAGCCGCACAGGCGCCTGTATGTCAGGAAGTGGTTCCGGCTTGCTTGCTTTCTCAGATAGCATCCTCTGCATGGATTCCACGCTGGCCGCGTACTCGCCGTCTCCAAACTGAAACCTGGACAAGCCGACATGCCTGCTACTGGGCCGCAGACCACCGCTAACGACGTTCGCCTTGAAAAAGGTGTTGTTTCTTCGAGCCTCGCTAAGGACCTCATTTGGGGTTCTTGCTGCCTCCCGGCGATGCAGAAATTCCTGCGTCATGGCCATGAGGCGGAGGCAGTTGGGGCCCGACCAGAGGGATCTCTAGCGCGCAGCTAGGTAGGCTGAATTATTAAAGATTACAACAAATATTGCCAAGAACACCATGATTGAAACACTTTGACGCCTAAGCGAAAGGCGGCAACAGATACAAAACCCCGTAGCTCGGATTTACCACTTTGCTCAGCAACTTGTTGCAGTTGCTATTGTTGAACATACAGGGCTCCAATTCACTTCCTCAAGGCTAAAAATCAGGGCTAGCACACGTAACCTGTTTCCGACTCACCGGGAACTCTCCGGGCACCTTCATTAGAGCTAAGCTGATTTGCAGTTCAGACAGTGCGTCTAATATCCCTGTTAGAATGCCAAATTTTTCCGAGCCGTGCAGTTATTGCGTGAGAGTTTTCTGCCGGCGCCTTTCCGGTTAAAACCATTGCGGGTCTCCAACCATTTTACAAACAAATACACGTTGAGCACACTTGGCGTGCCACAAGTTGTACGGGGCAGATTTCATCCACCTCGGTGATGGCTTTACCGTATAACGGAACGTCACAGCACTGGCTTCAGGGCTTCCGGGAAGTGCCTGGCCTTGAGCATAATAATAAGCAGGTAATCACAACTCTTTTAAACCCAAATAATTAAGGTCAGGCAGTTTGCGTCGTCGTCTTGCGCTGTAAGACCGTAATACGGTCTTGCCGTATTAGAACACGACGCGGAGGTCAACGGATGCATTCACTCAGGGACAGACCAGGTTGAGGAGCACAAAAATCCTGATTATTTATGCTCAGTAATTTATATTTCAACCAAAATCATTGACATCTGTAATAAGCATCTCGGCCTTGTACGGCCCACATGAGCGAAGAGGCTCCCGATCCACCCGATATGGAAAGAAGGAAGGGAAAGAAAAGAAACAAAAAGAGGTATGAAGTTTTCATCTCTGTCCAAGTACGTCCCCTTTAGCCCACAGCTGTCGCAGACGTGGTAGTAGTAGTAATAGTAGTTGTAGTTCAAGAGTGGAGCCCGAACGGCTCGCATTAATAATAATCATGTGAGGCTTCACTCCGATAAGTTCCATTACTACGGGAAAATTATTGTGAAGAGATTTGTAAGGATGGTAAAAAAACTGACTCTTGAGGAATATCGAAATCGGAAAAATCGAATATGGATATGATAAAATACCCTAAGGAGCGCAAACCAGTCCCGAGTCCCTCACGTGTATTGCAGCACCGATACGAGGTTCGTAAGAACCAAGGAACCAAGGCCTGATCAATGCATGAATAAAGCAGCAGTATGATTGATGAGTGGGATGCGGGTAACGCAATTCCCGGAATATTGGGGAGGAAAGGAAATGCAACGCCCAGCTGTGCGACCATGGCTCACGTGCAAAAGCAAAGAGAGAAGTTACAAGTACGTTCTTCTTCTCATCCTCACATGTGCGCGCATCTCCGGAGGCACATGACTCATTGTGCTCTTAAATTTCTTCGTGCTCGGGAAAGGATCGCGGAATAGCATCATCCGTATTGATATGGGTTCGGTTATGCGTGCGGTTCGTTTGCCTTGCCCCTTCGTGCCCTTCTTCTTTACCTTTGGCATTTGGCTGCTCAGAGGGGTTGCGGCTTTTGGCTTTCGTTCTCCTCCTTCCTTCCTGGCCGAGAGGCACCCACCCCGGCGGTGGTGGTCCGAGCTCTTTGCCTCCTGGGCCACTGCTGGGGTCTTTCCCAGGGCTGTGCGCCGCATCTGGCGGCTTAGTTCGGGAGTGCGGAGGTTTTCCATTGGGGTCTGTTTCCTTCCCCACCTCTTTGGTCGTCCAGGCTTTTCAGGACGTCCAGGCCTGTCTGCTGTACACTGCATACAACGCGGAGATGAACATCCAGCATTGTCGACCCCACCCACCCACCGACCCCCGTGTCGGACAAAACCCCCCCTTCCCTGGACGGCCCCCCTCAGCGTCCGACTTCTCATGCGGAGCCATTCTCCGTCTCCACCACTCCAGCTCCTGCCTGCCTACGGTTCAGGTTGGTCCCAGCAGGTTATTCCATGCTCAGTCCGTGAACCTAGTCTACGACGCACGCTGAGTGTGTTGTCGTAGACTTGAAGGAAATTCACTGAACCCCACTCATCACAAAGCATCAGGCGTTGGTGCCATTGCCATCGTGGTTCGCGGCCGCATTCCCCGCAGGCGGCATGGTGCGTGCTAGCATGGGCACAATCCGTGTTAGTACGTACCTAGGGGAATCGCCCATGTTGTACGTGCGCACCTACAAAGGGCGAAATCCTGGTGGGGTGTCTGTCCGAGCTTTGGCGACGCCCCGCCCAGCCTCATGCAGGCCAGATCACGTCAGGTAGAGGCAGCCAATGGCCGCAGTGCACCACATGTTGCTATGTTTTCTGGGGCACGACGTGTGGAAAGAGGCCCCACAAGGGCTACAAGAGGTAGACGAACGAGTGGAGTGGCTGATGAATAGGCCATTGGCAGAAGGTGTGGTATTGGAGTTCAAGGACCGATTGGCACGTGGTTGGAAGCATACGCGTTTAGATGTCCAGCCAGATGTGTACCCGTCAGACGGCAAGCAACCAGGAATTCACATGGCGAAGTATAGGCATTGGATCGGTCTGGCGGCCGAACAAGCGGACAGGAAGGAGGTGCTCCCGCATATCACAATGTTTATCCCCCGTTCAGCGAATCGCGAGCTTATGCAGTCTGGGCTTTGCTGTTAGGCATGGGCGGTTAACAGAGCGCGTAAGGGACGGCGTTATATACCCAGGGAAGGGCGAGTATGCCCCTGCTGCGGCACTAGTAGCCATATCGAGGATGAGAAGGACATTTTGCTGGACTGTCCGTTGTACGACAAAATCAGATCTGATATGGATTTCCCACGCTTCGAGCACATGAAGGACGCTATGAAGTGCGAGGTAGGATGGCGCTTATAGGCGGTCTGGCAGCCCTTGAGCCCTCGGCTCGTATTAGGGTGGTTTGCAGGTACGGGGAACGCACCCACGACCATGTAACAACAACATGGAACGAGTAGCACAGAATTCCAGTGAATTGGGAAAACTCAATTGAGGCGGCATGGGCTCGAGCCCCTTGCAAGGCCTACCAATTGATAGGCCTTGATGCGCAAGACGTTGCTCCCAAAATGAATATGCGGGTTGCGGGCTACTCGAGGAAGTATTCCTCCGTTGTCTACGGGCAACGGTGATTTAAATGAGGGACGGGAAAGAGGTACTGACTTTTAGGTGGCCCTCGCGTTCATCAACATACTGGTCCAGGTTCATGTAGGGGAAGGGGCTGGACAAGGTAAACCATGAATGACTGCCTACAGCATGCTGCACGTGGGCCGACAGCTCTGAGGTAGCTCCGACGATGATTAACGGCTGAGGAACGTATGGGTAGTGAAGGCCAGAGCAGCGAGCTATGAGTGCTCTTCGGCCAGCGCTCCAGTTTTCAGTACAAGTTGCAAAACCCTACGATGCTTTTGTCTGGAGCCGCATATGTACGTAATCTGACGCCGCAAGGACGCAAACGGGCAAAGGTTCCGAAAGCGAAACTTTAACATGTTTTCGGTAGCCCAGCTCTCACTGCCACACTGTAACCTATGAATAAAGCACTAAATCGTGTTGGGGTAACTGAATATGCAATAAAACTTAGACGCAGGGATGCACTTCGCGCATCAGAGCTCCGATAGCGGCATAATGCAAATATATCCCTTGATTGGTGCTGGAGTTACATCTTCCTTTTACACTGCCATTTCGGCGCCCTCGCGTGCTACTTCAATGCCGCACTGCGAAACCGTACTGCACGACCTCTACATGTTCTGTAATGCGTTACCAAGGACTATAGCCATGAAGATAGAAGTTGGCCTACATTTTGGCTAGGAAATTACAAAAGGAGGTCCATGGTAAGGCCGTGTCCAAAAGAATCACTGTAATCATAACCCCGACCGTGCTCCGCCTGTGTGGACTGCACCCTGCGAAGATTTGAACCAGAGGTATAGTAGGGTATGTTATATCCACGTGCACTGTATTCCAAAGCTCATAGGTCTACGTCAAAACCCCTCCCAACTGGCTGAGAAAGTAGAGCGGAACATCGCTCAAGTAATCCTTTTAGCCCTGCCAGCGACTGGATAAATACCTCTTTGGCCGAGTGGAAAGGTCATTGGCGGTACACATTGTTCTGCCGTACGATTACATGATGGGCAGACTTCATGCAACAATTAATAACAATGGGTCAAGGAGCAGTTAAATATTGGCTACATGTATGTTGTCTTATCTGTGAGAAGAAACATTTTCACAGTCAATCGAAGCTAAGTTTTGAGGTCGCCACTTGGAGACGCTCTCTCCCTTACTGCACCATCAAATTGTGCGAAGAATGACTATGCGAAGGCCAAGGTTGTATCTAGTATCTTCCTTCCTAGGCGGAGTTTAAGGAGCTGAGGAGCTGCATACGGCCTGTACGCGCGCTCGTGAAGTGGACTTCAGATTCTATGCACGAGGCGCCTCATCCGCTGTAAAAATATATACTGTATGAGCGGTTTACGCCGTATACGCCATTACTGGCAGGAGGGCAAGGTATGGAGAGCCTCATGCGTCCTGTGGCAGTACAACCCTGTGGCTTTACTCGTCGACATCTTGCCGCAGGATTGCATCCCTCATCGGTTGATGAGGGATGTATTGTTTTTTCCCAAAGGGTCAGTCACTGAATGCCAGTTGGCTTCTATTGTTTCACCGTTACAACGATTGTTTGTCATTTGCAGTTCTGTCTCGGAGCCCGGAATCCATGAAACTTCCGATTGTGCAAATATGCTTCCTCCTGCCAGCACCAGCTGTAGGGACTTGCCCGTGGCAGTCCCGGCTCCGGTCCCTGCAACTCACTATGCTGGCCTTGCCAGCCGCCGTTACTACGACCTCTCGTACATAGCCATTATGTTCCTGGTATTTCCTCTCTATTGGGTCAAAGCCGTGGATTGGCGCCTGTGCTCGTCGGGTTACCCAGAATCGAGCGATCCCTGGCTCATCCGGGCCCCCTCACATGCCTGGGTTAAAGGCTGGCCATGCTCAGGGAATCAGCTGAACAAACTGGCTTACACGTTATCATCCCCGGCGCCCTTTCTACGGAGCTTAATGTGGCCGTTCAGCTACTCAGGTATCGTTTGTCAGTTAAAAAAACCGTTACCTCGGTTGTACTTTTGCCCACTAGGAAAATTATACCATAGATGGCCGCTTTGTGCGATGGGTACGCATGGATAGCAATAAAGATATACCACTGGTGCTGATATTATTGCTGTGCATATCCTCTCCCTACTAGATACAGCGCTCTAGGTCCAATGCCGGTCCAATGCCGGTCCACTCATTCGGCATTATTGGGCATGGGGGCCCCCAGAGGCATGCGTGCTCTCCTTTCTCCCCATTCCCTTAATTTCCCTTCCCGTCTATCACCTCATGGGCGAAAATAAAAGATACCGACCGCTGGCTGACCCACATCGCTCCAGCCAGCGAGATTCAGTGCAATCCAACGGAAGATCCACTTCGCATCATTATCAAGTTTATCCCCAAAAGCCACGACCACGGACGCCAGGACCATAACCCCCCCATCTGCCTAGATGATGTATGGCCTCATTCTCACTCACTCGCAGAGCTCCATTTCTTTACTTCTTTTTATACGGTGTTTGTGGGTGGCCTGGTTATGCTCTTCATCACTCGGGGCAGCGATTACGACGTCTCCAATACTTGGCGGTGAGCAGGCTGAACAGGGAGAACGGGGCCAGTGCCCAGGGATATACATACAGGGAGCGAGACGGGACCACGCAAAAGCCGTAATTGCTCCATCCCGCGACAAAACGCCTGTGCATGCAAGCACACCGAAACCTTCGTTGGGGTTGCTTGCGTATCAAGGGACTTGGTGCCTTTCGCCCAATAATCCCTGTTTTTTTTGCAAAAAAAACAAACCAGTCGATCAACCAACGCTCCAGTCCTGGCCGTTGACCGGTGACCTGGAGCGCTTTGTCGCCACCGTCTGACGTGCTCGCGGCAACCGTCCACCCTGTCCGCGCCTGTGGGACACCCCTCCCTGCTGGGTCTAACCTGAGCCCCGTGTGTCGGTTTTTGAGCCCCTTTCCTTCCCTCTCCTCCCTCTCCTCCTTCCCTCTTTCTCCACAGCCTGTCTTGGGCCTTCCTGGCTCGGGCGCAAGTGCGTGTGGGACCCCTCCTCGTGAAGGCCCTGCGGCCGCAGACGCCCTGGCCGCTGTCCATCTCGCAGTCGCTGCTTGTGGACGCACCCGCTAACGTACCTTTCGCCTTGGCCTTGATGGTGGGTCCAAGGTGGTTAGTTGTAAAGAGGTTGGGTGAACTGGGTTCTGGTGTGGGAGAGGTTGGTTGGGGGCTTGTGTGTGGCGCTTGTGGTGGTGCCTTGCTTGGAAGTGGTTGGTTGGGCTGGAGAGGGTGTTGCAAATCAGGGGCAGAACGCCCGAATCCACAGATGAGGGGCCCCGTCTTGGAGGCGAGACCATTTGGGTTGACCCATTTGGGTTCCCGCCGTCATCATTAATTATGTCTTGAGACTTAGTATGGGTTATAACGCCCTTCCCTTTCCTCGCGATTCTCCTGCTGCAGTTGTTATTTTATTTTTATACTTTCAAATTTTGTTCAGGTCGCGTGTTTCCTCGCTATCCTTCCTTGCCCCCGGTTCTGTTCCCCGCCTCTGTTGCGCGTGCATGTGTGTGGGGGGGGGTTAAACGCCCCGCGTGCGTGCCATAGGGCCCTTGGCGTCATATGGCTCTAGGAGCGCTCATGGATGTCGCCTACGTCATCATCGTATCCCGGTTGTACGGCCCCAGTTGGCCGTACGCCATGCCTCCAAAGGCGATGGTGCTGCTCTATACGGCTTGTGGACTTTTGACGGTTTTCGTGTCCGCACTTCTGGGCAGACGAACAGCAACGTCTCCAGGCAGAGGACTAACGCCAGGTGGGTACATAACAGCCAATAACGGTTTATGTGGGCAGTAGCACTTCTACCGGTAATAATCGTCCAAGCAGATCCATTGTAGTGTAGTACACTGCCAGCCTTGTCCGTCCATGCATACAATAGGTGCATGGGTTCGAGTGCCATTAGGCGATGTTTTAGTGATAAGACAACCGGTTCGTCATACCTGGCAAAAAAGGAGATTAGTGAGGGGTGAGCTTAGGCAAGTGGAGTAAGGTGGCTGTTCTGCATGTTTTTCCTGTCGGCGCTCAAAAGCGCAAAGCAGAAATCATGTGCATGATATGACACCCACGACACCCACATACCAGCAATGTATCATTGGCAATGGCAGTAAGTATTGACAGCTCGGCGGCTGCTTTCATGGTGCCGTAGGGGGCTTTGCTCCACGGGACGCCTCCTTGCCCAAGTCCCCCAAGGTGGGCCTGGAGGTGGTCCACGGCGCGCTGAGCCTCCCAACCCCCTGCGGAACCGCCACCAAGATGAATCAGAACGTGGCGGAGGAGGAGAAGGCGGAGCAGCAGCAGCAGCAGCAGCAGGAGGAGGAGGAGAAGGAAGAGGAGCACAAGATGGAAGAGGGTCAGGGGAGTGGGCGTGAGGCGGGAAACGTCCAGCTCGCAAGCCCGCACTGCAAGCTGGGCCAGCTACATCGTCCGCTGACAGTCGCGGCTCCGGTGTACGACCGTGTCTGCGCGGGGACTTCACGGCTGGACGAGCTAGACGAGCCGTCAGCTCATGCACCGCCAGCTGCCGCCAAGTTGGGATTCAGTGAGGAGGAGCAGTTGCTGCTGCACCTCTGCCGCAGGATGGTCCGTCGGGAGGGCGTTGCCAGCCATGGCGGCGGTGGCGGAGCAGTAGTCGGTCACCTGGGGCAGTCTAGAGGCCCCAGCAGCTTCATCGACGGCGGGAGCGGCTCCGGCGTTTGTGAAGCTTCCAGCGCTGACGCCGCAAGCTGCTCCTACGTTGACCACAGCAGCGGCGGCAGCAGCGGCGGCGGCAGGAGCAGCAGCAGCAGCGCTCGTGTAACAAGAACATCGTACGACGACGGGGCGCGGAGCGTGTACGGCGCAGCTGAGGTTGCAATCCGCTGGGATGGCGTCGGGAGATGGGCTGGGGACGTTGACGTGGACGTTGACGGGGGAGGTGAGAAGTCTGAGGGCATTGGCGACAGGGACGGCTGTCTTGGACTGATGTGGATGCATCTTTATCTTAAAGTGCCGGGGTTGGAGCCCTGGGATTTGCCGCCGGGGGTTGATGGACGGTTGACGTCTGCGGTGGCGGAGGCGACGGCCTGCCCGGACGTCGCCGTCGGCACGGACATTGCTATCCGATCCGGCTGTGTGGAAGTGCATTTGGATTTTGTACGGCAGGCAGCTCCAGTCGTCACTGGGCCGCCGGCGGCGACGGCGTCAGTGGGGCCGGCAGTACCGGCAGCAGCACCCGGGCAAGCCGGCGTGACACCGCTGCAGGCAGGGCCCCCTTATGCCGCGGATCCCCGGACAGGGCTGATGACGAGCAATAGCCAGTTTGCGCCGGCATCCTCAGAGCAGCAGGGTTTGGCCAGCTGCATCCTGCAGGCGCTGGGTCTGCCGCCCGGGTATGACGCGGCCGTACGGGCGCAGGTCGGTGCGCACCTCCTAACGCTCACACCGGCGGCGGGCTCGGGCGGTGGCTGGGCGGTGCTGGGGACGCGATGCATTCAGCCGCATGAGGTCCCCCGCGTGACCAAGATAGAGCCGCCAGTAGTGGTGACAGAGGCGGCGGCGGGAGCAGGCGCCGCCGCCGGACACGTGGCGGCGGTACTGCACCTGACGATTAGCGGCTCCCTGGAGCGATTGACCATGGCGCACGAGGACACGGACTTGGAAATTTTGGCGCTCTTTGAGGGCGCTTTCCTGAAGCTGTCGAAGCTCCGATGGGGGCCCCTGGAGCAGAGCCAGTTCGCTGCCGTCGCCAATGGTGGCGGCGGCGGCAACGTTGCCACCACGGCAGTGGTGGCGCCACGGCGCGTCGTGCAGCTTCCGCCCTGCCTGGCGCTGAGTCAGCGGTCTTTAACTGTGAACATAGAGCTCCCAGCGGGTCGTACGGGAGCCGTCAGCCTGCTGCTCATGCGCCGCGGTACAGCCGGTCAAAACCACCCATTGTTGTTGTTGCAGCCGGGCGACGCGGCGATCGCGGCGGAGGTCTCAGCGTTGCAGGAGAGCGGCGGAGCCGCCGCCGCTGATGACCCTCCCTCGAGCAGAGTCGCGAGCTTTATCCGGGACCTGGGGCACTGGTTGCAGTACAGAGACTTTTGGCGCCGGAAGGCGGCGGCGGCGGCTCTGTTGGCTGCTTCCGCCAGCGGTGTTGGCGGCGCCGCCGCTGCTCGCCCGTCGAGTTATCTGGGGCCCCGGCTGTCTGTGGCATGGATGAGGGCATGGCTTTCTCGGAGCCGGTGGAACGATGCTGGCGGCGCCGCTAGCGGCGGCGGCGGCGGCTGCACGAACTCCTCGGCGTGGTTGAAGCTGAAGCCACGAGGTCTTGGATGCGTGGTAGGTAGGTCGGCAGCGGCGGCACCGGCGCCGCTGGGGCATCTTGCTGCTGCGGTTACATCCAGCTCGTCCAGTCACGTGGTGACGGCCCTGAACTCGCACCCAGCGTACTCAGCGCAGACACAGGACGATTCGGATTTGCTTGACCAGGGTCAGCCAAGCGGCACTGACACCGGTAACGCCAATACTCACTTTTACAGTCTGCGCCGTGGTGGTGCTGGCGGCGGCGGCGTGAACCGGCCGGTGGCGGCAGTGCCGATGACACAGCACAGTTACCAGCCATTCACCCATGCGCAGCAGCAGTCAATTCCCCGTGGCCATGGCGCGGGGTCGTCGTCGCTGTCGGTGGAAGAGCAGCAGCGGCTGGCTCAGGGCTCTCTACCAGCGTTTGAGCAGCGGGTGTATCAGGGCCACATGCAAACCGCGCGCAGGGTGCTGCTGGAGTTTGCACTTGAGCAGCGATGTGTCGCGGTGGCGGGGGCCTTGCTGGAGCCCGCGCCGGTGCCCCTGCTGCCGCTGGCAGCACCGGCGGCCAGTGCCGCCATGACAGCCGCATACGGCTCCGCCAGCTACATCGCCGAGCTGGCAGAGTCCAGCCGCGCCACCAACCCCGACGGGCTGACGCTGCTGCACCGTGCCGTACGCAGCGGCGATGCCGTTACCGTGGACGTCATCCTTCGCGCCAACGAGAGGGCAGCGGAGGCTGCCGCCGCCTCCGCCGCCGCGGCGGCTGCGCCGCTGCCAGCGCAACTGCTACGACCGGGCCACCACTTCGTCCAGGACCATTCAGTTGACGACCAGCGGCGGCCCATAAGCTTGTACGACTGGAGCACACCAGACGTGCACGGCATTACGCCGCTGCATTACGTGGCCGTTTTAGATGACGGCGGTGCGCTGGCACGGCACGTGCTAGCCACACACGCTGAAGCTCAAGCGCTGTGGAACGCGGCTCGTCCGGACATGCCGTCGCCCGCGTCGTTTGCGGCTCAGAACGGAGTCTTTATCGACACGGCGGCGTTGCAGCGCGCGCAGTTGAAACATGAGGGTGATGTGGGCAGTGGCGCTGTCCCTGGACTCCAAATGCAGCGGACGCAGCAGCAGCAGCCCCAGCAACAGCCCCAGCAGCGGTAAGCACTGTTCTCTTGTATCACGGCACGCCAATAGGGCCGGGCTTAGGTCAAGGGAAACGTCGAATCCTGGATTCATCTGGACACGGTCCCATCTGGGCAATGGGGGGCGAGATCACCCACGTGAGGCGGCAGATCTTACGTGTCGCCTCTTCGTCCTTGTAAGAGAAAAAAACGCGTCATCGTGTACAGGTTCTTAGGAAGGCCCCGGGCAACGATATGCCCGGACACGGCAGGGCGGGACACTGTTGGGACACTGTTGTTTTGTTGTCAGCAACGGTTTTCGCTGCTGGATGATGTCGTGAGTGGCTAGGGTTTGGCGCGGGAAGGGACTCGTGGGAGGGGTTAAAGCGTGTCATTCCATAAACGAGAACCTTTAGTAGCGGCCTGAGACGCCGGTCCTTCCCGGGCTGTTCCTGGCCAAAGCAAATGAACCCCCTTTGCTGTGCCCAGTAACCAGTAACCACCACTCTACCAAGTCATTAAACCGTTCCTTGCCCATGTCCCGCCGCTGCAGAACTCGCCCGCTTTTCCTGGCTGTCGTGTTGGGCTTCTCCTGCGGTGAATTGGAGCGGTGCTACCAGCGATACGCACGTGCGCAGGCTCAGAGCGGCGCACTGCCCGCCTGGCTGCTGCTGCTGCTGCTCCATTTGGTGGCAAGCGCGGCCGTGTTGTTGCAGGTGCGATTGGGTGAGGGTTGACGCGAACACGGTATGTATGTTGGGCTGTGGGGGGAAGACGTGGTGCAACGCCCTGGTGGCGGCGCCTCCACTTGCTGCCCAGCTCAGCTCCCTCGCTTCGGAGGAAAACACGAAGCCCTTCACAGCTTTTCACAGCCTTCATAAGGCAATACCAAGACCTTCTCAATGCCCCGAGTTGAATGCCGTACAAGGCCGAGACGGGATATTACCTTCGCGATTGCGAAACGATGCCTGGATCGCGCTGCAGTGCTTGGTTGTGCTCCATGGCTTGCTGGTTCCTTGCAGGGAGAGAGGATTGTGGTTTCATTGCATGAAGAATTCTTCAAGAGCAGATTGCCCTCCGGGGCAGGCTGCCCAGAGCCCCTATAGAATCTCTTTGCGACGCCGGCTCAGCAAAACCTGGCACGCTGCCAGTCTCCTGAACCCTGCCATGAAGCATCCCGAATTTGACAAGAGCCTTCGCACCACACCACACCACACCACACCGCAGGCCTTTACACAGCCGCACGCCTGCTGCCGTCGCGCGATGCTGCCGCTGGTGGTGCTTCAAGGCGCTGGCTTCTTACTGGCGCTCTGCTGCTGCTCTCGACTCGTGGGTCTACCCCGGGGAAGCATCTGTCGCGTTGCCGCATGGGCCATGCAGGCGCTTGCCCTCGCGATGCTGCTAGCCAGGACCATCAGCCCGCAGTCGATGCCCTGGACTCTCAGCTGCTCTGCATCAGCAACTTCAAGGACAACGCAAGCGGGTCACGATGGAGCGGGTGTTGGTAGTGGCGATGATGACATTCGGTTTTCAGCCGATGGAACCTGCGGCAGCACCACGTTTCACCACGGCCTGCTGGCGCTGTATCATGCACTTGCCGTGCTGTCGGTGCCGTACGTACTGCCGTACGCACTGCACAAGGTGCTGGCCGTGCAGGCTGTCGAGGTGGTGGTGTGTGTGTTGCTAATGACGAGTTGCTGGGCGCTGGGCTGCGCGGGAGGTTTCGGAGCCTCGGCCATTGCGGGTAGTGACGGTGACCATGGGATTGGCGGCGAGGCTCTGCAGGGCGCAATAGGACTGGCGGGCGATGGCGGCGTCAACGGCACTGGCATCTGTACCGCCAACGCCGCCGATGCCGCCGTCGGCGGTGTCGTCTTGGGCGGCAGCGATGTCGGTAGCCTGGGTTTGTTGTGGGCGGGAGGCGCCGCGGCCCAGGTGGCGGGGGGTACCCTGCTTCGCGGTGCGGTGTCCTCGTTGCTGATTCTTGCTGCTGACTTGCGCACCCGCGCCGCCTTCGTTTGCAGCCATGTCGACAGCTCGCTACAGCTGTTGCAACAACGACAACAACAGGAGCGCAAACAGCAGCTATCGCATGCCAAAGTGGACTAGAGCCTTTTCAGTTGGAGCTGCTATCAGCTGAATCGTACATCGTTTACACACTGTAAACGTTGGAAAGCGTTGGTGCGTTTTGGGTCGCCACACAGAGACATCTGCATGCCTCTGTTCGTGATGTCGCACGGTGGCATGCAGGCTGCAGGCTGCAGGCTGCAGCAGACCCTGTGAAGATGCAAATAAGCTGTCCGGACGGACTGCGGCTGTCCTTGGGGGCATGGCAGAAGGACGGTGAGGGGGTTCTGACGACGGGTGTTTGGACGGTGCGTTCAGGGGAGGGATCTGCGATTGCGTGCATGCGTGCGTGCGTGCATACATATAGTTTGATGTATTACACAAGTTGATCTTCACGTGTGTGTTTGCCTTGCCGGTCTAGGACTCTCTGGCGACAGATCGGCTGGGTGAGGTCTTCGGTTCTGGGCAACGAGATGTGGTCATGGGCCTGGCCCGGCCCGGCCGTACCTTTATAGCGGCACTGCAAGTGTAATTTATTTACCCGTTTGTCTTGTAGCAGTGTGGGCGGAAAGGAGAGGCATGTGAGTCGGCATAGTGAGGATGTCGATGTGTGTGATTGGGCCTTTGAGTACAGGTACGTGGCAAAACGGGCAGGTACGGTGCAACAAGTAGAAAACGTATTTGGCAGCGGTCAATTGCGTGTTTTTTCCTTTTTGAAATAATATATTGAAGAACACCCGCCCTCGTAAAAGAAACGCTGTTTGGTTAATAAGTTGTTTATGCATGTCGTGTACTTGATGCTTATGTTGACGCTTCGGATGTCCTCCCTTCTCCCAAATTTTACTGTATCGAGATCGCAATAGTTGACCGGTGGAGTTTTAGATTCGAAGTAATGTGGTTCTTTGTCGTACCGGTATAGCTGATGATGATGATGCTGCTGCCACCAGGGAGGAAACCATCCGGAAGGTTCACCTGCACTGCACCGCGTGGTGCGGAGTGGCAGTGAAACTCGCCACATGTGTCCCCTGGGCGGGCACATTCCCGCCTTCGTTATTATCTGGTCCTGCTTTTGAGATAGAATCCAAATCCAAGTTCACCCGTGGAGCGGGTTGCTCGATGGGGTTGCTCGTACATTGAGCCCCACCGGCCGCTCCACCGGCTCCATGGCAGCAGCCCAACAGTAGGCTTTTCCTCTCGCTCTCCCGCGGCATACGCCAGCTCTTAGAGAGTTGCGGTTCAGAAGAAGGGTCCTTGTTCTATGACATGCAGCTGATGAGAAGCAAGTAGCATATCAGGCATGACGCAGTTGGAGACCTTCTCTGGCCCTCTAAAGGCCTTGCTAGAAATCCTCACGATGGTGGTAAGGGCATAAAGATATTCTTGGGTGCGCTTTTCTGAGGGGGGTCTGGGCTATCAATGTTAGCGACCTGCCGATTGTGTTGTGATCTTTTCACGGAGAATGATAGCAGGTCGAGAATTTATTGGGCTTCGGTTTATTCGGGTTATTATTGTTCGGGGCTGGGGACCTGCCTGGTGCAGCTAGGTAAGGTCGGTTCCTTACACTGCGACTATAATTTACACTGTGACTATGCCTGCGACTATAATTTACACTGTGACTATGCTTGCGTCAGGTGATTTGAGTACTGTTTGCCCCAAATATTGGGTATGTGCCTGTCACGGCCATCACGTGCTCACTGTGGTGTTGTCAGAGCTTTTGGTTGACAGCGAGGGGTGAGGAAGGAGAGGAGGCGCATATGTGCCTGTGTAGCTGAAGTGTACTTGAGGATGGGTACTTGAGTGCACCGAAAATACATGCATTGTTGAGCGAGCGCAGTTGCGGCGTTCTTGCTGAACTTGAACGGCCCGAACGTAATCTGAAATACAACCTACGGGATTCATGCGGGGGTCAGTATGTTAAGTTGTAAGACGGTCGTCGTCCGGCAACTCTGTGTACGTGTCTGTGTGTATGTGTCTGTATGTATGTCTGTGTGTGTGAACGTTAGAAGTATCTGATCGGGCCTGAACTGGCCAGGGACTGCTGCCCAGCCCCAACGGAAAGACCGGCTAAGCTCTCTCCCGCAGACGGGAGAGGGGCGTGAAGGGCCTCTGCCCCCTCCTAAGCAGCCAAGAGCCGCAGGTCCGCTAGTTCCGCTCTCCTCCCCCCTGTGTGTGTGCATGTGTGTGTGTGTGTGTTTTGTTACAGTGGGCTCCAGGCTCACAAAGAGTAGAGCCAGTGCGCCAGCTGGCCGTGCATATTACTGTGCCTGAGACCAGCAGGGCAAACAAGACTCCCACCCAGACCAGACAACTCAAGTGACCTAGACAGCCAAAACCAAACCCAAAGGGAAGGCTCAAAAACCCACGACCACTGGTTAACTTGCCAATAGGCCGTCCAATTGGCGAAAGTCCTCGGATCCCCACCAGAAGGCCGACCAGCAATTGCTGACAGGAACTTGCATGTTGTTACTACGACAGCAAGAGACCCCCAACATAGCGAACAACTGCGCTAATCAGCTCCTCTCACCCATTGCCATTTTAACGTCTCTTCGCTAAGGTAGCGGGTAGAGACAACCAGGAGCCAGCCAAACTACACACCCCATGACTAGAAAGCCAACCCAGAAACTCAGTGGCGGCACCATCCTGGCGAGACACCGTAGAGGAAGCTAAGGCCCCCAGGAGCCACTGGTTGGCCTCGGCCAGACCCCGCTGATAAGCAGCCTCCTGGTCCGCGGCTGGAACGAGAAGGGAAGAGGACGAAGCCGAGTGAACACCTGGTCTAGGTGACCGCGGGCCACCCCCAGGGGAGCGGGTACCTGCAGCCGAGAGAATCGCTTTGGAGAGCGCTAGAGCGGGCCAACAGCCAACGGACATTCCCTACCAACCTGGGCAGGAACACCCAGCGGAAAAGACCGGCCAACGGGGGCCCCGGCAGAGACGGCGGTGACGCCGGGGGCAACCCCAGGGCCAGGGGAGGAACCCTACATTGCCCCCGCGGTCCGGGAGGGGGTGGTGCTGACGGCCGTCGGGGTGAAGGTGTTCGTTGACATGGAGGTCGCGGGTGTGGCGGGTGAGGGCGGGGATGGGAGGAAGGTGCTGAAGGTGCTGGTGATCATGGTGGTGCGCGGGTTTCTTTTCAGAGGCAGCATCACCATGGGCAACCATGTGTGCAACCGCATGACGGCATGACGAGCATGGAGCGCTTGTGCATGCTGGCACCGCGGAAGGTGGTGAAGCAGGAGAGGGTTGGAGTGATGCTGCGCCGGGTCATACACGGTTCCTTTGTCCAGCTGGCAGAGGTCGTCACGTACACGGGGCAGGCGGGTAAGGAGCAGGCAATTACATGCAGGTGTACTGTGGGCTGCACGTGTTGGCTGGTGAAAAGTTCGTGGGCAAGGAGAAGGAGGACGATTGAGGTGATGGCTCTGGTGTTGAGCTGTGAGTCGGTCGTGTCCTTGAGAGGTGCGTAACGGGCATGAAGTGGAGGGTCCTTCGCAATCGGTCTCGTGCTACTCGCACACAGTAGTCAACACTACTGTGTGCGAATGACATTCTCGTTGCCACCTGTATGCTAGTTATGCCAACACGCAACAGGGGTTCCAAAAGCGTTAGAAGGCAGCTGGCTGATGCCAGCACGAGTCTTTAGGCCCAAACAGCGCGGGCAGCCACAACAGGCAGCTAACCAAGGGCTGTAACCACCGAAACCACACCAGTAGCCGTTGACCACAAGGACCAGAAGCCACCCATAGAAAGCAGCAAAGGCCACCAGGCCAGATGCACAGGCAGAAACGACACCAGAATGGCAAGAAACCGCAGTCATCCCCACTACACAGCGATGGACTCAGGAGTCGGCACCCTTATTTGGTGGGTTGTCGACGGCTCTGGACAGTTGGGGACTTGTCATCGGCACTTCACACTTTTTGCGGATTTCTAGTTCCTAGTGCGACAACGTTGAGATGATCGTCCATTTCAGCACAGCATTTCAGAACTGCTACAACCCCTTTCTCAAGTCACAGCGTCACAGGACCGGATTTAGTGAATCCGTTTTGTAAATGGGTGGTTGGTTATCGTACACGCGCGGCTAACCGCGTGAAACGGCGGGTCCACGCCATACGTACATCCTAGGTTTCTGAGTTTTTTAATGTTGCACTAACTCTTTTTGTACATGTAATATAAGTCAAGTGACAGGTTAGCTAGCGGCCTGAAAATGTGCTTAGTTCAGACGTCGGTAACTGAGTCGCGGATGTTCATCCGGAATCCCCAATTACGCGCTCTGCGCTGTCGTAGTATATCAGGCTGCAGGTTAGGTCAAGTGCCGTGGGCCAGGTCCACGGGCGTTGCTATTGTTGCACGACACCAAGGCGTCCCACCAGGGTTGCCTGCCACAGCAGATGTCCATCCAGCTATCGTTAATATCTCCGAGGACGAAGTGGTGCAACGATACATGCCAACTGGTGTTCGTGTGGTGCACGTTTCTCAGCAGCCATCAAAGGAACTTCCCTTTCTCTTCTACCTCCCCGACATAGATGGAGCTGGTGTTACAAGTAGACTCCAATGGAAGGTTAGCTATCTACTTTCTGTACATGGTGCTCCAACCGACCATGGCTCGCAACAACCCTGTTGCATTTTATCACCACGATGCTGGAGCTGCTTGCTTTGGTCTTCAAACTAAACCGACATGCGTATCTCTCCTGTCTGGAGCCAACTTCGTCGTTCATGCTTTGTTCCTCTGTTCCGCAGGCATGGTCCGAACGCTTCGACATGTACGCCCTCACGCTGGACGCGGACTACACCTGCAGCTTTGCAGAACTGGTAGCAACCACGCAGGACTGGCTGCGGCAGGAGCTGTCGGGCATATCCCCCTACCGGCCGGTGTACCTGCTGGGTGAGGGCTTCGGCGGCGTCCTGGCCCTGCAGCTGGCGTGGGACTGCAGGTATCACCCCGGAATCCCTCTGAACATCTCCGGGACTTCTTTACCTCCTTTACCCACAATCCGTTGGTAAAGGACATCTTCGAGAATAATCGGGACGTGTTGCTTCCGTGGTACCAAAACCAAAACCGGGAAGGTAGCAGCTCCGTAGGCCAAACGGCAGGTAATGTCGGAGGTTACTCAGCGGAAGGCTTCTGCGGCCCCCATCATATGCATGATGCCATGAAGGATACTACCCTGGTTACCACCCTAGGGTCTTTGGGGAGGGTCCTTCCTGTCTCGCACTCCCCTTCAGTTCCGGTGGCTGTCGAGACTGCCGCTGCTCTTCATTTTTAGTGCTCGTTGATCGGAACTGAGTTTCTCGCCGCGGAAGTCTATGTCTATGGCTCTTGCTATCTCGGCACTAGGGACTGGTCTGTTTGGCTGCTTTGACACATCAGCGGTTGACGCACATCCACAGCTTTTTTGCGCCATGCATTGTTTACTACTACACTTGTATCTGCCTCTCCCTCCTTCCCCGCCGATTGCCTCTCCGGTTATTAGGCGCCTGGTCAATCGTCTGGTGCTGGTCAACCCAGCCACGTCATACTCCAACTCCCAACTGGCCCGCATCACGGCCTTCCTGGAGCGCCTCCCACCTGCGCTACGGAATGTGCAGCTGCCCCAGCTGCCCCCCTCCCTACGGTTGTTGCCAGTGCCACCAGCCGCGGCACTGCCGGTGGCGCTGGCGCCGCTTCTTGGAGCGAGTCCACAGGCTCTTCTTCGGCAGCTTGTGGGGAGTATCAGTCAGCAGCAGCCCGCGGAAGCGGTCCAGGTAGGGCGTGTAAGGGGCCGCCCCGGAGTGGGTGCTTGTGTTGGATGCCAAAGATTGGAAGGCGGGTGGGAGGGAGCTGCACTGCTGAATGTTCGGGGTTGGATTTGCGGCTGGAGAGGTACGTGAAGTAAGATAGGGGGTGCGCGACCTGATGGGTAGGTAGGTGGTGGTGGGTGGTGGTGGGTGGGTGGGTCAGTAAGAGAATCTGAAGCCGTGGGGGGCAGGGTTGGGGGTGAGAAGGATGGGGTACGTAACACGAGGAAAATCAGGTAGGCCAGGTAGGGCAGGAGAGAGTGGGAAAGGCTGCAGGTTAGGAAGAAAGGAAGAAAGGCAGGCAGGCGGGGAGATGAGTGAGACCCAGGCGAGAACGCCGATAGTTAGGTTTACCAGGAGAGGGGGTAGAGAAAAATGTATGCACATGTAGCCTCCATTCACCCGCTCCCTACATCCCGCCCCCTTCCCCTCCCCCGCCCCTTCACAGGCGCTCAACCGGGCGCTGGCGCAGGTAGAGCAGATCTCCGAGCACCTGAGTCCCGCCACCTTCCTCCACCGTCTGAAGGTGCTGGAGGAGGGTATCAGGTGCGGCGGCATCTGAAACCGGGTTGCGCAGCCGGTCTCTACCTTTCCGTCCGTCTGGAAAATCATCTTTGAAATCTCGGATGGAAACATTTACTAGTGGGCGTCTAGGGGTCTGTCCACCTGATTGACATCTTGTCGTTGACCCTCGCTCCGGGTCTCTTGCTTCTCCTTCATCCTCAGCGCTTCGGTGTTTTCTTTTTGGGGGCTCCATCTTCACTCAAAACCCTACCCACATGTCGGCATCTCTTTTTTTTGCATCCTCAATATCTGCGCACTTTGACCGCACTTTGCATTTTTGCCCCATTTTTGATCCGCCTCCCATTGCCATACCTCTCTCGCTGTCCCCAGATTGGTTGAACCACATTTGGGCCGCATTCCTCAGCGCACGATGGTGCTTGCGGGCGGTCAGGACTTTGTTTTGGGATCGGACAAGGAGGCGCAGAGGCTAGCAGAGGCCATGCCGAGAGCCTTTGCAAAGGTATGTTTTAGAGGGTTGGGAAGGGGTAAGGGGAGTAGGTGTGTGTGTGTGGTGGGGTGGACGGGTTTGTGTTTGTGGGGGGGATCCGGGGTGGGGGTTCCCGCGCTACGGAGGTGAAGAATGGGGAGGGCTGAGGTCCCGTTCCCGCAATGAGCTCGTTCTAGTGTTGCTGCTTTCTGCTGGTGGTGGAGGGGTACTAGTGCTGGTAGCTTTCAGAGTTTTGACGCTGCGGTACATTGCCGTACGGCCCTCCTTTCTTACCCTCAGGTGCTCCCAGACTCGGGCCACGCAATGCTGTACGAGCCAGGGGGGGACCTTTTACCGCTGCTGGACGAGGAGGGCTTCTACATCAAGCGCCGCGTGTTCAGCTCCCCACCGGCTGCGGGGGCGGGGGTGGATGTGAATGCGTTCGGCACAGCGGGGCCGGTGGAGGTGCCGAACGCGCAGGTGGGTCGGGTGTGTGTGTTTGAGGACTTGAAGAGCTTTGAGGGGGAAATTGGGGTCCAAGACGAACCACGGGGAGGGGGACAGGGGGATTCAGTCCGGGGTCCAACGCGCACTCGTATCGCGAGATTCACTTACGGTTGAATAGCGGTTGTTTAGTCACGTATCTCCCGTCCCTGTCACCCTCCACACCCGCACGCTGCTTCCGCCGTCCACATCCTAACCGCGTGTACACGTTCGTCTTTCCCCCACACCCACACCCACACATTTCAGGAGGTCCGGCGTTATGCCAGGTCCTGGACTGTACGACTAAGAGAACTCAACAGCCCCGTGTTCCTGTCCACATTGCCTCGGGACGGCACTCGGGTTCTGGGACTGGAGGGCCTGCCGCTCAGAAAGCAACCCACGGGTCAACATCATGATGAGGATGATGATGGGGATTGTGGCGACAGCAGCAACAGCCGGCCGCAGCAGCCGAAGGGTTTCAAAGAAGCGGAAGCGGAGGGCAGCTGTGATGGCGGTTACGGGCCGTTGCTGTTCGTTGGCAACCATCAATTGTACGCATTCGACATGTCGGTGAGGTACTTGGGCCCGCGCTTGGTCTTGTACTGGGTTTGTTTGGTTGTGTGGGAGTTTTTTTAGGGTTGATACGGAAGGTTTTCTTTTATCTGCGCTTGCGGTTTTGACCCATGGAAGAGTTGTTGTGCGTCAGGGCTCCTAATGTGGTTGTGGGAGATGCGGCAATCGGTTGGCAACCGTTTTGCTCTGGATTGCACTTGGCGTGTTCTGTGGCACATCCCTAGTCCTGGACCCCATCCTGGATCCTGTAGTGGTGCTCTGATGTGTATGTGTGTGTGTATGTGTGTGTATGTGTGTGTATGTGTGTGTATGTGTGTGTATGTGTGTATGTGTGTGTGTGTGCAGGTGATGGTGGAGGAGGTACTCAATAGCCGCGGCATCCTGATGCGGGGCCTGGCGCACCCGGGATTGTTCAGTCACCAAGACGGGACGGGGGAAGGGGAAGGAAGGGACAACGAAAGCCACACTACTGGCCAGCAGCAACAACAGCAACAACAAGATCATGGCCAACGCCAGCGGCACCAGCAGAACCCGCGGAGTGAGGAGGGGCAGGGCGGGGGGACACCGGGGGGACGTGAGCGCAGCAGTGCCAGTGCCAGTAGGAGCAACAGCAGCGGCGGCATTCGCGCTGGTGGAGGTGGTGATTCACCTACGCCCCCCGCCTTCATGGGCAACATGTTCCAGACGTTTGGGGCCGTGAGAGTCACCCCCACCGCCATGTACCGCCTGCTGGCAGCCGGTGTGTGCCCTGGGCGGGCGGAGGGGGGAGAGGGGCGGTGTGGGGGATTCGGCGAGGTCGGATCCGTGGGAAAGGCTGGTCTGTCTATCTACCTCTCTGTCTGTCTGTCCGTCCGTCTGCTAAAGTCGTGTGGCGTGCGGCGATGGATCCGCGGAGGGCGTCGCGTGGCCAGCCTTGGCCCTGTCCAGCTCGACACTCTCTCTTTAGTACTCTCCGTTATCGCTGTGTTGATAAATGACCGGCACACACACACACACATGAACCCGCAGGGCAATGTGACACAGCAGTAATAGGACCGGAAAAGAAGGGGTCCGTGGCGCTTTGCTGATTCCAACGCACCGGCACGGCTTTTCATGATGACGGCATTTATGTGGTCATGAAAGGGCCCCCAATGCTCCGGTTCTCCCTCTACACGACCGCGATCGCGGTTGCTGTTCCCGCGTGGATGTGTGTTCAGGCGAGGCGGTGCTGCTATACCCTGGGGGGGTGCGTGAGGGCTTCAAGCGCCGCAACGAGAAGTATGAGCTGTTCTGGCCTGCAAGGTGGGAGCGAGGGGGCTGCGATGTACACATACGCACACATGCATGCAAGGTTTGTGCTTTCCTCATCAGCCCTTCAAAAACCAAAATCACACTGGGCATCACAGCACATCACACCGCAGCATACCGCAGCATACAACGCAGCACACCACAGCGGGGTATGTGCTCACGTTCTATAGTAGAAGCCTCCCTCCGCTCTGACCCGCCCCGCCCCGCCCCGCACCTGTGCCGTATCTCTCTGCCACACATCGAAGCCAGGTCGGAGTTTGTGCGCATGGCCGCCCGCTTCGGCGCCACCATCATTCCAATTTCCGCTGTGGGTTTGGAGGACTCGTTGGAGATCTTGATGGACTCGGATGACATCCGCAAGAGTCCCCTGTGGGGTGAGAGTGCAGGGGGCTCCACTGCGGGGGCAGCGAGGAGGGGGCAGGGGGGAGGGGGAGGGAGGGAGATGAGGCCTAGCTAGCACTTGCTTTCCTTTACCTGCCTGTCTTTGTTTTCGTTGTGTCCTGTGTTATCTGTCTGTCTGTTGTTTGGAGAAATAATTAAGGAACTGAGTCGGGGATGAAGGTGTGCGTTGTATGTGTTTCCTCGTCTGTGTGTCTGTGTGGTCTCTGTGTGTTTGTCAGTGGTGTCACTTGATGAACTGAGCCGTAGGAAGGTAATGTGCGGATGGCAAATATGTCTCCTGTGTGTATGTGTGTATGTGTGTATGTATCGCCCCAGGTGCCCGCGCCCGCGAGCAGGCTGCGGCGGTGCCCCCGGCCCGTGTGGGGGTGACGGCGGAGGACGCGCCTGACGAGACGTTCATCCCCCCCCTCATCGCGCCGTCGGTACCGTCCCGCTTCTACTTTCTGTTCGGGCGACCCGTGCGCACCTCCCCTGCCATGTACCGGGACAGGGCCGCGTGCGACCAGGTGGGTCAGTGGGGTGGGGTGGGGTGGGAGGGAAAGGGAGGTGGGAGGGAAATGGAGGTGGGAGGGAAAGGGGGCGAGTTACATGCAACAAATGTGAAGTAAGGAACTGCCGATGGCCAAGGAAGGCACCAGGAGCGCCGGCGTGCGGGAAGGGCAGTTGGCTCGGTTCATGAGTCTTATGGGGAGGCCGCGGGCATGGGGAGGGGTGACGTGCGACTGGGTTCTGGCATTGCCTGCCTTTGTGTGCATATGCGTGTGTATGCGGTTTACGAGGGCGAATAAGCCATACGGGTAGCGAGGCGCTCGTTGGTTGCGTCCAGTGTTGCGCACGGGGGGGTGCAGCAGCCGGGACCACACCGGTACGATCACCGTCGCCACCTGGGTTACCTGGAGCTATAGCTATCACGGGCCTATCTGCATCCGCCGATCGGTACTTTTCTGAAGTTGTGGTATAACATCACCGCAACCGCATCACCGTCGCCAACAACCTGCCTGTATCACACTAACGTACATGTCACATACCGCCGACCCGCGCTCGCTCCAGTGCGCGTTGGCGGGCCTTTGTTTGAGCGTACATGTCTTTTCCGCTGTGCGCCCGTGCATGTCTCTCACGTGTGTGTTTCTTTCGTGTGCGTTTCTTTGGTTTCGGAGCCGCTCCGTACAGGTATACCGGGAGGTGCGGTCCGAGGTGGAGTCCGGCATCAGCTACTTGCTGAGGAAGCGGGAGCAGGACCCATACCGGGACTTCCTGCGCCGTTACGTGTACGAGCAAAACTTGCCGTTTGGGCCGCGTCGCGTGGCTCCCACATTCAAGCCTTGACGCTGCTGGGCTGCGGCTTGGCTTGTCCGCATGAGTCTGGGTATTGGGCTGTGCTACGCTGGGCTGGATAAGGTCGAGGGAACAGCAAGGGCTGCCAAGCGGCGTGCAAGTGCATGCTGTGTGGCGCGGTGCGTACCTTGTACTGTGCTGGAATGGAATGGAATGGAATGGGATGGGATGAAAGCAGGCAGGCACATTAGCAAGGCGTTTCCTGCGGCGTGCATGTGATGAAAAAAAGGAATTGGCAAAGCGCTAGTTGGGTAAAACAGTGTACCGTACCGCGTTGTGTCCTAGTTGTTTAAATTGAAGGGGGCACCCATCAGGGAATGAAGTGAGCGCGTGCGGCGGCGGCGCACTGCGTGTGCATGTGTACATGTGATCCCGCAGGGATTATAAAAGTCTGGAGGTTGATTTGGTTCTGCTGGTGGGGCGAGGCAGAGGTAAATACTTCAGCTTGAGGGAATTAACAATTTGACATTTCCATTCTTTTTAATTGTTGTGAAATGATGTATTTCGTGGGGTGGGTTGTACTGAACTCCCAGCTCCATTCGTGTCCTCCCCCTCCTCCTCCTCACAGACACGTGGAAATCGAGCATATGGCTAGGTTCCTTATGTCCATAGCACACATCCGTACATCTGTATGTATATCTGTATGTACATCTGTACCTCTGTTTAAACCCAACAGACTTCGAGCTGCCAAATAATACACTGCTTTTCCTGCTGGCCCCCCGATCTCAGCCGCATTGTTGAGAGGGGGGAATCTCTGAGAGGTTATCCCGATGTGGGTCAGCGTAGTGCCGCTCTCATGAGTAGTTGGTTTATGAATGGGGTTGAACACCCATTTCGAGGTGACATGAGCTTTAGCACCCATTTCGAGTTGCGCGTCTTTGCAGTGCGAGTGCTGCGAGTGATGAGTGGTGGCGTGCGGCGGTGATTGCAGCGAGGTTTAGGGTCCCTTGCCACAGTGGCCACCGTGCGGTTGCGTCGATGTACTGCCCTTCTGTCTGTCTGTTCGCCTGCTTGCCTGTCTGTCTGTCTGTCAGGAAGGGCGACGCACACAGGGAGTTGTGGAAGAGTCGTATGTGCTGCACAAGAACGTGTCGTACTGATGTATGCGCGGGACTGACGTCAGTGGAAGGCGGCAACCGGGAGCTGCAGAGGGCTGGGTGCGGCTTCCCCCGGGCGGCTGTGTACACACACGTGCGCATGGATACATGCATACATGCATGTATGTATGTGTAGCAGTGTGAGTTGGTGGCTCAGATGAACGTCCTGCAGGTACTTCGCGCGAAATTTCTCGAGGGACAGAGAGCGAGCAAGGTTGCTAGGGGCCAGAAGGGGGCTCCAAAGGTAGTGCATGTTGAATTATGTGTGCTGCACATTGTAGAATGGCATATTGTGAAATAGGGGTGCCCGCGCTGCTAGGCCCGGATGGCGGGGCGGCGTGTATTGCAAGGCCTGCCATGCAGCGTCGCATCCTGGGAATGCGCATTGCGATGTACGGGGCTGGCATTGCAACGCGCTACAAGCAATTGATTTGATTGCGTCTCCAAGGTTGCTGTAAATACGTTTTGGAGCTGCCCGTCACGATCCCCTTACGAGACGCCGGTGTCAGCACTGCGCAGCACACAGCACGGCAGTGAGTGTGATGATGATGACGGTGGCATAATGCGACTCTATACTGTCACAATTATCCAATCCAACTTTAATGGCAGCATCTTGGTACGTTTGACAGTATGTTGGTGCGCTTGATAAATCGTCATCTAAGGAGAGCTCTTGAGAACGACGCGGTGGATGTTCTGTGCTGCACTTGAAACTCTCACCTCTGCCTCATCCTCCCCATTTCCCTCTTATCCCTTCCCCATTTCCTTCCTATATATGTCCCGTCCTCCTCCTTAATCTAGAATGCTCTTATGCGACTCGACACGGAACACAGCTCCCAGGCAGGCCACCGACACAGCAACTTATAGCAATCGCGGATTATCGTCTATCGTCTTTGCCGATGAAGGAATGTTGCCTGGAGGTGGATGTCTGAGTCCATAACAAATCCCTCTGCTACCAGTGTCTGCTGCGGCAACACACATACTATTGGGTCTACCATAAACATATCACCATCAATCCGCAATCATTGACGCTTGCTGGCCATCGCGGACGTGGCAAGCGACTGCCGACAGTTTCACATTAACCAATACGGTGGCTCATGCAAAAGAGTTCCACATCATTCCAAAATTCACAATTACGTATTTTGACATGGAAAAGCAGGCACAGCCGGTGAGTTGGACCCGGATGTCAGAGGCCTGGACACTGACAGCAGTACGAACTAGCTAAAACGGTATCTAACCCTCTTTTAGGAGTATGGCTTTGATTTTAAGGCATTGGAATTTGCACTCATGGTACATGGCTTGGTTTTGCGCGGAAAATTTGGCAGTTTTACACCACCTGATACTGCGCACGTGGGGCCACGCAAGTCAACCTGTAGGTGATTCCATATATTCTCGTTATTGCACGGTAAACTCACATAATATTAGAGCGGTCGTCTTGGAACATTTGATATCCGTTCCGACTCGGCTGTATCTATTACAGCCTCACTGCTTAAGAGCTGGGTTTGAGAACCGCGTTCCAGCATGACTCCATCTTTTATGCTTGGAATGCAGCAGTCACACCATTCTGCAGCCCCAACATCCAAGAAGCATGGTGGACTTTTGTCGCGGCTTTTCAACTCCCTCTCAAGCGAAAAACGCATTGAGTCCAGCTCAGCAACTTTCAAGCCCACTGCTGGCTCTCCTTGGGCTCCACGCTGTCCACCTGCCTTGCCACATCAAGCAACGGCTTTTTCAGCAGCGTCTGCTAGTACATGCACTCAATCTGCCAGCCAGACCGGAGACACGCCATGCAGCCAAGTTCCAGTCCTGGGATACAAGATGAATATCGAGGAGAAATACTTGATCGGCCGCGAGCTCGGCAAGGGCGGCAATGGCGTTGTGCGGGTCGTCGTCAACCGCGAGACAGGAGAAGAGTTTGCGTGCAAGTCCATCAAGAAAGTCTTGAAAGACGCTTCCGAAAAGAAAAAACAAGGACACATAGAGAGGTACGTTTCGTTAAGCTGCTGGTCAGCAAACCGCATTAGGCAGGATTCCTGGATACGTTAAACTTACAGGGCATGTCACTTTCCAGAAAAATGTGCCTAGAGGTGTGTTTCTTCATTTTGTCTTGAACTTTCTGCTTCTCTGCTATTGTGTCCAGTCCCTATGCCCCAGTATCCAGTCTTATGGTTGTGGATAGACAAGTCACAAATATCTTTCTTGTTTCGATACGCATGTGGTCTTGCGTAGGAAACCGTCGACTGCCTTTTCCTTCAGCCCCTACTGCTTCCATCCGCTCCGCCTCACACTACATTACCGAAAACTTAACCCTAGACCCCAAAACTGCCTCGCTCCCAACCTCTGCCGTTCTCCTCAGCTTTTCCTGTTCCCCACCTTGCCTCCGCCTTTCCTTCCCGGCCTTGGCCGCAGCATCCGCCGCGAGGTGGCTGCCCTCTCCAAGCTGCAGGGCAGTCTCAATGTGGTGAAGCTGGAGGATGTGTTTGAGGACGAGGACCACGTGTACATCATCATGGAGATGTGCAAGGGGGGGGAGCTCTGGCACCGGATTGGCGACCGCCACTATAGCGAGCGCACGGTGCGTCTCGCCCGCCCAGGCTGTCCCGCGCGGCGTGGCGTGTGGCATCGCGTTGCGCTGCATTGCGAGAAGAGAAGCTTTCCGGGGCACGAGCACGACAAAAAATACACACAACAGCATCGCGATTTCCCCCTCCACTCCGTCACCATCACCCTTCCAGCAAACCTGGTCTAGGTCGATGCGCACTCCCCACGCTTGTCGCACTACCTGCACACACACCTCCCGCCCCAGGGGCCTCTCCTCATTTTCCCGTCCCCGCCCATCCCCTCCCCTTTCCCCAGGTGGCAAGCTTCATGCGTGCCGTACTCCGTACGCTGGCGCAATGCCATGCACAGAACATTATTCACCGTGACATCAAGCCTGGTGAGGGGTGGGCTGGGGTTGGGGTTGGGGGTGTTTCAGCACGGGGGTTTGGAAAGAGGGAAGGGGCCGAGCAGAAGAGGAGTCCGGGGTGGGCCGTGCCTGGGTGCGGGTTCAGGGGCGATGTTTTCATTTGCTGATTACATCGTGCGGTTCCGCTCCGGAATCTTCCTGGAGCCCCCGCCGCAGCCGTTCCGCCCTTCTTTACGTCGTACACCCCTCCCCTCCCCACCCACCCCATCTCCCCACTGAGCCCCGCCTCCCCACTAACACCCCCCTCGTCCCTCGCTCCTCCTCCCCCTCCCCCTCCCCACCCCACAGGTAACTTCATGCTGCTGTCCGGCGACGAACGCGCCCCTGTGAAGGCCATTGACTTTGGTCTGGCGGCTCCATTCGACCAGCAGCAGCTGCCGCGTACAGATCTGGGGCTGGAGGGGGTAAGTCCTCTTGTACGGCGTACGGCGTTGCCGTTGTGTTGTTACCGTACATTTGTCCCTTTCCGGAGGCCCTCGGGAGCCTAAAGCCGTACACGTACTACGGCCGTACTTTGTACTACGATGGTTACACGGTAATCACGACCCTTTTTCTCACCTTCCCTTCCCTCCGCTTCCCCTCCTCTCCCCCGCGTTCCCCTACACTTCCCCCGCAAAGACGCCTTGGTACATGGCGCCAGGTATGGAAACGTGTGTGTATGTATGTATGTATGTATGTATGTATGTATGTATGTATGTATGTGTGGATGTGATTTTAGGCACAAGTATGCTTTCAGAAGTGAGACGTGTGCGTGCGCTGGTGTACCCCAAACCGCCGTGAAGCAGCAGCTGGTCTACGTCACCCTGCGCTGCCTGCCCTACATTGCCCCGTGCTTGTGCTGCTGTGCACGTGTTGTTGGGGTATTTGGCATTACTTTGACATTACTCTGGCTACTTCGGTTGCGATGTAGCGAGTGGCACACTGGCCCCCCCCTTCCTGCGCACCAGAGCCCCGTGTGCTCCCCCCCATCGCTAGGGTTTGGGCCTGCGGATGTCCACCGCGGTGTTGGAGGTCATGGGCTTTCCCCCCTTTTGAATGACCCGCCAGAGACACTCCGCGGCGAGTGGTCCCCCTCCAGCGACATGTGGGCGGCCGGGGTGATGGCCTTCCAGCTGCTGAGTGGTCGGTTTCCCTTTGACGACAAGCAAAACTCATTTGCACCTGCTATCACGGCCATTTGGTGAGAGAAGGGGAGAGAGGGGAAGGGGGGGGAGGCACGAAGGAAGACATGTAAAAAGAAAGATACTGGAGAAAAAATTGGGGTGGGGAGGGGAAGGGAAGGGAAGGGAAGGGAAGGGAAGGGAAGGGAAGGGAAGGGAAGGGGAGGGGGCCAGTGTGCGTGTATGTCTTTTTGGGCGGGGCCCAAGCGCGAGGAGGAACCCCGCCCTGTACGACTGGCCCCGCCGTGTGGCCGTGTGACCGTGTTTAAGGACCAAACATAATATCTCACCCCGCTAAAGCGTGATATCGAAAGCCATTCCCTATTGGGTCGGTGATCGACATGCACCGATCAGCTTCCCGACTGCTCTTGCAAAGTGGGTCGGCTTCCCCGACCGCTCTCTGCACAGCCAGACAGCCCAGCAGATTGCGCACATGTGGCTGCTAAGCAAGGTCCTATGCGGACTAAAGGGGCCGTACCTAGAGCCCTTTTTCCGGCTCCGGGGGAGGGGGGAGGGGCCCGGCACAGCCTTGTCCTCCCTCGTACCCCCATGGAGCCCTTTCACCCCCCAAAACACGTACTTATCTCCCGCTTTTCCCCTCCCTTACCCCCCCCCATACATACATACATACATACATGGCCGCCCGCTTCCAGGCGCTCCGTGTTGAATGACCCCCTGGACTTCAGCCACCCCTCCTGGGGAGGCATCAGTGCGGAGGCCAGGGACTTCTGCAAGCTGCTGTTGAACCGGGATGTGGCGGCCAGACCCTCGGCTAGGGAGGCGCTCAAACACCCCTGGCTGAAGGGCGACTCGTCGGAGCGATCCGTGGGTATGTATGTATTGTATGTATGTATGTGGGGGGTGTTCGTGTGCGCTATAAACATGGACGTCGTGTGAAATGTTGGTTTTGGCAGGCAATCCCCCCCCAGGCAATCCCCCCAGGCAATCCCCCCAACCGCCCAACCCCCCTGCCCTCGCCCAACCCCAGGCAAGAAGATCAGCCGCACTGTGGTGGCTCGTATCCAGCGCTTCGCTTCGGGAAGTCTCTTCCGTCGCTCCGTACTGCAGTACATTGCTGCCGAGCTGCTGAGTCATCCGGAGCTGCTCATGGCGTCGAGGATGACGTCATCGTCGGCGACAGCGGCGGCGGCGGTGGCGGCGGGAGCAGAGGCCGCCGCTGGCGGCAGCGGGGGCGGCGGCGGCACAGTCGGCGAGGAGGAGGCATCTGTTGCGAAGGATACGAAGGTGGTGGCGGCGGCTGGGAGTAACGACCGGGTAGTGGCGGCATCCGAGTTGGCGGCGCTGGCGGGCTTGTTGTCCCAATTCCGGTTGGACCGTACGGACTCGTCCCTGGACGAGCGGCAGCTTGGGGAGGTGCTGGCAAAGATGGGTAAGTGGGGATGGGGTGGTGAGAAGGTGTTGAGGGACTTTTTGAATTTGAATTTGGCTTGTTGGCGCTAATTCCCATCTCTTGTCGCCATCCATCCCCTTCCGGTTGCTTTTTGCTAAGCCGACATATATACAGGTATACATGTACATATACGTATGCACCCACACATCATGCACACACACAGGTTTCCGCCTCGCGCCCAGCGAGGTGTCCCGGTTGATGGAGGGTCTCGACACGGACCGCAGCGGGTCGGTGGGTCGGTCTGATCTGGCGGCCTGCCTGGTCGACTGGCGGCACATGCAGCGGAACCACACGGACCTCTGGCTGCAGCTGGCCGCTAGGTGGGTGCCGGGGGGGGGCGGGGGGGTGCCGGGGGGGGGTTGGGGATTGGGGAGCATCATCGGGCATGCCGGGGTTTTGTGGGGGGGCGTTGGAGGGCTGGGTGAGAGAGGCGGTTTACAAAGCTGTAGGAGGGGCGGCAGAAGGGGGGAACGTTTTCGGGAGCGGATGTGAGTTGGTGTTACATCTTTACACTGGTATATGCATGTATGCAGTACATGTGTGCGCACACACATACACATACACACACTCTCTTTCAATCACCCCCCTCCCCCACTATCACTAAGCCCCCCTCTACCCCCCCCCCCGTTTCCTCCGGCACAAACCCCCCTCCCCCCCGCCCGCCCGCCCGCCCGCCCCGCACCTCAGGGCATTCCGTCATCTGGATCTGGACAGCAGCGGTGTCCTCGAAGTGGACGAGCTCATTGCGGCGATGCGAGCTCGGCTGCCGCCGGAGGAGGTGGCGGAGGCGCTGCAGGAGGCGATGGAAGAGGCGGCGGCGCAGGCGGCGGCTGGCGGCTGTGTGTATGGTGGTGCAGCAGCGACTGCCGGAGTTTCGACGTTTGGTTTCGGGGCGGCGAGCTTTGGTGGCGGTGTGATGGCAGGCTCGTCCTTGGCGGATGCACAGGGACTGGATTTTGAGGCATTTGTCCGGTTGCTTAAGGTAAGATGCTCCAGATGCTGGTTAGTACAGATGATGCCGTTAAAATCAATTCTTGTTACTGTTACGGCCATTCAGTTTGATTGTGTCGTACAGCAAGTCGTACTGCGCAAGCTTGTCCACGGCATTTCGTATATCTGCTCGATCGCAATTACAGCCTCACCTCCCAAGCTTATATTGCACCATGTTTCGCTAAAAAGGAAGCAACAAAACATTAAAACAACAAAAATGACTCACACTGACACACGATGACATACATACACATATAGGGTTTGGCACTACTGGTAAGGCGCGACCATTGCCCCCGGGAGATGCCGGGATCGATACCCATCAGGGTCAAAGTCCTTCCGATGGTGGAAGGCATTGTGCCCCTAGTTGATGGACGGTGGTGACCTGGGATAAAGGTAACTTGCGAGCCGACCAGGAACGGAGTTGGGCCGCTGTCGACCCGGCAGATTCCGTTGGATGCTGGTGGTGGGTGCGGAACCTAAGCGATCCACTGAGAAGATGACTAGGGTGACTGGATGAGGGTGCCCCGAAATACCGGGGAAGGCAGGGTTTCGCAGGGTAGCTGCCACGGGCGAAGATACACCCCCCTGTTTCACACATGCACACAGACACGCACGCACGTGTGTGTGTTTTGCGGACCGTGACGCCCCGTCTACTTCCGCTTCCAGGTGGGGTCGCACGACAGTCTGGATATGTACGACGACAGAATGAGCGTCCGATCTAGCGGCTCCAGGGGAGGCTCCCTTGACCGATATAATGCGCTCCTAGCGGCGTCTTCACACCGCCGCAATGCCGTACTCGCTACCAGTTGCAGTACAGCCGCGACTGACTGGAGTCGCCACGGCCCTGGCGGCAGCCGCCATGGCAGCGGCGGCGGTGGCGGCGGCAGCCGCCACGGTGACGTGTCCGTACATTCGTACGCCAGCGACCGCAGTGACGTGGCGTCAATGCCGGATAATGACAGGTCGCAGCACGGCAGCCAATACCGTCACGCGATGGCGGTAGCGGCGGCGCCGCCGCCGCCAGGCGCCATCTCTTTCCGCTTCGATACAGATCGTACGGACAGGTCTGTCGGCGGAAGCAAGTCAACAACCGTTTTGTCGGTATCGGCGGCGACACCAGCTGCCGCCGCCGCCGCCGCCGGGAGCGCTGCCGCCACAAACACCAACTACGGCGGCGGCGGTGGCATGGTCTGGCGTTTCGACGTCGGCGGTCCCAAGGCACCACCACCTCCGCCGCCGCCGGTATGGCGCTTTGATGTCAGCGGCGGCGGCAGCAAGGGCAGTTGGGATCATCAAGTCGCGGCGCCGTCGGCGACCTCGGGCGGCGGAGGCGACCGCAGCGGCGGTGGCGCCGGCGGTACCAGCCTCAATGGGCTGCATGTACGGCAGCAGGGCGGGCACTTTGACCGCCGTATGCACGGCAGCAATTTGTACCGCAACGTGGCCCTCCGAGCTCTCCAGGGAGGAGGTGCGGGAGTGGGACCGCACCGCGGTAGCTGTCTATTGGATACGGTGGCGGAGTGATGATGCGGGTTGTACGAGGAGCGGTACGACAGCGGTGCAAATAAGCTGAAGGTGGTAATGATGATTGACGACGATGGTGATGATTGCAATCGGGATTGCTATCGGTGGGGGCTTGGGAGATGGGGAATGTACATCTGCATTCGGGGGAAAGTGCGGAGGAGCGGCGTTGAGTGCAACGCTACTGTGCTGCCTGGCGGTGCTACGTGCCTGGGGGGGGGAGGAGGGAAAGGTAGGAAAGGTGGCGGGAGAGAGAGAGAGAGAGAGAGAGAGAGAGAGAGAGAGAGAGAGAGAGAGAGAGAGAGAGAGAGAGAGAGAGAGAGAGAGAGAAGGAAATGCTAAGATATGTGTGTAGATGTTTTTATGTTTTAGGGTTTTAGAGATTTGGGGGATAGGCAATCATCCGGAGAAAGAGATAAAGAAATGAGGAAGAAATTTTGTGTGTGAGAGAGAGAGAGCGCAAGCAGGCCGGCATTGCGGGTATCGGGGGACCCCGGGTTGCTTCGCGGTTGGTCGGTTGACAAGGACGGTTAGATCTGTGTGTGATGTGAAAGGGGGAGGGAGGCGATATGTGCCCCAAAGGCGGCATATATCGCCGACATGGGACTCTGATGACCTATTTGATAAAGTGTTCGGACTCTTTAAAGTTTTGCGGTTTACATTCAATATGAGGTGTGGCTCACTTGACTTTTGATTCAATGCAATCCCCGAGTTGAGTCGAGTTGAGTCGTGTTGGAAAAAAGAGAACAGGCCCCAGGTTTGCCAACCACAGCCCGAGGGTTGGCGAGAGCTTCGTTGCGGCTTGCTGGGGTTACTGGGCTTGCTGGGGTTTTAGCCCTAATTTCCCCTTGTCGTTGTCGCTGTCGTTGTCGCTGTCGTTGTCGTTCTAGACAGAGCTAGACCAGTTGCCATACATGGAACTCGCGCTGCTTGACGAAAGGGGGCAGTGGCCGGATGCATGGCGGTGAGTAAAAATGGTGCATAGATTGGGATGCCTCTGCACTCCAGCCCCTTGCGGCTGGTTTGCTTTCTAAGCGAAGGTTTCGTACCTTCTATTGCAGAAGCTGTTGGAGGTGTGGGGGATATAAGGTGGTGGGGGTGGCGATGGTGGTGGAGATGGGGCTGGTGGTCGTGGGTCTGGTGGACGCTGCGGGATGCTATGAAGCAGATGGCTGTGGGGATCTGCGCGCGTGTGCTTTGTGTGTATTGGTACCTGTACTTGTGCATGTGCTGGGAATTACCTTGTTGTAAAGTGTTGATGTATCGGTTTTTGCTGTGCTGTTGCTGGGAAAGCGGCCATGCTGCATGGGATCCTAGGATTTCATAGAGATACCAAAGAGGTGATGGACGGATGGGTGGGTGGATGGAGCATGGATGTTGGTTTTGGAGTTCGTGTCGTCCAACGTCCACAGCTGGCAGGTAGCAGTCATCTCGCTGTGCAGGATTTCCTGCTTCCAAACAGCGTTACATGGCCCCATCCCTTACATTACATTATGGAAGGGCGTCAAAAGGGGTTTTTTCAAAAGCAAGTTGCCCGTTTGTGTAGCTTAGCGTATGTGTAGCTTGGGCACTCTTACGCCTTAGCGTTATTTTTGTTTGGATCAAAACCGCGTCGAATGGCGCCCGTGATGTGTGAGTTGGCTCCTTTCATTTGTAGTGGTGGATTCATGACGAGAATTACATATAAAAAGGAAGGCCTCATCATGCGCGATGATTTTTTGCTTTGTTGTTTTGTTTGCAAGACTGTTTGAAGGCAGACTGCTGGAAGGCAGGCAGTGGGGCGATGTATTTAAAAGTATGGTTGTGTATTTGGCGCATAGCTTAACGCGCCTGCACGTGATTAAGCAGGCGCGTTAAGGTATACGTTTGCGAGGGTTTTTAATTCGCGCACACATCCTGCGGCGGAGCTGGTGTCAGGTCGTATTAGTTCCTTAGTCCCTCTGCCGTTCTGTTTTATGTAGAATTTAATTAATATGGAGGATCCCGGTGACATCAGCTTTTCCGAGGCAATTGACCAGCCTCACCACCTACTTCGGATCAGCTACTTCTCTCCTGCTGAAGCCTAAAGCCCATGCGCTGTGGCAAAAAGATTGAATGGTATGTTATTATTATTTACCCAAGTCCAAGGTCAAGCAGCTGCGGCGACGTCCTCCGCGTTGCTCGCTCGGATACCGGCTACATCTCCTCTTCCTTCTCGCCATCGTCGTCCTCCCGTCCTCATGCATCTATCCGGTTCTCCCCCCACTTCGCAGCCACCTCCACATCACCACACACTCCTCGACAAGCAGGACAACATGTCGTCAAACTGATCCTGTTGGCATTATCAACCGCTTTTGATTACAGGAATCGGATAAATGGGGTGTTACACTGGGAATCCGACTACATGAATGGTGCGAGTGTTTACCGTCTTGACGTTGGGATTATGACCCCCTCGGACACATCATCCTTTCAAGCTCCCTCTGCAGCTGCACCTCCCCCCCCACACACACCCCCACACACCCTGCCTCAGGCCCATCTCTACCCTCTCCCCCGTTCCACGCGCCTTTGTTGTTCCCATTTCCGCCCTCCTCCATTTTCCCGCTTTTCCCGCCCAAAATATGTATGTAAAGAGACCCAACGTCGCCACTGCACCGACCATGCATATGGACAGATCGAGCGTGAGCATACCTCCATCCCCCCTTCCCGCCCTAAGAACAGACACGGGAAGCGCCACGTGACGTCGCATTCACCCCCTTGTCCACCTCCCCTTGCCACCTGCCTCTTACAACAGAAACAGCGACTCGTCTACCTTGCGCCACAAAAAGCAGGAGGCCTCCAACCTGCAAGGACGCGACACGAGGAGACATTTCGACAACTCGGTGTTATCACAATCAAACAAACAAACAAACGTACAGATGTACAAAGTGGAGAAGCGCATTTGCAAAGAGGAGGATGCATGGGGACCCCCGGGCCCGCGGGTGGAAGACCGAGCTTAATGTGTGTCCAGTCGGTGCCGTACAGCGGTGATGGCAGTAGCGGTGCCGTACACAGGGAGGGTTTCACATGCGGGTGCCTCAAACACCGCGGTTCACTTCAACTGTATCGCCGCGGAAAACGTCAGCCCTGCCACCCTACACTCCCACACACATACACATACATACACATACATACACATACATACACACATACATACACACATACATACCAAACCAGGGTACACATCCATACACACACAGACACGCACATTCTGACCCTCGTGGCAGTGAACCACATCATTAATAAAAACAGGAATGGACTACAGAAAGACACACGGGGCCAGAGGTACATACATACAGCGGCGCATACATACAGAGGCGCATACATACATACATACATACATACATACATACATACATACATACATACACGGGTTAGCGAGTCCTCACCAGGAGGGGTAGACAACGAAGCGGCCGTGCTGCGCCGCCCAGATCGCCTTAGGTAGGTAGGTAGGTGAGGGGGGTGGGGGGAGGGAGGGAGGAAATGAAGCGTGGCGGGTAGAGGACGACGACCAAGGGGGCGCGCCGGGAGATAGACCCATATGTATGTATACATGTATATATGTACATATATACACCTACGTACATATATACTTATGATGTAAACCGTTGGCCGTTGGCCGTTGTTAAAGTACAACTGTCTCACTGTAAGTAGTAACCGTAACCAATGGCATCCGCGACGGGAGCAGCCCGTCGTGTTGTGATTCCCAAGCCCATTGTTAGCGCAACAAGTTCTCTAGATGCTAGAGGAATTTCTTTAGATTGTAAACGAATTCCTCTGTCTCTGTACATGCCTCTGTGTATATATGTATATTATACGCGCACAAGCCACGCCCACGCCCACCCCGCACCTTCTCCGTGCCAGCGCTCAGCGCCACTACGTGAGTGGTGGCGTCACTGCAGCTAGCGCCCACTGTGGCGCCGAACGCCTCCGCCAGCCGCCATAGGGGATGTTGAGGGCCCGCGGCGCCGCCGCCGCCGCCGTCACCGCCTCCGCCTCCGCTGGTAAACACCCTGCTAAAAGTTATATGAAACCCCGCCAATACACGCTGCCGCTGCTCCCGCAACACCCGCCGTACATCCCACGGCTCCAGACCCGCCAGCGGTGGTGCCGGCGGCGGCGGCGGCGGCGGCCCGTCGGTTGGCGGTTTGGCAATGGCGGCGGCGGCGGCGGCGGCGGCCGTGCTGCCCGCAGACGACGACGCCGTCGTTGTCGCCGCGGCGCCGTACGTCGACATCACTCGGGTGTACAGCACGTATAGGAGCGGCAGTGCGGCCGCCAGTACGCCGCGCTCGGGACACTCATCTCTGCGGGGCACGACGGGAAGGGAAACAAGGGCCCATCAGCCCACCGTCAGCCCGACACACCGCCTGCCGTCAACCACCCAACTGACCGTGCTGCGCGCAACGCATCACAGCGTCCCCTGCGGCCGTACGGCATTGTATCTCCACCACTACCACCAGCATCACTACCACCTTTGTGGCGCCATGACCCTACCTGCCCCCTGCCCCCTGCAACCCATCCCAACCATTCCCCCCCCAAGCTACTAAACCCTGTAATCCCTCCTCCCTCCCGGGGTTAGGCCCCCACCTCCTTCCCGTTCGTCTCAGCACGCGGGAGGGGACTGTTGAACCTCCTCCCTTTTCCCCACTACCCCACTTCCTCCTCCCAATCTCCCGCACCTGTTCACTTCAAGTAAGGACCTGCCCGCCATGCCCGACGCCGACGGCGCCAAGGTCCTCGCCCCCGGGGCAGCCCCTCCCCCTCCAACACCCGCCGCAGCATCCGCAGTACACGCCGGCCGGTAGGAAAAGTACGAGTATGGCGGCAACGGCAGCAGCCCTGGCGCTAGCTGCTCGCCCATCCAGGCGGCACTGGGCGTGTCCAGAATGGCCGTGATGGGCGCACGGGCATCCAGCGCCGTCAGCAGCCGCCGCGCCAGCTCTCCTTGCGCCACTACTCGACTGCCAAACAGCGCCAAGGAAGGGTCCAGAAGCTCCACGACGGCGTCTGCATAGGGTCGGCCTTGACGACTGTGAGCCCACAGCTCGAACCGCTCGTGCGCGCGAGCTAGGAAGGCTCGTGCGCCGGGACGCAGCTTGAGCCACAAGCCGCTGCCGCCGGAGGCAGCGCCGGCGGTAGCGCCGGCGTCCAGCGGCAGCCGGAACAGCTCCCGACGGTCCTCGGGCAGGCCCGCCTCCGCCGCCGCGTGGCGGCTCAGCGCCGCCGCCGCCGCCGGATCCAGTTGATCGTCCCAACAGCTATCCGCCAGCACCCCATCCAGGTCAACGACAAGAACCAGCTTGCCGCGAGACAGCAGCCCCACCGTTGCCTCCGCGGCGGTGGCGGATCCGCCGCCGCCGCCGCCGCCGCCGCCGCCACCTGCGGCGGCAGCGGCTGCCGCCACCGCCGCCGCGGTATCCTCTGACGAGGCCGTCACGGCCGCCGAACGGCCCCCAGATCCCAGCCCTGCCGGCGGACCATCGAACAGCTCCTGCTTGGTAGCCGCCGCCGCCGCTGCTGCTGCTGCCGCCGCTGCGGCGGCGGTGCCGAGGAGGGACGAGGCGTCAGTCGGCGGCGGCGGCGGTGGCGGCAGCGGCAACCCTGTGTCGCGGTCGCGGTGCCGATATGACGAGGAACGGCCTGCGCCTCCGTGCTCCCGGTCCTTATCCACCTTGGACTCTTTCTCCTTCTCCTTGTCCTTTTCCCGGTCTCTATCCCGGTTATCCTTCCCGCCGTCACGGTCCTTCCCGCCGTCCTTGCCGCCGTCACGTTCTTTGGAGTCCTTATCTTGTCGGCTTCGGTGCCGAGAGTCACGCTCCCGCTCCCGATCGCGGCCTCTGTCGCGCTCCTTCTCTTTCTCCTTGTCCTTCTCCTTGTCTTTATCCTTTTCCTTGGGCTCCTTCTCACGCTCTTTCTCCCGCTCCCGCTCCCGATCGCGGTCCCGCTCCCGTTCACGGTCCCGCTCCCTACCGTCCCTGCCCTCCTTCCCGTCCTTCTCCCGAGCGCCGCCACTGCCACCGCCGCCACGGTCCCTGTCCCGGTCTCGATCACGATCCCGGTCCGAATGGCTGCTGCTGACCGACCCATGGGCCGCGCCCTGGACCTGGCCCTCAGAGACCCCGCCGCCGCCAGCCGTAGCTCTGGACTTGGTGGCCGCGGCGGCCGGCCCTCCGTCATACTGCTCCAGTTTCACCACCAGAGGCAGCGACGACGATGACGGCTGCTGCAACTGCTGCTGCTGCTGTTGGTGGTGATGGTGGTGGGGGAAAGGCTGTTGTTGGTGGGCCTCCGTTGCGACGGACACGGGGCCGGCAGCTCCTGCGGTAAGGGGCGCCGGCGGCGGCTCCAAAACTCCCCCATGCAGGGCGCCGCCCTCGCTGTCGGCGCCCGCCTCCGACACGGGTGACTCGGGAGGCGGCAGCAGCACTCCAGGAGCCATCATGCCCAACGCCGATTGCTCTTGTTCCTGCAAAGAGTAGTGCGGCTGCGGCTGCTGCTGCTGCTCCCGAAGGACATCAGCCACGGGGTGCTGATCAGGGTGGTCCCAACGGAGTACGGTCCCGACAGAGGCCAGGGGCGAAGACGGAGGTGGCGGCAGCGCGCCTGGGACCCCCGTCTCCACCAGCTCCTTACTGACACGGCTGCGTTTGGCTGCGCGGGGACGCTCCAGGTCTGTGTCCGCGTCCTGCGGCGTCAGCGACCGGGTCCTGCCGCCGCCACCGCCGCCGCCGCTGCCATCACCCGCGGCGGCGGAGGCTAAGGGCCAGGCGCCATTCGCCGCCACGTCAGACGTGGCTGCCGCTCCTGCCGCCGCTGCTGCGTCCAAATCCCCGGGCGTGCTCGCGACTACGATCTTGAGCTTGAAACCTCCAGCGGCGCCGCCGCCGCTGCCGCCGCCAGCGCCGGATCGCCCTGTCGTAGACCGTACTCCAGTTCCACCAGTGGCGGAATTCAGCCGCTGTAGCTGTAGCTGCGGGGAGTCGTCTTTAGGAGGCGGTGGCACTGTGCCGCCAGCACCACCGCCATCCTCATCGCTCCGTACGGGTGAGCAGGAGCTCCCTCGCGGCGGCGGCGGCGCCGACGCCGTTGCCGCTGCAGCGCCAGGGCCATCCTCTCCCCCCGTATCCTGTATTCCGGCCACAAGCCGTACGCGGGGTTAGGGGTGGTCCTCTGCTTAATTTTAAACTGTTCCTTGATAATAAACTGTTCCTAAATAACAAAACTGTGCCACGAGAAGTACATGGGGAGTAGTGTGCGTGTGTGTGTGGGGGGGAGGGTAAGGGAGGTGTCCATGGGTTAAGAGGGTTGCATAAGGTTTGTAAAAGTGGGCTCTCCCTGCTTTCCTTGGGACACGTCGGCGTATGACGCCGAGCGCTGTTCCGCACCGGCCGCTGTACCCGACCACCTGCTGTTGTTATTGCCGGCCGGCTAGGGTTGCCGTTGAGATGATGTCGACATCATCACTATACTGCCGGAAGGCAGGCTTTCATGCGCTTTCAAGTGTGTGCGGTGCCAGGGCGTTCTTCGTCGGTGTGTTCGCCTCTAATGCCCATCCACGCCCGCAATGCGCGATCCAACGTCAGCCACTGACCATGAGCTCGGGTTCCGACGTCGCGGTCTGTGCCACCACGGGGGGTGGCGGCGGCAGCGGTGGCGGAGACCTCGACCGCGACTGCCGCTGCGGCGGCGGCTGCGGTGCCAGCTGCCCCTCTGCGCCCGCGGCTACTTCCCCAGCCCTCATGTCCGTCCTGTCCGCACCCTCCGTGCCGCCGCCGCCGCCGCCGCCGCCACTGCCGCTCCGGGGCCGCGCAGCGGCGGCGGCAGCCGGCGCCGGCGCCGTCGCAGCCGGCGCCGTCGCGCCGCTCCTGTGCCTATTTTCTAGCACACATTTGAATGCTTTGGAGTTCCGTACCAAGTCCTCGAGCTCGGCTTTGAGGCTGGCGTTAAAGATGTCGTGACGGTAGTTCATGGCCGCCTTGAACAGCGCACGAGCCGCCTCGGCGCCGCTTGGCGGTGCGGCGTGGAAGGCACTGGTAGCGCTGAATTTATTGATGGACGTAAGGCCCTCCAGGATGCGCCGTGAAAACTGGAAGCAGTCGGGGTAATCCTCAATGGAATCGCCCTTGCGCCGCTGTTGTTGTTGTTGTCGCAGTTGTTGTGGTTGCATCGGGACAGAGTACGACACAGGGCACGACAGATGTTGTTACAGTGGTGTCCAACGTGGCGATGCGACACGGTACGACATGGTACGACACGACGCGCCACGATACTGAGGACCTCCCCGGGTCATGAGCGTGAGGGAGGAGGGAAGTATTGATGATGGACGCAAGCTGATGTCGGTTATCAGGCGGGGGGGGGGGGGAGGAGTACGGCGGGGGAAGCATCGTCCACGAAAGGAGCTGGGCAGGAGGGAGCGAGGGAGTGAAAAGGGATAACGGGGAGGGGGAGGTCGGGAAGCCCCTCCTAAACGAGGCCTCTTGAAAGATGACACACCCTTCGACTTAAGACCTGCCCTCGCCGCCGCTTTTAACAGCCCTAACTCCCCGTTTTTAATATAATTATATCATCCCATAATCGCTCCTTTCAGTGTTACTACGACAAGAGTCCCACCTTGACTCTCCTGAACAGCTTATCCAGCTTCTTAATTGCCTGTTTTAGGTCCCGACACACAGCCTCCAACGAGCGCATCACTTCCTGGAAGCTGCAACCCCGCGTGAGCTCGCGAAGCAGTCCCGTCAGCTCCTCCACTTCGCGATCCTCCCGGACAGCGACGGGGCCCCCGGCGGCGGCAGCAGCGGCCGCTGCGCCGGCGGTGGCGGCTCCCGGTCCCTGCCCGGCCAGCAGCGGCCTCCCGGGACTAGGATGTCCGCCGGCGGGGCCACCGGCGGTACCCGGGCCTCCGGCATACGAGTGTGATTGGCGTTGCAGTGGCAGAGAGTGAGGGTGTGGATGCGGGTGTTGGGAATGGGAGGATGGCTGGGAAGACGCGCCTGATGGGGAGAAAGGGTGCGGCGGAGGCTGCTGCTGTTGGGAAGACGGTAGGGAGTCCGAAGGGCCCGGTTGGGCTCCGTCAGGTGCGCGGAAGCGGCTGCGGACCGCGGGCGCGTTACCGCTGGCGCTGGGGTCGTGGCCATGTGGCCGGGGCCGGCCTTTGGGCGGGCCAGCTTGGGCCTGGTGAACGCCGCCGTCGCTGATGGCGCTGCTTGAAGGTATTACGCCGGTATCTGGCGCGCGCCCGCTGCGCGTGGGTGCCGGGAGGGACGCGCCTGAGGGCGACTGCAGCAGCAGCGGCGGTGGCGGCAGCGGCGACGTGTTCAGGCCAAGCTGCCCGGACGTTGCGCGCAGCGGCTGTTGCTGCGTCTGGTCGTGCTGGTTATGGTCAGCCGCCAAGGTCCCCGCGTCATCTTCGCCGTCGCAGCCGGAAGCTTCGCCTGATTCCTACAGGGCAGAGCGCGCGCCCATACCGTCGGACCGGTTCTGGACGAACAAGGACGGCTGAAGTTAACAGTTGACGCTTACCTCTAAGTCCGCATGCTTGTCCTCGTGAACTTCCCCATCCTCCAGCTCGCCCTCTTCAAGTGGGGGCCCAGGCATGGTCTTCGTTACACCCGTTGACGGTGTGTAAAACAGTTGCAAGACGATGTGCTCAATGACCCACTACATGTGCACGTAAGAAAGCCACAAGAGAGCACCAATTCTTTTGTAAATTAAGGCCGTACACAATGGACATTGCAGCTGGCGGCCAAGTAAATTACCCCGTGAAATACCTAAGCAAAAAAGATACTTCCATATTATTCCTAGGGTATGCAATTTGGGAGAGAGGCTGGTCAACACCTTCGTACACCAACTGTCAACGCCTCCATCTACGGCAAGACGGCATCCCTACGCGCGCTTCTGAATTACGGCAGGATGGCAACTTAACAATCACCTCATCCTAGAAATGATTTATTATCTCTTATATGCAGGAGCTGTGTGACCTAGCGAGCCCTTTGAATGCAGCTGTTTCAAGTGGCCAGAACCAAATGCCCAGAACCTCAGACGGTTCTTTTATGATATGCAACCTATTGAACAGGAATATCACCGGAGCATCTTCGGCTTCGTTATACGTTTGCAGCTGTCTCGCGCTCAAAACGGGACAGCGTTCTCAGGTGGACTATCGCGCAGGCTGTCCCTATCGCACCGTCAAGGTGCAGACACATACACATACACATACACACGCACACACGCGTTAGCCTTACCCCTGAAGTGGGATGGGCCGAGGCCAAGGTGCTGGCGGGTGCCCGGGGAGCGCTCTCCACCCGCCAACTGGGCCTCAAAACGCAGCTTGTTGGTTGTTGCATCGGGGGGCAATCGCACCCTGCACCCTGCCCTCCCCCAAGTATGTCAAAAAGGGTGGAACCCAACGATACCCTAAGTCCTTGACCACGAAGGAGAGGCCGAAGCCCAACGAATTGCTGCCGCAACGAGACGTGGGAGCTTTGCCCGAACGCTGTGGATGGATAGATGACGCCTCCGTTCTCGGCGAAAAGCTTGAGGGCCCCACAAGTGTGGCTGTCTCACCAATTAGGTTCTCTTTTAAGGACAAAACGAGTCCTAAAAGGCCTTTGATGCAGAACAAAACACCGAGGAGAATGTGCTGCCGCGCCTCATCACCATAGCACAGCGAGCTTACTCGGATAGCGGCAACCCTACACGACGGTTGTTGTCCTTCACAGCCTGGCCGCCTCCCTTGCTCAGGCAGAGCAATTGACGGAGTCACGTTCACAAAGAGGATCATTGCATCATGCATCAGCCTCAAGCTGCCGCGTCTTGCTTCTTTATCAACCGTTCAGGTTACAACAGCGAATCGCATAGAGCGAGGCACGGACCTCTCGCCGACGGCTCGAAGGAGCCGTCCAAATGCGGTCAAGGCCCGACGGGTGAAATGTCTGGCTGCATCAGGGCTCTTGGGGACAATCGTCAGGCTCCTGCCGCAGTCGCCACGCAGTATGCCGTTATGGTTAGTGGCGCATGAGGAGGCGCATTTCCACCTGCCTCTGTAGATGTAGTTGTGCATTACCATACAATAAAGTGGTGGCAGCAGCAACGAGACAGACACACTCCTACACGCCGAGCCGAGTTATTGCACAGCACTGTCCCCTTTGTGCTAATGGGGATTGTCGGTGCAGGCAGACCCTCCTACCAAATAGAAAATGTACGCCACAAGCTGCCACTTAGATAGATACGGCGACCTCCATGTCGCTGCTGACCCAGCCGCCTTACGGGGCCTTACCCCATAGGGGTGTTCTCTCTCTCTCTCTCCGTCTTTCCTGATCACTCATAACGACCCACATGGCACAAAATACACATGTCGTACTGATGCCAACTGATGCTACTGGGGGGGGGCCAGGCTGCACGCTACCACCAGATCCCGTGCCCGCCACCCGATGTTGTCTTTCATCTTCCAGCATGTTGTGGCACATCTTGCGCTGCCTGTAGACCTGTGGACACTTATTAAAAAGCTGTCACCGGCGGCGATCTGTGTCCGTTCGAACCCAGTGTTGGAACTTCATTCATTTATTCATCCTCAAAAACAACTTGCGCGTGCGCGTGTTCGCCGTGCTGTTCTTCCACCTGCTGCTTCCCGGCCTTCTCCCTTGTGCAAAGTGGGTTCTGTCGGGCTAACACACACAGCTACCCTAGGGCTGTTACCATGCCGCCACATGTTTTCACGTTCAGGGCCGCTTAGCCGCTTAGGTTGCCATCAGTGATATCAGCGACTACACCGATGTATTAATCAATTAGACGACCCGCACACGAGGCGCAGTCGAACGGCTGCCACACCGCTGCCCCGGTGGCGGGTCTCCAAAGCCCCGATGTCCGTCCGAGGAGGACGAAGGACGAGGAGGGAGTAAACCCGGCGTACACGCGGCGGCGGCGGCGGCGGCGGGTGCAATCTACAACACGTGAAAACTACAACCCAGCCATGTGGTTGCCCCACATCCATAAATCGACCGTGCCGGGACTGACTATCACAGGTTGCGGTGCGGGTGTAGGACTGCTGCCATTAGCGCCACCGCCACCAGCCGCACCGAAACCCTGGCTCACCGCATGCGGCTCCCGATTTACGCTGCCACCCAGCGCCGTCGCAACAGCAGCAGTAGCGCCGCCGCCGCCGGCGGTCCCCATCAACGCCCCTCCGTTCAAACCCAGACTTCCAACTCTGCGAAAAGGGACCCCTTCGCCCCCAACTCCACCCTCAACCCTGCCACCACCACTACCGCCGCCTCCGCCGCGGTCCATGCCACCGCCTGAAGCAACACCCGCCGTGCCGCTGCTGCTGTTGCCATGCCATCCAGTGGCGCTGGCTGATCCGTCCTCATCGCCGCCTCCGCCGCCAGCTGCCACAGCCGCTCCCGACACTGCTTGTTGCTGTTGCCGACGCCGCCGCCAAGCCGCCCAGAGCTGCGGCAGGAAGAGCCGCAGCAGCGCCACCAGGGGGTTCAGCAGGCCGTAGAAGAGCGACGCGCCCGCCATAAACCCCACTGCCGCGCCGACGGCCGCCACCACCGACGGCCGCCACGAGGGGCACAGGGCCTTGAGCAGCAGGGTCTGAGCGAACACGCAAGTGAGGGCTGTGGTGCAGAAGAGCACGTGGAACAGCGGCCTGTGGGATGCGGGGGGTTGTTTGTGTGGTGATGGGCAGGGGAAAGGGGGAGGGGAGGGAAGACGAACCGCGACCGAGTGAAGCTGATGTCAAGGATAGACTAATGCGGGGGTGGGTTAGATAGGGTAAGGGAGGGTAAGGGAGGGTAAGGGGGGGTAAGGGAGGGTAAGGGAGGGTAAGGGAGGGTAAGGGGGGGTAAGGGAGGGTAAGGGAGGGTAAGGGGGGGTAAGGGAGGGTAAGGGGGGGTAAGGGGGGGTAAGGGGGGGTAAGGGGGGGTAAGGGGGGGTAAGGGGGGGTAAGGGAGGGTAAGGGAGGGTAAGGGAGGGTAAGGGGGGGTAAGGGGGGGTAAGGGGGGAGGAGAGGAGGGGATTTCTATACGGGGAGTGGAAGGGGTGTCCATTGCACAGCCGTGGGTTCGGGGACAGCCATGCAGCTCCACGGAGTAGATTGTCTAATATTGTAAATAGGGTCTAGTTTACTAGTGGTAGCAGCAGCACTCAGCAGCACTGAGCACCAGAAGCAGCAGCAGCAGCAGCAGCACTCAGCAGCAGCAGCAACAGCAGCAGCACTCAGCAGCAGCAGCAGCACTCAACACAGCAGCCGGCCTGGAAAAAAGCGTCAGTTTGATAAAGTATCGTGTACTCCTCAAGTGTATTGGTTCGTATTCGTACTGAGAACCCACATCCACTTGTGTGTTGCGCTGACTGCCCCCGAGGTGCAGCCCTTAGCATAAGCAAAGTTGCTTTGCAGTGTGTCGTACACCGGGTCATCGTACACTACCTGTACGGCACGTAAACCCAGTGTAGGATGGTGCCAGATGCTGTGAGGATGGAGAGGGCCATCGTGGGTCCCGCCCCCACGCCCAAGTGCCCTGTGCGTGTGTGTTTTGGGGGGAAGGGGAGGAAGGATGAGGGTGGGGGGAAAGAGGGGGAAAGGGATTTGGGAAAAGGGAAGGGGGAAGGCCATTGATGGCAGAGTTAGGGTTCAGGTACTGAGTAACGGCAGAATCATGCTCCGGGCCTTCCGTGCAAAAAACCAGATTTGTTCGGCTGCCGGTATAGCAGCCCTTTGCCGCCAGCTCTCCAGTTATCATATCACGGCCTTCTTGTGCCGACGTCGGGGGTTGCTCGTTACCACATGCAACCACATGTCCCCAAACGGTGCTTTTATTTAACAAGATAACTCGCCAGCTCACATCACACTGAAGCTATACCGCTCTGTAGCAACATCATACTTGCGGATTCCCTCTGGGGGTGCGCATCATGTGGGCATTTACATACATACAGCCTTTTATTCCTTTGACCCTCCTCGTACACAGTACGTCATACACATCTTCGTACACATCATACATCATACATCATACATCACATCGCGGTAAGGATGGGGTTGCCAACGTTGGCGTGGCGGATCACCGCCTTCCCTCTGAACCTCCCAATACCTAATCCAGGCTAGGCTCAATCACGTTTTTTTAAAGACGGTCTAAGCGTCTAAGGGCTTACGGAGGTAGAAGATCACGAGTAGCAGGGAGCTCAAGGTGGCAGGGATGAGGCACACGAGAGTGTAGAGGCCGAGGAAGGAGGGAAGCGAGGACAGGGACAGGGGGCCCCCCGAACGACCCACGGGTCCGCGGCCACGTGGATTGAGCAGCTGTTGCCATCTGCGCGCATGTGAAGTAGGAGAGGTGGAGTTATCAAAAACAAAGAATGGGAGGAGGAAGTAGGTAACGACTACACGATAGAGAACGGCAAAAAAGGGGTTCTACACATGTGATGGTGATGGTGGTGATGGTGGTGGTGGGGGTGTTACTGGCACGACGCACGAGGGGGCTCCGCAATCCGGAAGTCCACCTCAAGGGGGCCCAGCACGGGACATGGTGACTCGCACGCGGGGGGTTACATGGGTGGCCAAGTCAAGAACTGCCGATTGCCAACAAAGCAAGTTGTTGCAAACTGTTGTTGTTGCAAACTGTTGCTTCCCCCAGCATCTGCCTCCCTCTAAAGCTTCTAAAACCCTTCCGGGCTCCAGGGGACCTACCGGATGGCCGCCCGCATCTGCGCGGGTAGGTTGGTCGCCTCCGCACCGCACACCTCGCATGTGGTACAGCAGCGGACGCCCCGAAACCACCGGTCCGCACAGGCACGGTGTAGCAGGTCCAAACCCGCACCGCACCTGCCCGGGAACCCGTGGGGGGTTCGGGGGGGCAGGGCAGGGAGGGAGGGATCAGCCCTGGGTCCCATAAGCCCGTGGCCTCGGGACATATCGGCAAATCTCTCGTCATCAGTTTCCACATTTTGACCGTTCGAATCCACGCCGTCATCTCCTTGAACGGTGATCGTCTCTGCCACCTCTACGCTGTGGCGCCAGCGCCTCGGCAGCAGCGGGATCACAGCGGCTAGGTGATCCCAGGCCATAGGGACAACAACGGGCTACACCACTGGGACAACAACGCAGCTGATAGACACACGCGGTTCGCGTGTTTATATGCGTCAGCGCGCCATCCGTGGGAGGCAAGCCAAGCCTGAGGGAGCGCCAAGCACCTCATCAACCCCTTCCCTTAACACACCCGTAGCAACCCCTGTATGGCAAAACGGGTGACGACTCCAAAAGATCCGTCAAACGAAGGACGGTTGCTGCTACCACCGGTTGCGTCCATCCATCCGCCAGCCCGTCCGCCCGTCCGAACACACAGTGGGCACACGGGCGGGAAAACCTGTGCCACATCGGGCCGCCCAGAGGACCCCCTGCACATTGGTGTGCTCGTACATTCGTACCTGCATCCCAACCTTAGTGCAGTTCCCAACTGAAGTTCCGTTTCACTAACGGGATCCAGACACACACGACAGCATTGCTCCTCGCTGCCGTCGGAGCCGCCGCTGCCAGTGTCCGAGGAGCCCGCCGCCAACGCTGCCGCTGCCGTCAGCGCCCTGTCGACCGCCGCCGCTGCCTGCCGTACCGATCCGCAGCGGGCAGAGCAGCTGCTAAGACTGGCGGCGCTAGTGGTGCTGCAGCTAACGCTAACGCTAATGCCGCCGGTGACGGCGGCGGTCTGACGCTGCTGCAGGAGCGGCGGGGGCGGCATCGGTGGCGACGGCAGTGACAGTGAGGTGCTGCTGTACAGCTGCTGCTGCGGCGAAGCCGGGGGCGCCGGCGGGGGCGTCCATTGTGCCAGCTGTAGCTCTTGCGAACCCGTGTGAGTGAAGCATTGGAGGAGTTGCGCGGATAGCAGCGACGGCGGTACCGCTGCCGCCGCCGCCGCTGCGCCTGCGCTGAGCGATGGTGTGGGCCGCGCTGCGGAGTGGGACGAGGATGCCGGCGGGGGCGATATCGTCCAACGCATGGGTAGCGCCAAGGGCACCGGCAGGGGCGAAATCAGTGGCGAAGGCAATGACAGCGACGACGGCAGCGAGATGGCGGTCGTCAAGGAACAATGACGCGTCTCTAGCCGCCGCTGCCATTGCTGTTGCTGCTGCTGTGGCGGCGGCAGCGGCGGCGGTGGAGTGCTAGGCCACCGGATATTTGCCGTGAGATCTGGACTCGAGATCTGGACTCGCGTGTGTGACGTAAGCGCTGCCAGCCCCTCCGGTGCCACTAGCGCTGTCAGCGGTTGTTGCTGATCCTCTTCTTGTTTCGTGTCGTGCTTTCCTCGCTGCTGCTGCTGCTGTTGTTGTTGTTGTTGCTGCTGCTGCTGCTGCTGCTGCTGCTGGTCGCCATGCCGGTGATGCGGATTATGCAGCTGCGACATGGAGTGCTGCCTCCCAGGGGCCGTCCGGCCGCTGCCAGCAGCGCCGTCACTGCCACCGCCGCCGCCGCCGTCAACCCCGCCAAGCTGGCGCGACTGTCCCGCCAACCGACAACCACCGAGGCCCTGCTCCGTCTCCAAAGTCCTCCGGAATGCCGACAGGGTCGGCGTGAGGCCGAAACTCGCGGCGGTGGTGGTGGTGGTGGAGCTGGCGAAGATGGCTGCTGGTGACGCCGCCGGCAAGGACTGCCTTCGGTGGACCGCTGCCGCTTCCGCTGCCTCCGCAACCGCGACCCTGCTTTCCGACACCAGGTCTCCCCCGTACCCCGCGGGGTGCGGCACGGTGCTGCCATGTACCAGCGACAGCCCCGTCGGGAGCTGAGGCCTACGGCGGGCAGCCGCCGCCGCGTCGGCCGCCTCCTCCGCGCCGTCGCAGCCGCCAGTGACACCTTCGACGGTATGCGTTCTGCGTTTGCTACTGCCGATAGAGTCTGTGTCTTGAATTGGAGAACTCCTACTGCTGCTGTTGCTGTAGTTGATGTGGGTGCCGTTGCTGGCGTCAATGTTGGTGTGTTTATCGTTGTGTTCACTACTGGTGGTGCTTTTATTGCTTATTTCGTTGCCGCCGTTGTTAGAGTCGCAGCTGCTGTTGCTGCTGCTCTTGCTGCTGCTGTTGCTGCTGTTGCTGCTGCTGTCCTTGTTGTTGTTCATGGAGGTCACGGTCGTCAGTCGCGTACGCGACTTGGATCTCGATCTGGTTCTCGATCTGGATCTGGATCTAGTGGGTAGAGCAGCCGCCGCCGTCACTCCAGGGAGCAGCAGTAGCCGACTGGCGGCGTGGCTACTGCTACTTCTACTGCTACTGCTACTGCGCCGGTTGCCATCACTGCTGCTGCCAATTACACCGCAGAACACGCAAGTGGAGACCGCACGAGGCTGTGGGTTACCGGCGGCCTTGGCGATGGCGGCGTCGCGGACGGCGGCGCTGTCGACGTCTCCGCTATTCCCCTCCTCACTACCGCCGCCGTCGACCTCCTCAAGCACCTCTGCCTCCTCCTTCCCTTTCCCTTTCCCCTTCCCCTCCTTCTTCCCGTCCTTCTTCTTCTGTTTCTTCTTCACCTCATGCGCCCTCGAGTCCTTCAGATCCGGATCTGTCGTAATGTAATGCCTGGGCTGCCTCTGCACGAACCTTTCAAGAGCCTTCATCCCAACCTCGGCTTTGCGCATGCCTTCCGGCGGATGAATGCGCCTAGCGCTCTGCTTCCCTTGCGGCACATCCGAATGGCGCTCCGCGGCACAGCAGCTGCCGCTGCCTTCGTTTGCCATCCCCTTGGAATCCTCATCGTCACGTGGGTGGTTGCGGCGTATAGCCCAAGGCGGTGTTGATGACCCGCGGGTCGTTGGGCTCGCTGCTGCTGCGGTGGCTGCTGCCTCCGAGCTCATCTCCAGCGCGTGCGCGGCTTCACCGCAAGGAGCGGGATGGAGGGTACCCTTGCCTTGGAAAAACTCAGCAAAAAGCGCGGGGAATCATTGCCAGGTTTGGTTGGCTATTATCTTACTTCTATCTTTGCTTTGTCACAACTTTTCTGACTTGCGCACAGCGATGAGAAGTCAAAGATTTAATTAGGGTCTGCGACACAAGAACTCTTCACGATTCAATGCGCAGGTAAATCGTTTCCTTGGTGCGCTCTGATGTTGTGTTGGGCTCGTCTGGCGAAGAAACCTCGGCCTTGCTGCTGTCTTTCAGGGCGCTGTCTTTCATATCCATCAAGAGCAAAAATAAAAGACAAAGTGGTTTGAAAGCTTCGGTTGATCGGTTTCTCGGAAGACCACCAGTCACGTAGGGTCCCGTCACATCGCTCAGCTCGTCATATATGTTGGTGCAAGACAGGTGTCACGTCGCTCGCGGCGGATTGCTAGCTCGCAAAATAAATCACGTGGTGGTTGCGGGCTTTCCTAAACTCATTTTTAAATTTTGTACGTCATAGATAGTGCAGGTGACACTCCGCCGTCCGCTGGCCGTCCTGGAGTCGCGAAACTCCTACAGCTCGCTCGGACCAAAACATCTGCTTACTCCCTTTGCATTGCATTTATCATAAAAAAAATGAAAATTTCCACAACTCTCTTTGATCACAATTTTACATTCCTAGAACACGTCGCGAAGAAAACTTCAAAATCAGCTGCAAGCGCGGCGTTACGACAGGACCAAAGGCTACCACTTTGCCGGCGCCGCTGCTTACGCCGACCCATCAGCAACATCAAGTTGCAGCGAACCGCGGCTCCACTGCCGTCTCTGCGCTACAATTGCAGCAACCGTTGCACCTCCGCCGCAAGCTCTGCCATAATGCCGCCGCCGCCGCCGCCGCCGCCGTGCTGCTGCGCCTGCCTCCCCCTCCCCTCCGGCTGACCCGACAAGTCGGTACCCTCATCGTCCCTAGCTGACCATGCGCCCTGTTGCCGCTGCTGCCGCTGCAGCTGCTGTTGCTGCGACAACCCTGCGCCCGCTGCCATTGCAGCGCTTCCTGCCGCCGCCGCCGATGTCGCCGGGACGTCGCTGTGTACGGCATCGAACAAGTGGGTCCAATAGCCAGCCTCCATCGTGTTCACGCTGCCATCTACACCACCGCCGCCGCCACTGCCGTTGTTGCTGCTGCCACCACTGCCATTCTCGACGCGTTCACTGCTGTCCGGCTCAGCCTGCCGCACCCTGTCCCGTACCTCCCCGCGCAGCGCAGCCAAACCCGCTTGACCTACCATGTGAAACACATCCGACACGCTCCCCCCTGCCGCGGCGACGCCATCAGCGGCGGCCCACACGCTCCCTCCTGCCGGGCTCCCAGTACCTCCCTGCTGCTGATGACCGCCGTCGCCTGGTCCGCCAACACCACCGGGGGCACTCAGAAAGACGCTGTCCGCGCCGTGTTGCTGCTGCTGCTGCTCTTCCCCGTCGCCGCCGCCTGGGCTGGAAGCAGTGGCTGTGAAAGTGTTAAATGACCACGGCGGCGGATGTGGTGGCGGCGGCGGAGGAGGCTGTAGCAGCAGCTGGTTAGAGAAGGACGTGGCGGCATCCGGCATGCCGAGCTCCTCCAGGAGGACCCCCACCGCCGCCGCCAGCTGATGCACGCCAGGGCCCGAACCCTCCGGACTGGCGCTGCTACTACTGCCTACACCGCCGCTACTGCTACTGCCCCGCCTGCCGCTGCCGCTACTGCTGCCATTGCCACTGCTGCTGCCACTGCTGCTTCCTCCACCGCCGCCGCCGCCGCCGCCGTCATCGTCGTCGTGATCATCAGGAGGAGTTGCTTCCATGAAAGCATCGAGAGCTTTGTTGATGGCGTCCCCATGCCTGGAGCCACCGGGGGGGGGGGGAGGGAGAGAGAGGGGAGATGGAGAGGGGGCATGTAGTACTGCCCAGTGGTGCAGTGGTCCAACAGCACACATGGAATCCAAGCTCCCTACCTAAACCCTAAGAACATCCACCTCCTCCTCCTCCTCCCCCCAAACACACATACATCATCATCATCATCGTCATCGTCATCGTCATCACTCACTTTATCCACCTGAAAACTGCAGACAGGCCCCCACCTGCCGCTGATTGTTCAGGTTGGTTCTGCTGCTTCCCTGGAGTCGGCAGTGTTTCCTTCCCTGCCCTCACCCCGGCCCGCGGGTTCCCATGTCCCGTCCCTGACCCCTCCTGACGCCCGCCTGGTCAACGCCTCAAGCAGCGCCTCCGCGGGTACGGCATGCATCTGGGACAGTTGGGCCATGTCCCCGCCGCCGTTGCCACCTCCCCCGCCGCCGCCGTTGCCACCTCCCCCGCCGCCGAATCCCCCAAACCCAGCGCCGCCGCCGTTCCCGACCCGGCCGGCAAAGGACTGTTGCATCTCCGCACGGCGCTGTCGCCGCCTGCCCAGCCGCTGCTGCCACGTGGCCACGGCGTCACTGGGCCGCGCGCCAGGGCGCCACAAATCCACAGTAACAGTGGCACTCAGCCCGAACTGATAGCTGCGCTTACACTCCTGGGGGGTGTACATCGGCAGCAGCGGGGGAGCCCCCAGGGTTCCCTTACGTGTGGAAGTCAAGAAGGGAAACTACTTCCGACATCCAACGCACTACACACGGCACCCAAGGGCAGCAGACAGACAGACAGACAGACAGACAGACAGACAGACAGGAAGTAAGTAAGGAAAAGATAAGACCGATATATCACCACCAAGGGTATACCGGTGGCAAATATAGACTCGTGTGGTCGACACGCACCGTGCCTACGAAAGTGGCGGGCGCCTGGTAGGCGGAGGTGTAGCGCGCTGCCGTGCGAGTGATGGTGACCCCGGCGTTGTTGCAAGTCAAATTGAGATCTCGCTGCGTCGCTTGCGCGTTACGGCGTAGCTGGCAACTGCCGCCGGTCCGCGTGTATGACAATCCAGGACCTGGGAATGCAACATGTAGAGAAAAGAGATAGATGAGAGGGGCACGGATACCAGGTTATCGGATATTCATTTTTTTTATGCAACCTGGTTTACAATTTCCACTTGTCGAAATCAGAGCTTAATTCAGAATCCAGAAATAAATCAAATCGCTTTACGTTCGAATTTGAAGATGGAACGCAGAAGCAACCGAACCGCTGTAATGAATCCGGCTGTAATGAGGAAATTCGCAACCATGCGGACGGGAATTTTCGTCATACTGCAAACCCAGTCCTCAGACACCAGCGGTATACGATCATCTGGCAAGACGTGATAACCACCCACCCACCTACCCACGACGGTTGCATTGACGTCCGACGGCGGTGTGAAGACCGGCTGACTGCATTGCCGCCCAAAGGCCTGCTGCAGGCGCTCCGAAGCCGGCCGCAGCGTCTGGCGGAGCCGCCCCGCGGCCGCCTCCATGCCGTCAGCCCGCCTGGTCAGCCACTCGTCCCCGGCGGCGCGGAGGTCCTCTCCTAGGGCCCTGGCGGCGAGGGTTTCGGGGCGGCGGGGGAAAGGAGGACTGGGAACTATATGCAGCCAGCATCAAAGAAAAGGGGGGAGGGGAATGATGCGGAAGAGGACCGCAGATGGTCATGGGGGGAGGGGAGGGACAAGGCAGGTGGTCAACATGTGGTTTACGGAAGTGGATGGTTGTGGACAGCGACCTCCGGAAGCAGGCGAAATACAACGAGGGACAGCGCAGACAAAGAAAGGATACGCTCTGTTACATACTTAGGTTTTATTTCGTTGGATATTTACTACATCTTCCGACATCTTCCTGACGCCCAGAGCGTTCGCATCTTGACCCACCTAACTTCGGCCAGAAGGGCCACAAGGCGCTTCGCGACATCGCTGGATAGCACAGCGGAAGCAGCTTGCTTGGCGAGATCTTTGGAATTGCCATTAATGCCACTAGCGCCTGCGGCAGCGCACGCGAGGCACTATTCTCAACACCTTTTCAGTTCTGGAGGAAAGGATGTGCAGCAACCAATTTTCAACGGCGTGCAGGGTGTCCGGTGTTATAGATGCGGATGCATTTTTCCTCATCGCTAAAAAAACAAACTCCGGATTGATTCTTTTCCCGTAGGGCAGCACTGAACGGCAGCATTTAAGGGCAGGGCCGAAGGTGGCCGCCCGCGGAATTGCCACATTGACAAATTCACATGTGCACCTGCGCCAGACGGCGGTGTTGCCACGTTCAGCGCCAGCAGGAAAAGCGTCCAACAAAACCATGGCGAGTATCTCTGCCTCATCGCACTTCATAGGTGGCTCAAGCACTGCTTTCGTAATGAAAATGCCAAGGATGGTATGAACACAGAAACAGACGAGAATCGAGCAGGGACAACTACTCCATTAGGCATTTGCCAGGGGAATAAATATCCACTGGAAGCCTGCCTCGGCAGGGCCACACGGAAGTGGAGTCTCTCGCGGACCATCCAAGAGACAAGAGAAGAACCTGAACACTTGGGAACAAAACAGACCCTGAGCAACGCCAAAACGCTCCGCTATCCTGCGGCTCGAGCACACGCTAAAATGCCTGCGCACCCCTGTGCAAAAACAATCCTGTTCGAGTAAACCATGGTTCATATCGCTTTGCACGGCTTTCCAAACGGAGGTAAAGCCTACTGCACTTCCATCTACCCCTCCCGGGCGAAACATGGAAAGGGAATAGAACGGAGTTGAAGGTTCTTCCCTTCCCAGAGCTCATGTAGGCTGCCGAACTGGATGTATAGGATGCAAATATAAACCTCTTCGTTACAGTGTTGTAGCCCGAACGTATCACCCGCTTTCTCGTTGTCCCCAGATCGGACGGGCTTTTAGGTAATATAGACATCTCGCACATTTGTCTGGTCGACATCAGGTTCCATCCATCCATCCATCCATCCATCCATCTGCCAGGGGTTCGGCCCACGAAACCGTCAAGAGCCCGCGAGCCCTCGTACATCTTGAAGGCAACACCACTGGGAAAAAGCGGGCCCTGTACTCCAATCAAGCCACCACGATCATCACCACCACCACCAGTGCCGCCATCTCACCTCTTATCATCGGCACGCACGTCATTACCTTCGCAGACGCCACCTCCTCCTCCTCCCCCTCCCCTACCACTTTCACAACACCTTCAACCCACCACCAGCACCACCCCACGCACCGACCAAACCCAAGCATAATGCTTAGCCATAACCAAGTTAACGGTCAAGGTTAGTTCCCACCTAACTACTTTATTAGCTGTGGGGCACTCCTAGGGCTAAGAGCTACCTAATCAGCGGCAGCACCAGCTCATCCACATGCCCCTTGAAGGCCCCCGGCCCCGGCCCCTCCGCAGCCTTGCTCAGCAGCAGAGCCCAGTCCGCCACTTGCTCATCCGCCGGAAGACCCGCATTACGGCCGCCTTGACGATCACACTCCTCAATCTCAGTCTTGAGATAACAGGGGTGAGGGGAAAAAGAAGGTGAGAGGAGAATTTTATGATGATGATGATGATAATCATGATAATGATGATGACGGTCATAATGACTGTGGTGGTGATGATGACGATGATGATGATGATGAGGAGGGGGTTGACGAGGATGGTGCAAAGCCAAAGAGGGACAACTGTCCATGGTGACGGCCAAGGCACCACCCACTACTGCGGAGTCCAAAGAGTGACGGAGGAGCGCGAAGGAGGGGGAAAAAGGGGGAGGGGCCGGAAAGCGGGAGACAAGGCGAGCGGTCGAGAAGGTGTTGGAAGGGAAAGTAAACCCGCTGGGCCGGGGCCTCTTGTAACCAACGCCTGAAGACCGCCTGAAGACCGCCTGAAGACCTAACAAGGAGCGCGAGCTGGCGGACTGGGCGGATAAGGCCCCCCCCCCATACACACACAGGCGGGTGCACAGGAGCCACGAGAGGGATGTGATGGGGGTCATGTACACGGGGATGGGACGCGGCGGGAACAGAGCACGACATGCCGCCGATCCGTATCCACAGACATACATACATGCATACATGCATGCACACGCACCTGCAGTTGCGCCAGGTACTCCGCGGGGGCGGTCTCGGCTACCTTGACGATCAGCGCCGTCAGCTGGTCGGCAGCGTACCTGTGTGGTAACGTGCACACAGTACACAGCAGCACTGTCAGGTCGGTGGGGGAGAAGGGGCGTGTCGTACTTCATAACCGTACACACAGCCATAGCCTTAAGTCATATAGCGGCGTAGAGGCCGTGGTGAGGACAGGAATGAGTAACAAAATAGGTCAACCATAATTTAAAAAATCCAAATCCAAAAATCCGAATCCGAATCCAGGTTCTCCCCAGACCGCACCACAGCACACCAGCCTAAGGGAACACGGGGAATGGGTAAAGTGTGTTCGGATGCCCCCGGAGAGCCCGGTCGCGAAACGCCAACCTCCTCTTTCCCCCTCCCGTCCCTCTCTCCCCCCCAACATACACACACACACACACATTCACCCGCCCAAAACCATGAACTCCCCATGCACCCGGTAACCACCCCCTCCTCCTCACCCCCTCAAACATGGACATTTTCATCAAACCCACAGGCCCCCACCATCACGAGGCTCCTTCCTAACGAGTCCCTACAACCCCGAACTCCCGGCTATCTACACTTCGTAACCCCGTCTGTATGTCTGTCCGTCTGTCCAACCGTCTGTCCGTCCGTCCAACCTTACTTGTAGTTTCCCACGGTTCTGTTCCGCGTGATGGCCTCACGGAGCAGCGCGTTGGAGTGCTTGGGATCCAACGTAAGGCCCGCCAAGTAGCGGTACAGTCGGGCCTCCCGCGGACCCGCCCCGCCGCCAACGGCCTCCAAAAGCAGCACCGCTGCGTAATAGTGCGCGCAGAATGCCAGGCGGGCTTGCCGCGACGGCTCGTCCAAGACACCGCGTTCTTCGTGCTGCAGGACAGACATGGCGCGGGAGAAGTGCGCGGCGGCGCCGCGCCAGTCGCCTGACTCCATCAGACCCACGCCGCCGCCGTACAGCTGTGCGGAGGACATGCCAGGCGGGAACTGCGGCGCCGACGGCGCCGCTGGCGCGCCAGCTGGCGGCGGCGGCGGCAGCAGTGCAAGGGAAGAGGCAGTGGAGAGGCGGCTGGCTGCGGAAGGTAAGGCGCCTGGCGGCGCGACGCGAATGTTGCTGGCGGCCTCACGAAGGGTGCTACCAGAAGCGCCGCCGCCGCCGCCGCCGCCGCCGCTGCCTGTTGCAGCATCGCGGATGTGGACCTTGATGCGCCGTTGCGTCGCACCGCCGCCGCTAAATCCGCCCAGCGTGTCGGCGCCGCTGCCGGTGGCTTCCGAGGCGGTGTCGTCGTCATCAGAAGAGAAGTCGACGGTAGGTCCACGACCAAAGCCGCCGCCGCCGCCACTGCCCGCAAATTGATTGAGGAATTCTGCTCTTGCTGCTACTTGTGCTGCTTCGCTTGAATCCACGGACGGAGCCTCCAAGTCGCCCAAGGCGTTACTGCCCCCGGGGCGGTGGTTGGAGGAGCCAGTAGCGCTGGCCGCCGCGGTACCGGCAGCCGCCGCCGCCGCCGCCGCTGTCGTCGGCCGACCGCTGCCAGCACCGCCGGCCGCCGCAGCCACGACGCCGGCGGCCATTGCCGTGAGCCCGTAGTACGACACGACGTAGCCACGGTCGGGGTAGGCCGGGATGGCGCCAAGCTCAGCGTCAGGGACGGCGGTGCGGGGCAGGCCAAGGGGTACGGCGACGGCAGCGGGGGCGGCCAGCGGCGGCGCAAAGCCCCAGCGCTCGGCCCTCTCCAGGGCCTCTGTCGTGGTCGCCGAAAGGAGGAGAAGCAGCCCGGCATCAAACATGATCAGCATTCAAGCACCACCCATCACAACAGGTAAGCGCACACATAGATACCGGTATGACCATCGCAGGCGACAAAAAGAAGGTGCGATCACTTACTGCGTTTGCGCTACAACATGCGCATATGCCATCATAAAGCGCGGTACCACACCTTACGAAAGCCCATGTGACGCCAAAGGCTCTGCAACCTCCCACAACCCGCACGCACCGAGTTTCGATGACCCCGGGGGATACGCTGGCGTCGGTCCCGCCGCCGCCGCCGCCGCCTCCGGCGTCAGCGTCAGCGCCAGCGGCGCGTCGCCGACTGGCGTCCCGATGCCTCCGTACACGTTACGCAGCGCCGACGCCAGCTGCGTCGCCAGCTGCGCCTCCGGTGTCTGTACGACAGCGGTGGCGGCGCCTTCCGGCTGTGACAGCTTGTGGGCAATGGCCGACAGTCCTTCAGAGTTGCCCTGGCAAACCGCCAGAATCATGGCCACGGCCCACTCACCTGGGTGGGGTTGTGGGTGAGGTGAGGTGAGGTGAGGTGAGGTGAGGTGAGGTGAGGTGAGGTGAGGTGAGGTGAGGTGAGGTGAGGTGGGGTGGGGTGGGGAAAAATGGGGAAACATCAGAAGGTGGAGGTGGGGAAGTCACATGCAAGTGCACAGAAATCACCAGTTGCTTGCCGTCCTATTCATCGACTGCCCAAGCCTCGATCAACCAACTGCCCGTAACGAGTCGCTCCGAAAGCAGTCGCGAGGGGTTAGGAGGCAATGACGTGAGGCAGCGACAAACGCCCCGGCTGTTTTCATGCTCGTCCCTGGGGAGGGAAGTAAAGTGTTGAATGAAGCTACTGAGCATGATAACCTCATGGCCGCAATGCTTCCCTGTCCCGGTCCCTGTCCCCCTACCTCTTCCCCAGCCGCAATACACGCGGGGGGCCACACAGGCCGCCCAAACCCCCAACCCCGCCCGCCCACCTGCGGCTTGGAAGAGGTTTCCCGCTGTGGCCACCTGCGGAGGGAAGGGGGCGGGGGGGGGAGGGGGCCAGCGAACAGGTGTAGGGACAGGAGTGCTGAGTGCAGCAGGCACAGGGCTAGGCACAGGGGAAGGTGTGCGGGTGTAGGTGCGGATGCCACAGGGCGAGGGCCGATGGCGGGTTGTCAAGTGGGTCTCGGCTGCCTTTGTTCCTTTCCTTTCCTTTCCTTTCCTTTCCTTTCCTTTCCTTTCCTTTCCTTTCCTTTCCTTTCCTTTCCTTCCCTTCCCTTCCCTTCCCTTTCCTTTCCTTTCCTTTGCCATTAAAGCCCAAAAGACAGAAGGAGGTTACCGCTGTCCGGAATTCGGAAAAGCAATTCCGTAAAGCTTCAAGATTCGCGGTAAGGCGCGGTAAGCAGCGGAATTTGTTTTGACAAAAACACAATAACAAAACGCATCGTGACTCAATCTGCAGCTTCTTTTCCGAGTTTCCCAAGCACCTCTTACGGACCTCGGCACTTGTGAGATACAATGACCATGTGTTCTGATATCTCGACCTCATGAATAACTCACCCTAAGCTGCAGAGAAGCCTACCTGGCCGTGCATCAGCGCCCCTGCCCCCGCCGCCACCAGCTTGCAGTGTAGCTCGGAGCCGCGAGGCGGCGGCGCTGGGGCGTGCAGCGCGCGAGACGCCTCCGCCAGCAGCGTCGACGACACATCGGACCAGTCACCGGCTGCGGCAGCAGAAGCCACCCGTACGGCACTGTCCAACGGCGGCATGTGGGCCGCAACGGCTGCCGCCACGTCCCACGCGCCGGCGGCGATCAGCGCCCACACGCCGCGCGGCGTAAAGCTGGCGGCGTCGTACGATGCTAGCACGTGACGCATCGCGGGACGTACGACGACGGTGGCGGCTCCGCTGCTGCTGAAGGACAACAGCCCCGTCGCCGCCAAGCTCGCCCATGCGATAAGGAGAGGCTGCAGCAGCGCCGCGGGCCGCGCAACCACCTCCGCTAGAGCCGCCGCCGCTGGTGCGGCGGAGCCGCCACCGCTGGAGGCAGCGGCGCCAGCCGGCGGCGCCACCACCGGTGGTGGCGCCGCCAGCGGTGTACGCAGCACCAGCAGCGAGTCGGCTGTAACGCCCATGAGTGCAATATGGCCGGTGGGTGACAATGTCGCTACGGGCAGTAGCGCGCCCGTCCACGTCAGCTGTAGCACCTGCCCGGAGGCGGTAGTCGCTAAAAGCATCGGTCCCGCCCACACCACTGACGTCAGCGGCTCCATCAGCACCGCAGACCCGTGGGCCGCCAAGCTGACGGAGCACACCACTCGCAGCGCTGCGGTGACCAACAAGAGCCGCTGCGTGGTCAGTACCGCCGCCACGGCGTCCACGGCGCCGCCGCCGCCAGCGGCGGCGGCGGGCCCCGCCAGGCTCAGACTCTGCCAGGCGACGTGAATGACGATCTCCTGCGCTAGCAGCGGCAGGTGGGCTTGACGCGGTATGACGCCAAAATAGTGACCCGCGGGCATGCTGGGGTAAACCGGCGGCAAGCCATCGGCGTCCGAGTCGGAGTCGTCCGCCGCTGCGGCGGCAGTGGCAGTGGCAGCGGCGGCGGCAGCGGCAGCCGCGTCCGTGGGCGACGGCGCGTCCTGCGGCGTGAGAGGATGACAACTAAGTGGTCGCGCCACCACCACTTATCCCGACACGGCGCACAGCACAGCACGGCAGGACGATGGGATGCAAAGTATAGCACAGCAAAGGTGCGCCGCGCACCTCACACACCGCGCAAAGTCCCCTAGTAGCCTTTTCCACAAGCGGCTTCCAGCTCCCATCCCATAGGCAAAAAATTGAAACCAACCCCTACATAGAACTGGACACCCCCTATATACACTACGGACTACTATATATACACTACGGACATCTCGCCGGGCGCAGCCCCATCACAAGCTACCCTTATTCACCCAAACACCATTCCCATGTCACCCATAATATCCATACAAACCCGCATCCGCACACCTGCCGCCTTTCCCCCGCAACCCCCACTCTCCCTCAATTCCTTCCCCCCCCCCGCCCCCGGCCCCCGCCCCACCAGAGGTACCCGCTGCAGGGCGGGCAGGGTGGTCATGCTAAGTGACAGGTCGGACGACTGCCACAGAAGTACTCCGGAGCCATGGAAGCGCCGGAGGTCGTGAGGGGGGGCATCCGGGGGGGCGCAGGCCTCGGGCACGGGCGCCTGCAGGGGACGGACGGCGGAGTGAGGGCAGGGCCAGGGCCAGGGGCAGGGAAGGAACAGAGTTACATTTTGACCCTTGGGTAAGTCACATAAGAAATTACCGGAATCAGACACCCATAGCACTAGAACGGAAAGTGGTAAGTGGGCAGTATGCCATGGGCGAGTGCAGTGTGTGTGTATGGAGGGGGGTGCGCGGTGCATCCATCCTCCCACAACCAAGCCACTAAATCCAGGAGGCCTCCCTCCCCTTTCTCCCCTCCCCTTTTTCCCCCCTCCCCCCTTCCTCCCCGCCCCCTCACATTGGTCATGGGCGGCCCGGGGAACACGGACGTCCCCACCCCCGGCATCAACACGGCCCCCTCCAGGGTCAGGGTCAGCAAGGGGACACCCCCCGCTGTGGAGCCGCTGAGGGAGGGCGTGTGGAACAGCTCCAGCAGCTTGCCGTTGGAGGACAGGATGCAGACGTGCGAATCATCGGGGCCCAGAAAACAGCCGGTCTTGCCTAATGGGGTCGGTAGGGGCAGTAGCAGTGGCAGTAGCAAATAGTAGTACCAGTGGCAGTAGCAGTGCGGATTTTATTGTTACCCCAAAAATGGTGGGTCGGCTTGGAAGTAGGAGTGCGAATGGAAGTAGGAGTGGGAGTGGAAATGGAAGTGGGGGGAGGACCGCAACGCCGAACGCTCCATTCTACCCCATTCCCCCTCTTCCTGAGGGGTTGAAAGCAGTTCGTCACACTCTCCCCTCCCTTTCCCTGCCCCTTCCCATCGTCGGCAGCCATTTTCCTAACCCCCCCTCCCATATCCCTCCAAAACCGCCCTATCACACGTCAGCAATTAAATCATTGTTTGTTGGATCGTTGCCCGTCGTACCCTCCCCCAAGGCACACACACACACACCTTGTCGTACCCACGTGACGTCCCCCGCGCCGCTCTCGGCAGAAAACGACGTGGCGTTCAATAACGTCCAGGAGAATCGATCCAGCGCCGTACTGGTGCCACCGCCGCCGCCGCCAGTTCCCACACCGCCGCCGCCCGTAGCACCATTGCCGCCGCCCGTGACGGCGCCGCCGCCGCCGCCAGCCCCCGCCTCGAAAAACACCAGCCAGGCGCCCGCCTTAGAGCTGTGCATCAGCTGCCGTGCCGTACGCACGTCGCCGTCGGGGGTAACTGCGTCGGCTGGCAGGTTGGCTAGCGTGCACGTGCTGCGAGTCACGAGCGAGTACTTCATCAGCCTGCAGAGAAAGGAAACAAAGTCAAATATATACGACGCAAGAAGCAACGGATGAACCGCTTGCAAAAGGGAAAGGGGGAAATGAAGAAAGCTGCAATGCCGCACGAAAACACAACCGAACAAACCACCCGAGTCCTAACTCCCAATCTCCCGCCAATCTCCCGGAAGCTGAAAGACCCACGCACCGGTTACCGGCCAGGTAATACACGTGGGGAGGCAACGCCAGAGCACCGCCATCAGCCGCCGGTGCGGCAGCGGCAGCGGCGGCAACGTCGTGCCGTGGCGGCGGCACCGCTGCCGCCAACTCCTCGTCACTGGAGTCATCCGCCGCCTTCCCAGCGGCGTTGTTGGTATGCTGTTGTCGACTGCCAAGTTGTTGTTGTTGCTGTTGTTGTTGTTGCTGTTGCAGATCTTGTTGTTTGTTTGGCGGTTGGCATCCCGGTGGCAGCCAGGCGGTGAGGGGTGTGTGTTGCGGCGCCATCCGGGCCCCCCGCCACCCCCCCGCAGGTGCCTCAGGGTTGTGGACCATCAGCAACACCACCGTGGAGGTGCGCCTGACGGGAGGACGGAACGAGGAAAAGGGGGAAGAAAGGGGGAGACGAGGAGTAAGGGAAACACCATCCTCTCTGCCATCATCATCTACTCCATCAAATCCAATCCAGTTCCAAAAGACTTTTGGACCCTAAGAAAACCCTAATAAGAAAACCTTAAAAAAACCTCAAAGAAACATTTACTGCAAATTTATGTCGCAAAGGTTAGGTCTGCTACTTCTGGAATCACGATTAAATTTCAATTTTATTACTTCTACCGCCGCCCCCCCAACCGCCACTACGCTGGTGACACTACTTCCTTCAGCAAATTACAAGTTACAGGTTACAATGTTCCGCACGAATGCGGGGGGGGGGTCGTCATGGTCGTCAAAGCCCAGGGGGGGCATGGACTACATATACGTAAGTCAAGTTACTCGTGTGTATGTGTGCGTATGTATGTGTGCGTGCCCCCATTCATTCCATCCTTCGCCATTTCCTTCCCGCGGCTTATTTGATCATTATTTGATCATTATTATTATTATTATTATTATTTAATCATTATTTGATTTATCTCAAACATACAGATACATACAGACATACAGATATATATACACGCACACGCACATGCACATACACCGCACATACACCGCACGTATGCACTCGCCTTGCCAGCGCCGCTTCCTCTGTAGTGAGTCCCCCCCTTCCCGCGAACAGCACCTCCCTGTTCATCAGGGCAGCTCGCGGCAGGACGGGAGCCAGGGCCAGTATCCCCAGGCCCGGGTGCACCAACACACGGCCCGCAGAGGAACCCAGCTGCGGCTCTGGAGAGGAGTGTGTGGGGGGAGCGGGGAGGGGGGAAGGGGGGAAGACGAACCACGAACGAGTGGGGGGAGGGGGGAGGGGGGGGGATGTATAAGCCACGGCTAATCAAGTTACCCAGCTGCCGACATGAAGACGAGAAGGTGCGTGCGTGGGCGCGTGAGAGAGTGTGCGTGTGCGTGGAAAGATGGTTAGCAAGGATATGAATCAAGAAGCAGATATGGTGGAGCTGTTGCCATTTCAGGCACCTGCCGCCTCCTCACCGAGTAAGCAGCTGCTCGACACATCATGGGACCAGGCGGGGGTCAGGGCCCATAGCCCCTGACACGAAGAGGACACAGCGGCAGCTGCGGCAGCGACTGTCGTCGTCGTCGTCGTCGTCATCATCGACCCCGGGGAGCCAATGGCCGTGTTGTTCAGCGGCCCCGCGGTCATCGCACCCGCTAGCGCGGCTTTGGTACGGCGGCCCAGGTCCATCAGGGAAGTGATATCCTGTGCAGGTGGGGAGGGAGGGCGGGAGGGAGGGATGCCGGTAGGGGGGAATATATGACATGCGAGAACGTACAGTACAGTATCAACTGCCGAGAGGTCCGTGCCGAAGATTTGAACTGGAGCCAGGGGGCCCAGCCACCCAGCCACCCAGCCACCACATAACATCTCACAGAAACCTCACAAACAAACAGACAAACAAACATGTCCGTGTGCTATCCTCGCCATTTCGCGACTCAGTTCCTTGAGACGCACACACATACACACAGATACACACACACAGACGTCATCCACACAGCCCCAGCACCAGCCCCCGCCGGCCCCCACCTGCGGCTCCACCCGGGAGACCCTCGCGATGAGGGTCCCCCCTGCAGCACCCCTCAGCACCAGCCGATAGGAGGAGCAACGTACTCGACCCATCTCGTTGTGGCCGAACACCAGTAATGTCTGATGGGCCTGTGGGTGTGGGTGCACCGGGGTAGGGCGCACTGGAAATTGGGAAATGCCATTCGGGAGGACGGTGGGGTGGGGGTAGAGGTAGGGGGCTGTGGCGTGAAGCGTGGCGGGAGGGGAGGGGAGATGAAACTACGGGCCGAGGGGACTGCCTGGCCGGTACGTCTGTCTGTCAGGGGTAATGGGACCTCGACCCGCATACCCACACCCGCTACTCGCACACGCGCACGCTGTCGGTTTTTTTTGTTGCAGTGTGGGGAGCGAGAGGGGGCGATCCTTCTCAACCCCACAATCCTGTCCTGTTGATGTTCAGAGAGTTCAAGCAACCTTTTTAACCCCCATTCGCCCTCTCTTACACACATACATACGTGCACTTCCTTCCCGCCCGCTGTCATAGCTCATTAACATACTATACTCACAACACAGACACGCACACGCCTGCTCAGCTCCAATCCTCGCCAATCCTCTTACCCGACAAACACCCATGCCGATGGTGGAATAGTGCCCCGGAACTCGGTTGGAAAGTACGACAGTGGGTGTCGTACGACCAGGCGCCTCGAGCACCGTGAAGGCGCCACCTGCCCTGGAGGCCTGTTCGCGTTGGAGGGGGGGTGGGCCGGGAAAGAGTGAGAGAGAGAGTGAGAGCGCGGGAGGGATCAGAGGGATAAGAGGAGGGGCCATCGCAAACCGGCACTATTACTTATCTACAGCCATTCACTCCGTCAACTTCTTCGAGATCCTTTAGTTCCCCTTTAGGGGAGGAACTTTAGGGTGAGATCATTTTCAGTTAACAGTCGTCCAGTCAACTACCCGTCAACAACCCGTCAACTACCTATCATCAGCTAGCGGAGGAGCTTCATTATGCGTCCTCACCAGCCCCAAAGAATGCAGTCCCAGTCCGCCGGGCAGTCTCGGCCTCCTCCAGGGACCCCCTCCTCTCTACTCCCCCGCTAGCACGAGCGCTGGTAATCCTCACGCGCGGGGCTCCTTTCCCATCCTCCCCCTCTCCCGCCCCGCGCAGGTTGCAAGAAACCCCCCAACACACAACCTGGGGTCACATTCGCGTCCAAATCCGGGTCCGCTTGTGTTTTTTGTATACCCGCTCTCCCCCTCCCTCTCCTTCTCCCCCTCCCTCTCCTTCCTTCCCCCCCTCACCTTCTTTCCCCCCTCTCCTTCCCCCCTTCTCCTTCTCCCCCTCCCTCTCCCCCCCAACTCAACCTGCAGAATGATGGCCCCAGCGGGATGCCAGGGATGCGGCACACAGCTCAGCACACCCGCGACGGGAACCACCTTGTCGGCGGGACTCTGGACCTGCACGCACACCGTGTGTGTTTTACTTTTCTCAGCCGCAATCGTGGTCGTGTGTGTGTGCGCGTGTGTAAGGTGAGGGCTTAGGAGAAGAGCATGCAAAGATAATAATGCGATGCAAGAGAAAGGCAACGCGTGCGTGCGTGTGTGTGTGTGTGCATGTGTCTTGTGTATCGGTACCTCAACCTTCCCCTCAGTCCCTTCCCCCCCCATCGCCTTCGCCCCTCCTCCCTCTCCTCTCCTTTCCCCTCCTTACCTGCACTGTATACAAGGGCGCCAGCACATCACCCGAGCCCGCCGCAATAGCGTACGACCGCAGCTGGCCGTCCGCCGTCAGAACCAGCACCTGCGCGTCGATGTGGTGACACGCCAAACCCAATATCGCCTTCTGGACATCAAGCTTGACTCGCGTGCCCCACCCGCCGCGGTCGCTGCGCTCCCGCTCGCCCCCTCCACCGGCGCCGCCGGAGGAGGCGTGGTGGCTGTGGTGGTCTACGACTGCCCCCATCCCGGCGCGTGTGGGCAAATTGGCCAGCCGGAGAGTGTCCTTCGCGTAGCGGCAAAAATAGATGTAGGGGTTGTGGCCCTGCATGGACGGTAGTTAGGGTGGTTGGAGATAGGTGGTTTAGAGGTTGAATGGACTTATATACATATGCACATAAATTGATCCCAGTCCATGGTGCTGCTCGGAGAAGCTGTTGGCGCATCTGCACAACATTGTCCCTTGCTCCCTTTCACTCCAAAAATGCACTGTGCAAAAGTGCACTACTCCCTTCCATTGCAAAACAGTGATGCAAAGCCGCACCACAACAACTCCTCCTCCTCACCTCACTTCATTCCCCTTCGTATTTCCTCCCACCCTTTCACCCCCCGACCTCTCATCTCCCCCCGCCCCCGTTTTCCTCCCTCCGGCCCCCCTCTCCCACTCCCACTCAACCCCGCACTCCCACTCCCGCCCCCACTCAGCAGCTTCACTCGTTCGTGATTCGTCTTTCCCCCCTCTCCCACCGGTGCCACCGCCAGCAGGCAGCTCTCCAGCGGCTTATCCATCTTCGCCCTCCGAGGCACCACCGGTCGAGCCTTCCAGCTGGTGGTGCTCACAGAGTACAGGATCCAGTCCTGGAGAAAAGGTGTAATAGTATCTAATAACTTAATTGACTTGATTGCGCGGATTAAGGATGTGTGAAGATGGGGGCAAAAGACAGGCAGGCTTACATTAATGCAGCGAAAATGAGCTTTTGTCCATATGGGCCCGGCGGTGAATTGAAATTGAGATTGAAATTGAGATTGACATTGAGATTGAGATTGGGAAGTAATTGAAGTAAGTAATCGAAAGGAAAAGCTGACCCAGATGGGTTTTGCGCCTTTGGGTGTAATCGCCAGCACCCTCCTCCTCCTCCTCCTCACCCTCACCACCTGGATCACCACTTCCACTGCCACGCGCTCGGCGATGTGGGTCGCATGTCGAACTCCTCCCCAGACGCCCCTTGGGTGCCGAACAGATACCTAACAGATACCTCGCCATCGCGAAGACTCCGCCTTCACAAATCGCCACTGGTTAGTTCATGCTTAAAGTCGCTTTTGGCGTATCCTAGTCTATCCTTGGCATCAGTTTCACTCGTTCGCGTGGTTTGTCTTCCCCCGCCACCACCACCACCACCACCGCACTGCACACCTGGACCACCGCAATTATGACGGAGCCATCAGGAGCGAACGCCATCTCCACCGGCACTGATTTGAGGTCAACCCGACCCAGACGGGTGTTGGTTTGCAAGTCGTACACCGCCATGTAACCCGACACACCCTACAGGAGCCGGCAGGCAGGCGGGACGGCAACCAGCCAGGCAGGCAGGCAGATAAGAGCTGAAGTGAGGAAAGGTGAGAAGGTGAGGGATACGCAGTACCGTTGGTAAGCGTACTTTCGGATGGAAGAATGCGATGTGGGGCGGAGAGAGGTGTACGACAGCACCCCGGGGCCAAGTCAATGCCTGACTTACCACCGCGATGAGAGGCTTGGAGGGATGGAAGCACACGCATTTGGGATACAGCCCACGAATCAGCGTCGTTGCTGGTGCCTGTTGCGCAGCGCCACAGGGTGCGATCGAACGGGTTGTGACTTTCGCAGCGTCGTCCAAGCAAGCATCCCAAACGAGAGATTTCGGTGATCATGAGATACATCATCACCACAGACTGAACTCAGTCGAATAATCCCCATGCATACCGGCACGACGGACGAGACATCCAGTGTCTGGCATACTTGGAGACGTAAAAACGATGGACCACCCTGCTCTTTGTTCATTTGTTCTTTGTATTTAGTAAGGAGGAACGGGAAGGTCAGGGTGCGGCATCACTCTGCGTTCTCACAGCCTTGCAAAGCGCCAGCAGAAGCGTTGCCCACATAATGCTGATCACAGGGTTTTCGTAATTATGCATTTGGAAGGAGAAGCAACCTACTTCGTCTTGTCGGTGTGCAAAATAGGTGAGAGTGGATCCACAGGTACGGTCAGTTACGCAACCCCGCCCTTGCTCTCTAGCACCTCCCATCAAGCAATTCCATTCCACACTAAGAGTTGATTACGCTTCATGATAGGTCCCTGGCTTTATGCCGTTAGGATGCGCAAATAAGCCAGGGTAGTTCCAAACCGTTAGCAAGGCTAGGGCTACGATTTTCGCCGGATGTCTATGGCAATTAAAGGCCTATACTTGGCGCGGCTATGGGATCTAGGATACATCACGTTACATGGTGGGCCACAGGGTTACTTCCTGAAATTGATGCGCGACCGCTGGCCTTGACGATGATGTCTTTCGGAGTCACAGCCCGCGCAGCGTCCGCTTGGCCTAGCTCACAAGCTCCAATTACAGCAACTACCCTTAAACCTACCTCAACACCGCACTTGGCCAGCAGTTCGGAGCTTACCACATGCAGCACCGCGAGGACGGCAATAGCCGTCCCTAGCACGTCGATTCCCCCTTTCCCACTGCAACCCTTTCAACTGCGCCTGGCAGCAGCCTCAGCAACGCCTTTGCCTTTACGCGGCAGCTTGACCTTAGTACCGCCAAGATCTCCTCCTCTAGCGGTGCTCTTGCGTCCCGCCACAGTCCCACCCGCCAGCCTGCTCGCGGTCCCGGCGCCTGCCCGACACCAATCCTCTAGCAGCAGTCGATCCGGAGACCCTCCGCACCGACCCACCAACCCCGCCTCCAACCCCACGACTCCCATAACCACCACCAGTTCTGTGCACGGCACACATGCACGGCAACCCAACCCAACCATCGCCTCACCCCCTGCCGTCGAGCCCTCGGAGGCGACTTTAGCACCGGTTCCGCCACCGCAAGCGCCGGCGGCGGCGACTCCAGCAGCTGCAATCACAGGAGCCCAGGGTGCCGCACTCGCTTTGCGCGCACGTGGCGCGGCAGCTCGCGCGTCCCTGGAGCGTATCAGCGGTCCGGTGTTGGCGGCCGCAGCTGATCTCGGCGCCAAGCTCAACCAGGTCACAGGTTACGACGCCATCGAGAAGCTCAAGCGCAAGGTGAGGTGGCGGTGTAAGAAGGCCATAAGCCAGGTCCGTATTCTCTCCTTCTCCAGGGCGTCCGCCTCCAGGAGGCGTCTTCTTCCACAGATCAGGCTCTGATGTCCTCTCTCTGCTGCATTAACTACTGTGCACGTTGTCCTCCTGTGCATTGCCTTCTTCCGTCCTAACTGCGTATGTCGTCGTCCTCCGTCTTTCCTTTTCATTCTCCCTTTCTTTTATGTTGTTTAATTAAATTCGTATCGGTGCCTGTGTGTTCCTGACGTTGTCATCAGCGTAGCGATGTTGTTTCATTGCGTTTCTGGGCAGCAGAAGCAGCTAAGGACTGCTTTGGGTAGCTTGCTGACCGGCCAACTAGCTGCTGGCGGTCTCCGCGCATGTTCCTAGGAGTGCGGTTCAAGGGTAGTGCATTTTTTCTCACCTTATGTGCGGGATATAGTCACGTACCTGTTCCTGTTGTTGGCCACGTAGCGCTATCACGGGGGGTTATCATGCTCTGCTGGTGTTGTACGTACTGCCCATAATGCGCTGTCTTGCGCAGGTGGACGAGGCGACGAGGCGCCTGGCGGACGCACGGGAAGAGCTCCGGGACAATAAGGCGGCTTACGAGGCACGGGTTTCGGAGCAAGGGTGAACTGGGCTGGGCTGAGCTGGATTGGGTTGGGGCTGTGTGGGAGGCTGGATGAAGCAGCTCTCGGGGACATCCATCCACCCCTAGCCTAGCTGTAGCTGCGTGCTTCCCCTCCGGGAGGATACCGGGACGGGTGTTACCTAAGTTGCCGGATGTCATCTTTATCTTTACAGCTTTCTACAGTAACGTGTTTTTTTTCCTAAATAAAACAGGACTTCATCTTTTACGATTAATCATCGCTTGATCGATACGATAAAACAGGCGCCGGAGACGTGCATGTCCGGAACGGTCTTCTTTTTTGCCGCCAACTTGCTCACTTGGGGATGAGGACGGGAACAGGAAATGTACCCCGCGAAATCCAACAACCATCGCAGGACTCCCACTAGACTCCTATTGCAAGGTATGGGTCCCAAAACCCTCTTCCCCCATCCACGCACGTCCCCCCCCCCCTCAGCAGCTTCAATCGTGTGTGGTTCGTCTTCCCCCCCCCCCTTTGTCCTGCAGGGACTTGCAGCGGCAGCAGATGGCCCTGCTGCAGCGCAAGAGCAGCTGGCAGGCGGCTGACGTGGAGCGGTTTACGGAGCTCTGCCGTCAAGAGCACCGGTTGGAGCTGGAGGTGGCGCAGGCGAAGGTAAGGGTGCAGGGCAGACAAAGGTGGGGAGGCGGGGTGCAGGGCAGGGAGCCGGGGCCGGATAGCGGTGATGTGTGTGGGTGCGCGTACGCACCTATGCAGGACCGTCGCTGCTACTATGTGACGTATTGCCAGTAAGTTAGGGTTTTGGAGACTCGATTGGGAAAGGAACCATGTGTGCGCCTGGGATTGGTGGACAAAGCTGCTGCCGGGTATTTTGGGGTTGTTGGGTTGAAATGTGAGGGCGGTCGCCTGTTTGTTTGTGCGTGTGTATGTATGTTATTACAGGGTGGTTAACTTCGCCAGCGGCCCCCTTTCCCGGGGCAGTCCCTGCTCTCCCCTGCTAGAGGGGCACCCTAATCCGTCACCCCATCCGACTTCAGAATGTATTCGTTGGGTTCGGCAACTCACCACCAGCATCCAACCAAATCTAGCGGATCAACGGCGCATCAACTTAGTTCCTGGTCAGCTCGCAAGTTGATATTATCACGTCCTACACCGTCCATATGATGGGGGGCCACCTCCCATTTCATCACTCCTCAAATACCCGAGGAGCTGGCAGGCGGATTTGAACCCGGGTCGACTGGATCGACTGGGAGCAGAAGTCAGGCCTTAACTTCTGCCAGCCGCCTGCCCGTGTGTATGTATGTATATGTGTGTGTATGTATGTATGTATGTATGTATGTATGTATGTATGTATGTATGTATGTATGTATGTATGTATGTATGTATGTATGTATGTATGTATGTATGTATGTATGTATGCATGTATGTATGTCTACACTGCCTTACAGAGGTGCGGTAGTGTGCACCAGCGGCAACAGCAGCAGAAATGTTAAACAGCAGCAGACTCCAGGGATACCGGTGCGTCCTCCGCTAGGACTCGATTTCGCGAAGACACCAACCCGCGACCCGTGGGTCTGCCAAGCGATATGCATTTGCATGCCTGCATACGCAAAAAACCGCCCAGCTGCCCCGCTTAGCATGGTGTGCGGATTTCGAGTACGATCCAGACCCACAACGCCCCTTACCGCCCGTGCGCGGCCTGCCCTCCTGCCTCAGACCGCCTACAGCGGCGCCGCGGAGGCGGTGGAGGCGTGTCACGACCATATAGCGGAGGCAGTCCGTGAGCGTTACAGCGCCGAAACCATGTGGAGCGACAAGATCCGGCGGGCCTCTACCTGGTGGACTGCGGGCCTTATGGCACTGCAGCTGGTGTCGTTCATGGTGCGGGGTGCGCGTTCGTATACGACACGCGTGATAATGTCGTACCAAGCCGAAATGGCTTGCTGGGGTTCTGTGGCTAGGTGGTTAGTGCCTGCCCGTGTGGGTTTTTTCTTGGCGTGGAAGCGGGGGGGGGGAGAGAGCGGAATGGCGCCTTTCCAGCCTCTGAGCTAGAAGGCCGGCTTTCTGCCTTCCTGGCTGCTGTCCGTTCGCTGCACTTCAAAGCGTGGCTGTGTGAGGTGGTGCGCTGCTGACACACACCTTGCTGGTGCGTCTGTCATTCCTTCGTTAATGACAAGCATCGCAACCGTTCCCGTTGCGAAACATCGCCTTTCATGTGCCGGGCATGCACACACCAGTCCGTGTACCTCGTGATGGAGCCCATCAAGGCGCAGCGGCTCCGGAACCACGTGGAGGAGGTTTTGCGGGCGGAGCTCTCCAATGTACGGCAGTCTCTGGCGTCGCTCGAGTCTAACGCCGTGCAGTTCCGGAGCGTGGGCACGGAGGTGCGGGCTGCGGCGGTATCGGCCGTGGCGCCGGGGCTTAGCATAGCAGACGTGGCAGATCCTATGCTCGAGGGCGCAGACACGCGCACGGTCTCGCGAGAGCTTCTGGATCAGGTACGACACATTAAAAGCCACTTGGCGGCGCTGGAGATCAGGTTAGCGGCCTCAGCGGCAGGAGGCAATCCGATAGAGATGGTTCGTGGTGGGGAGTCCCCGCCGGCGCAGCCGTCGCCCTCGCACAGTGCCGATGCCGATGGTGCTGCTCTCACTACGGAGCAACTAGACGAAGGCCCCGAGGGGGCCGCGGCGCCTGAAGCACGGAGCTGGCGCCGGCGGCTGAGGCATCAGCTGCTTGTTGTTGCAGCCAATCCTGAAGCGAGGACAGCAGCCGCTGCGTTCACAGGCGCAGCGCTTGGCGTTGGGATGCTGTTGCTGTTTCGGCGGGACGGGTAATCAAAAAGCGGAGTGCCTGGCAGCGGCGGAGCCAGAGATTGGAAGCTTTTAGCTCGATGCATGTTAATTTCTCGCGTCCTTTTATTTTCCCCTGTTGGGTTGAAAAAGCGACCTCAACGGGCATGCTAGTGGTAACACATGCAAACTGTTCACAGGCCTGGGTCGCAGCTAATGCTTCATTGGGCACGCCTCGCATTGGTCACCTGTTACAGCAGCACTATTTTAAGTGGAAGACACGGTATCGGAAGGGCCTTTAAATAATCCTTGTCCGCTATTAGCCCACCTTTGGCCTCTGCTAGCACAACCCTAATCGGCACTGTTCCCGAACAGACAAGACCGGGCGACCCTCGCACAGGAAACGTACCGCCAGCACCTTCACACTTCCGAGGGGTGCGCCATTGAAAAAGAACTTGTTAATTAAGCTAGGTAAATGCTTCCAAGTTTGAGAACTTGCCAGCTTGCCTAGCCTAAGCGCCATAGTCCTATCCATTATTATCCTAATCCACCGAAGACCTGCCCATATCCTCATGTATCGTAACGCCCAAACAGGAACTCTCTTATGTAACGCAGGCAAGCGACCACGCAAGAACCTGGACTGTACGTAACCCCAAGCAGGCGTACACGTCCAAGCAGTGTGTTTCCTCCACCTGGCCCTTGGACCCTTCTTCCCCTCATCCGAGAACTCCACTGCTACCCAAACCCCACTCCCATCCGCAATTTTGCCCCGCGTCATGCAACATCATCTCATCTTCGTCACAGCCACGAACTTGGATGCATCGGCTGTCCCGTCACGGACACATACTCCTACCAGGCCGAACATCCGAGATTTCCCAACAGGCATATTATGTACCCGGCATCTGGATCCGAAGCCGCATCCGCTCCAGGCTTTTAATCGAACATGTTCTCAGCCAGGAAGTTGGCCGCCATCTCCTCATTCTTGTCACAAGCCAGGTATGCCTCCAGGCAAGCGTTGCGGTCGAAACCCAGAGCGGCCAGGCGGGTAATGGCTGCCTCGTCGTCCTCGGTCAGCTCGACAACCATGCCGCCCTCGCCACCCTCGCCGCCGCCCAGAAGCGCAGCCATGGCCTGCAGGGAAAGGGGTAGATGCATTTATGCGAGTGGTGCAATGGCGCAAAGCTCAACGCCGCCCAAATAAATAGAGGCATTAGCACCCAGCTGTTTGCACGCTGTTACGTGCCTTTCCCGCGCGTATACGCCCGCAGGCCGAAGCAGCAACGAGCTGCTCATCCAGCTCATATCCCGCACCCAAACCACCATTCGCGTCCTATGCCCTCATGTCACGTCTTCTGGCGCCTGTCGCAACCTCTCTGGGTCGGCAAGGTAAGCAACCTGCACCTCCTTTCGGCCAGCCCTACCAAACTTCCGTTCGCCCCGCAGGCCGCAACTCACATCGTCCTCATCGCCTTCAACGGGCTCAGTGAGCATCCGCAGGAACTCCTGCTGGTTCTGGTTGATGACCTGCACCAGCTCCGGGTTCGAGCGACCCAATTGCTGCACACAGCCACAAGGGGAAAGGCCAGGGGCAAGCAGAAACTTCATCCATAGTTCAGGTGTAAGGAATCAATCTCGCACGTCCAAAACACGATCTTAGCCCGGGCGGTCTGGCTGTGTTAGTGCGCCTTGGCCTGACTAGCTGGGCACGCGGTGCAAGCTACATGGCCGTGCACTCGACCCGTTCGGTTTACGCTGTAACAAATCGCATTCTGGCTGTGAAAAGGTCTCGGGGTGAGGAGTGGCCCCGGGAACCTATGGTTTGGGCAGGTTGAATCACGGGTTACTTTTGGCCAAGGTCATCGAGAAGGGATTAACAAACAACAGTAAAAAGTGGTTGAAGGAGCTTCTGCAGGAAAGCTGCGCAGTAGTTCCTCATCACTGCCGGATGGAAGCCCATGCTCCTCTCAACAATAGACCTTGGGAGGACCATGATAGCGCAATTAAATATACCTGCTATGTATAAAACTTCTGCTCTCCACATCTCCGCGGTACACAACATGACTAGAAATCAAGTATATTCGTAAAATTGCCCTGGCCGCGCAACGATACAGTAAAGCCGGGCGGCACAGAATCCAAGACTGCTTAACCTGCTTGACCCAAAAAGCTTTTGCGTGGCGCGCACAAGGAAAACATTCCTTTGACAACTCTTTTTTCCTTACCTGAAGCATCGGCACGAGCGACCGCGGTTCTTGAGCCACAGCGGTGCGCAGCATTGCAAAGGCGGGGTTGTCCCGCAGGGCCGCCAGCGCCGGGTTAAGGTTGCCCTCGCCGCCGCCCGCAGCCGCCGGGGCCGGTCCGCCAAACATATTGAAAGGCAGCGCAGTTGGTCCCGCGTCCGCAGCGGGAGCAGCACCGGGTGCAGCTGTCGCGGCCTGCGCTTGTGGGTATAGGAGGGTGCACGGAAAAGGCCCGTGTCAAAACATCAGTAAAGCTGCCATAGCAGCAGCAGCAGCAACCGCAGCAGCATCGCACAATCTATCAGAAGCCGCGACAGGTCTTCGCGACAAGTCGCAGACGGGGTAGGCGAGTGCTAGGCCCGTGTGCCAGGGTGCCATATCCACATCACCTGCGCGGCTGGCGGCGCGCCTACCGCAGCAGCAGGGCGCGGGGCAGCCTGGGGTGGTTGCGCGGCCGGAGGGGGCGGTCCGGCATTCGCCGGAATGCCCGTCATGAGGTACTCGACGGCCCGATCTGGATTGTTGAAGGCGGCCCGCATCGCCCGAATAACCTGAAGGGGAAAAAGGAAAACCAATCAGGGACCTACAGTGAAGGCCACGACGAAACAATAGCGCATAAAAGACCAGGATCTCCTCCCGCGCAGGAGCCCGTCGCAATCTAGCTCGCAGGAGTTTAGCAACAGATCCGGTTGGGATATTTCGTGGAAAGACCGCCATCAGCCAGACCAGAGTCCTGGTCTGGGCGTTTAGCTTTGGGCTTCGCGACAGGGTTAGGACGGTGCAAGCTTTGTCCTTTGGTTCATACCTCCTCTCGGGCAAAGCCCATTTCGCAGATGTTAGCAATAGCCGTTTCCAAGGCAGATCCTGCAAGCAGACCAGAAGCCGCCGCCGTGTAGGCGTCGGCGGGATGGGCAGCTGGCGCCGCGGCCGCGGGAGCAGCCGCAGCTGCTGGGGCGGCAGCTGGGGTTGTAGGGGGAGGATAGCAACAAGGGATGGCAACAACGGGGATGACGGTAACGTCAATGCAACGTCAATCAACACTCGAGCAACGCGCTGGCCATTTCGTTTGGCGGCAAGCACAGGACTTTGAAGGAGAAGCTTTATAACACCTGTCCGCAACACGCATAGGGCGAGCAGCCACACCCGCAATGACCGATGTTTTCTGCTTGCCCTTATCCCCACGGCCAACCGAACACAGGCGCCAGCGCCAGCAATTGTATGCACCGATACCAGCCAGTTCGGTTGCGTGCGCAACTGTCAAAGACGCACCGGGGGCCTGTGCCGGTGGGGGTTGTGCAGCGGGCGCGGAGGGGGGGGCCGCAGCAGCCGGTTCCGTCGCCGCCTGCAGAGATCCGTGTTGCGAATGACAGGAGATCACCATCGAGCATCTTGCTTGCGCCCATGGGGACATGACTTACAGGCGCGGGAGCAGGAGCCGGCTTTGGTGCCTCCGCCTTCTTGGGCTGGACAAAGACGACGATAAAGCCCTGCTCCGTAATCTGGTTATCCCCAACTGTTGTTCCGTCGTCCAGCACTTTTCCTTTGTATACAAGCTTCATGGCATCACGGTGGCAGTCCGGCTGGGCCTCTTGGACCTTGTCTTTAAGGGCCCCGATGGTGAGGCTCTCCTCCGCCTCGACACTGAAGCTCTTGCCAGCTATTGTCCTAAAGGTTAGCTTCATTTCTCCAGGAACTGCAAGTGCTCCGTGATACCCAAAGCCTAGGACAAACAGCAATACACGAAAAATGAAATCGGTTCTTGCTAGCAGGGCCAAATCCACGTGTGTCAGTAGCTCTGACCAGTTGACAGAAATTACCGGTTTGGCTTATTGCAGGACGGTGCTCTTGATGTCCAAGATCTGAGCGGGAGCTCGGCAATGTCCTTTACTTCAGGGCAGAGTAATGGTCTAGACGATAGAGGCAATGAGGGAAAAGCATCACTCTATGTTGGGGCCAGTCCTGTAGTCATCTCGGGATTGCTACGACGAGAGCCTCAGCACATCCACGCCCAGGCACACTCGAAATGTGAGCAACTTTGCCAGATGCAAAATAATTTGTTTTTTAAACTCTTACACGCATGGCTTGTAAAACTTTGGTGTGGCTTCAAGCTGGCTGCGTTCATTACCGAAATTGTGTAGCAGACTATCGGCAGGTGGACGTGCGTTTCAACTTAGTCAGTAAGGCATCCTATATATTCTTCACTGGATACTTTGAAATGGAGGCGTCGTCTTCGGCAGTTTCCTGAGCCAGGACTCATGCCGGCCTGGCCCTTTCTTGCGTCTCGTTTTCGGGCAAACATTTTGCAATAAGCACAATGTTAGAGATTAGGCTGTGGCATCAGCGGGGTGCTGGTACATCACCGGGTGTAAGCACCGGTTACCATAATGCCACTAGGTTTGACATGGACACGGGGGTGGCTGAGGGAGTATACGGCTCGGGTTCCATTTCCCTATAGCTTCACCCCCTTGGAAAAATAGAGTGGGCACGGACCGCAACCAACCCCGACTGCCAGAACAACAAGCTTTACGAATTGCACAAATCGAGAAATGGTTTACGAATTGCCGAAGGCACATATCTTACAAGATGCACCAACTCACCGCATGGCCTTCACGTCCTGAACTGGCAACGCAATTTGTCCGAGACATGGGCAATGGAGAAGCCTTACGGGCAGCAGTAAGCTCCCTTGGAACTGCAAGCCTCAGGCGCGCGGCTTCCAAGAGGCCTGATATCCATGTCCACTTCATCATTTTTTTGAAGGAACATGTCGGGTAGCATGTATAGAAATTGCCCATTGCCTAACGCCTTTCTTTTTCGTCCTCAAGTGTAGCCGTACCGTTCGCAACGACCCTAACGGCTAGGTTGCTTGACAGGACAGTAGAAACCGTGTAACTATGGCATGGGGCTGGTCCTTATAATAAAGTAACTGAACTAGTACATGTTTGTTCGTCGGTAGCGTCAATAACCCTCCCTTTATACACTTCCATGTCGTCGCTGGACCACTTCTGACTCAATTCCACAGCTCCAAGCGGAACGTGAACTATTCAATATGAGAATGCATAGAAGTTACAAATGTCCTTGGTGAAAAAACCGTTGCCGTGAGGAACCGCGGGCTCGACGCGAAGCGAGGACAATATCAGCTGCAGCCAACTCGCAATCGACCATCCGAACCAGCAGCGCAACATGTTAGGCTCTGCAGGAAACATCATGCTGGTGGGTCCAGCAGACGTCTCCTGGTTTTAGCGTTTTCACTTCGCCGGTGTGTCCATTCGACTCGCACAGCTACGCTCTGCGAAACAAAACTACACCCAGCACCGCTCTGGACCAGTACGTCCAACAACCCATGCATTCATTCTTATTTCCACCTCGCCTTTTCCCACGTCTGCGCCTGCAGGGAATGCTGTCGGCGCCCGATGCGCCGCAGAGCTTACAGGACCGCACAGCAGAGGAAGTCCTTCGTCGGGCAAGGATCGCACACGGCAGTCGAATGGCGACTCTGGCGCACGTCAACCGCGTGGTAGACGAGCGTTCCACCTCCCGTCAACAGCGGACCTCCCTCATCCGCATGCAGTACGACAGGAGAGGACCTGCTTTTTCAGTTTTTGACGATACAGCCCATGCCTATGCGGAGGTCAGCGCCTATGCAGACCTAGACAGCCTCGGACACAGCTCACCGTCTGACGGTGCGGCCTCCAGTGAGGACGATGAGAAGACGGAGGAGGGCGACAGCAGTCAGCCGCGCACGAGTGCCGACACGCTGGCTAGTTGCACGTCCCGCAAGGACAGCTGCGACTGCGAACGAGGGCAAGATAGACCCCCGCCAGCCAGCAGCATGCCCGCAGCCAACGCAGCCAGCAGCCGCTCAAGCAGTCGCCGCATCCTCCCCGCCGGCATCCCCAGTTTAAACCTCGCCGACATTAAACCCGCCGCCGACGACGAGCTGGTGTCTGAAGATCTCTTTGCCAAGTGCATCGTGCGGTTACGCAGCGCGACAGCCGAAGTGGGAAGCAGCGGCGGCAGTGGAAGCAACCGAAGTGGAAATGGGAATGGAAGCAGCGAAAGTGGAAATGGGAATGGAAACAGCGGTAACGGAAGCGCAAGCGCTGGCCATAGTCAGCTGTCCGCCGGGGCGCCCACTGCGCCGGCGGCCGCCTGGGTGGACGAGGAATCATCGCCGCCACAGACGAGCGGCGGTGGCGGCGGCGGCGGCGGCGACTTCTCCAGTTCTGCCCAAAACACTTCACCCTGGGACTGTGAGACTGCTACGTCCTTCAGCTTGACGCTCCCGAGTCACATCAACGATGCGTGGGTGAGGGCGGCGATGAGCCCACAGCCCGGCTCTGCACTTGCCAACCTGCTCGCTAACTCCGCATCGAGCAGTTGGCGATTGAGGGCGAAGCGCGTCTCAGCGCCGTCAGGTGCGGGGCTGCCACTTCTGCGGGCATCATGCCCCGGACCGGTGGCAGCTGGGCCGGGCGACGGCAGCGGTGAAACTGCTGCCGCCGCCGCTGCCGCCAGCGGGGCCGGTGGAGGGTTGCCGCCGCGCAGCGGCCCCGCCGCCACCATATCATCACGGTCCGCCCTCCACGGCACCGGCTCCACCGGCGCGCCGGCGACTCCGCCAGTCAGGTCCAGCGCGTTGACTTCTGAGCTCTCTAACGGGGCCTTATGGGGCGCCCCTGGCGTTCCAAGGCCTCAAGTGTTTGCCGCGCCACAAGCACCCATGGCGGATCTCTCACCCGCCTCAACGGCCTCGTCTTTCGTGTCGCCACCTCAGCCGCCGTTGGGACCTCAACATCAAGGTGGGCAACAACAGGCGGCGGCGACGGTGCTGCCGCCGCCGCCGCCGCCGCTGCCGCTGCAATCGCGTAACTCCCGCGACAGGATCCCTTCCACCCCACTTCCAGCCACCACACTGCCGTACATCACAACCCCAATCGCCGCCACGTCTGCCGCCGGCATCCGCTCACGGAGCGCAAGTCCGGCCCCTCTCACTGCCAGTGGCGCCAGCCCGAATCGTACCAGCGTGCAGGAACACAACAGCATGGCTGGCGGAGTGGCTGCCGTCTGGCGGGTTGCCGCGCCAGCCGTGCTGCGCGACCCACGGGTCGTTACCCCCGGCGGCCGGCGTTCAGTAGCGGGTGCAGCGGCCTCCAACGGCGTCCTTTCTAGTTCCTGGTCGGGGAGTCCGGGCCACCTCCGGCCCTGCAATAGCACTGGCCGCGGCTCGAGTGAGGAGCCCCTCAGCGTGTGTCGCAGCGGGCCCGGGTTTACTTCCCGGCATCGGCCGATGTTGCAACTGCAGCAGCAGCAGCAGCAGCAGCATCGTGCACAGGGCGGTGTCGGGAGCTGCGGCAGGACTGGACCGCTATTGCGGCCCGCCCAGAGGGAAGTGAGTTACACTCTGGCGGCGGCGGTGGCTGCAGCCGCGGCCACAGCGGATGCAGATGGAGGGTTTGGAGGCGGGGATTCTCCTTTGCAGCCACCGGACAGCACCCCGTCCGTGGCAAGTGCAAATGAGTCCAAACAGCTACAGCCACAGCAGCAGCCACAGCCACAGCAGCCACAGCCACAGCAGCCACAGCCACAGCTACAGCCACAGCAGCAGCCACAGCCACCGTCAACGCAGCCGCCGGCGCCGTCAACGCAGCAGCCGCCTCTTGGTCGGAGGTCACTGACGCTGTCATCAGCGCGTGGGTCGGCCAGCGATGTAGCAGCGCAATGCCCCCCACAGCCATCCTCGCATTCCCCACTCCATCCGTCGTCGCAAACGCAATCGCAGCCATCACTGTGTCCGCAGCATCAACCCCCCCAGCAGTATTTGCAACAGGTATGGTTTTTCATATATTTATATATATATATATATATGTATATATATACATACATATATATAACATATATCCTAGGTAGGACATCCTAGGGCTACCTCACGGTTATTGCCGCCGCTGCCACGCCATTTCCACGCCGCTGCTGCTGCTGCCGTAACACCTGTACGAGGCTTCCACATCCGGCGACGGGACAGGGTTTTGGCATTCTACTGGTCGGGGGTTTCCTCGTTCTACAGCCCCAAGTCTCCAAGCGGTATCCTCTCACCTCCCTCTATCCAACACGTCTCGCTCCCTTGCTGCAGGTTGCCGGAAGTTCGCCCCTGTCTCAAGCCGTAACAGCAACGGTAACAGCAACGGTAACAGCAACAGCAGCGGCTGCCACGCCTTTCGCCGTAGTCTCGCCAATGCTGGACGGCGCGTCCTGGACCTCCATTCCGGGGTTGGGAGAGGTCAACGGAAGCGCTGTGCACGTGGTTACACACCCGGGCTGCGCCTCAAGCCGGTCCTCTGTGCTGCAAGGTGAACATGCTCCAGTTAGTTGCGGTAGCAAAGGTGGTGGCGGCGACAGCAGTGCCGGCGGTGGCTGCGGTGGCGACACCAAACCCCGCGCAGCACCTGAGGTGAGGCGGCGCCACAAGAGCGAATCTTCCTCAGAGAGCTACCACCACCACCACCACCACCAGGCCCCGCAGCCGCAGCAGTACCCACAGCAGCACGAGGTTTCCCCGGGTTGTCGTACGGCGCAACACCAGCAGCAAGAAGCTATACGGCAAGAGTCGTCGCGGGTTCCAAAGCGGCCGGCGGTAGCAGCGGCGACGACGACGGCGATGTCGACGTCGGCCCAAAGTGTATCGCCCGCCGGGCTGCTGGCGTACGGAAGGCTCAACGGCACGGGGGGCTTTCCGCCGTACCCATCGCCGCCGCCGCCGCCACCACACCCGCAGTACCAAGCTGGAATGTTGGGAGGCGGCAGGCCACGGTCTTGATGAATAGATGAAAGAAATCGATGGTATGCTCGGATGGTACGGGAGCCCTAACGCACCGTGCCGGGGGCCGGCTTGCACGCGCGTAGACATTTCACGTTTCGAATGCTTGCGCCCAGGCGAAGTTCGTTATGGCGGTTGGGCATGCACGACGGAATGTCAAGCGGAATGGCGCCTGCTGGTCTGTGTGCTTGCACCTTGTACCTTTCGTATTTCCACGTTTACTATAGCAAAAAACTTCCGTAACGAAACAGTCTTGTTGCATGTTGTTGTGTGTATCATGGATGGGATGTTCGTTGGTTGCTATCCAGTTCACTAGTACAGGAAGGACGTGCCCCCGCGTACAGCGAATTGTAAGCTTGTGCAGTTTAGGCTTTTGCTGTTGGGGGTTAGCGGCGAACAGAGCACGCAAGGGACGGCGTTATGTACCTAGGAAGGCGGGGCTATGCCCCTGCTGCGGCACTGATAGGCATATGGAAGATGAGAAGCCCTATGGCATAAACATGCCGGTTACCGACCGTTTGGGGCCCATTAACCCAACCGGCCGGTTGAATGGCGTAA